ACGTTTGTTTCTAGTAGTGGTAGAACTCATTTCAACTGATCTACCACTCCTAGAAACTGGTATTATGATTACTAAGTTGAAGTAGGTGAGTTCATTTTTGTACACTCCTTGAAGAGTAAACCAGGTCACGCCCAATTGATATTGAATAGTAATCAAAGACCATATACACCATTACGAGAANCAAAAAAAAAAAAAAAAAAAAAATACACCATTACGAGAAACGCAAATCAGCATTCTAAACAATAGATTAAAATGCTTAAATCTTAAATGTACTAGTATTCTACAACTGTCCCACTCTTCAAAGCGAAACGTCGTGCGTTCCGATTTACTTTATGACTGAAATAATTAGAATAGTGTGGTATCTTATCTACTTCCATGCTCTCAGTGATAAAGGCAATTTAATTGTGTATGTAATTTTTTTTTAATCGATGTCAACGTTTTATTATGTATAGCCGTTTGTCGATACAGAGTCGCAATTTTTCACCAAACAATTACAAAGCAAGATTCGACCTAATTCAACGGGAATAAAGCATCAATTTTGACTCACTTTTGGCCGCAAATAGCCCAAGATAAAGACACATGATAGTCTTTAGAAGAGACCTTCACCTTCACTTGAGGAGGGTTCATATAAACAAACTTTTATATTTACACATTATAAACTTTTTTAAAAGCACTATCTACATTTATTATTTGTTAAAACGAAGGGGAGGCAGGGAAGAGGGATAAGGGGAGGAAGGAAAAGGGGTAAATAAGTGTTAATAGCATCACTATTACTCTACCCGATGATATGCAAGCGTAGTAAACCCTTAGAAATAAGGTGACACTCTACAAAGCTTGCATACGCCCCGTCATGACCTATGCAAGTGTACATTCCAAGTCATTCAATCCCGTTTTTGCAGGATAGCCGTCGGAGCCCCGTGGTTGGTCAGGAACGTCGACCTCCATGACGTCCTGGGCGTTAGTATCTCCAGTCGGCGTCGATGCGCCACTTCGATAAAGCCGCACGACACTAGAACCCTCTCATCGTGGCCGCCAGTAACTACATTCCCGATCCTGCGGACAGAATGGAAAGCAGTCGACGTCGCCCCAAACACGTCATTTCGAATCCTCCCGATCCACTAACGGTGCTTTTAGGTTACCTCAAGCACCGGTCATCGTTCTCGTCGAACCCGTCGCTTGCGACGAAGGGCTCGACGAGTAAATTAACCCTCAGACACAGCCCGCTGAGTTTCTCGCCGGATCTTCTCAGTGGGTCGCGTTTCCGATCCGGTGGTAGGTTCTGCGAAGCACGGCTCTTGCTAGGGTTCGTGTTAGCAACGTCATCTGGTTTCAGCCCCGTGAGCTCACCTACTAGTTAAGGTTACGCTGAAATAGCCTCTCAAGATTCTCAGCTAGGTAGGAAAAAAAAACACTATTCTTTTTTTTCTTCTTTTCCTTTTTTCTTTTCTTTTTTTTTTTACTTCTTTATAATTTCTTGTTCATACTTGAAATGTGTATGTAACCTATTATTTGCATGAAATAAAAGGCTTATTATTATTATTATTTGACCCACAACAACAACAAAAAACGCGCAATAAACGTTTTTCCACGTTCGAATTCGAACATTAGCAAAGTTCACGCGAACAAGTTATTCGCGAAACATCCGAGCTGGTAATTACCGTCAGTTACATCGGACGTTCGCTGCTCGCTACATAATTTAACGAGGCCAATCAAGACAAGTGCTGCGTCACGATACGACAAATCGATTTTCATGTTGGGGGAAATATGATTTTCGATAAATTCAAATTGGCCGTCGAGAGGCTAAGGTAAAAAGAGCTAGTCCCAATTATAGTTAACTAGCTGTAGTACCCGTTCAGTTCGCTGGGCATTTAAATTTAACATTATTATTTCTCACCCCCACAAAGATTCTCATCATTAACAACCCCGCAACCGGTGTAGAGAGTCCAACACTCATAATATTCATATGAGCCTATCCATTAAATACATGTATTTTCTACATGGATACCAAGTTTCAAACCAATCGTATGCATGGTTCAGTAGTTATAACGGAACATCCGTTAAAACCACTGTAGATTTATATATTAGTATAGATTATTCCCATTATTCGCCCAAATGAGTGAACAAGCTCATGGTCCACCTGGATTTAGCTGGTTACTAGAGCGCATATACATCAACAATGTAAACACCTCCATCCACCTTGAGACTTGAGACATGACATCTAAGCCTCAGTTTTTTAGTACAACTTCTGTCCCACTCTTCAAACCGTAACCTATTACTGCTTAGCGGCACAAATAAGCACCAAATGGTACCTATGCCTGCGGGTTCACAAGGCATATGCCGTCAATAAGCTCTTGTTTAGTTGATGCTTAAGAATCTAACGGAAAACGTGGACATCGAAACGTGAATACCGAATACCATATTGAAGTCTTAAAAGAATTAGAATTAGAGTCTCCGTAATCGAAATACAAACTGTTTCTGCCGGTTCAACCGCATGCTACCATTTTTTAATTTTTTTTCCTGCCTGTGCTAATAGTCTTGAGGGGCTATTTCAGCTGCACCCTAACGTGTGTAGGTGAGCTCACGGGGCTCAAACCGGAGTATTGCTAACACTGACCCTAGCAAGAGCAGTGCTTCGTAGAATCTACCACCGGATCGGAAACGCGACCCACTGAGAAGATCCGGCGAGAAACTCAGTCAAGACGCGCAGACGCTCAATTAAATTAAATTTATTGCTATACTTGCACAATCATCGCAGCCCATTTAGTATGAAGCGGTTACCGAAGCTTGATTACAGGCCTGGAGAATGAGGTGGAAATAACAATAATTAGTATTGCAGAAGGGATCCGCTAGATGCAGGTAGCGCAGAACCCATCTGTGTGGCGAGGCTTGGGGAAGCCCATGTCCAGCATTGGATGTCTGTGGGCTGATAGAATAGGGCTATTCTACCCTTCAGATCAGAGGGCACGAATGCGAAAACGTTTTAATAATTTCCCGTCAATCCCGTCTTAAAACTCGACTCAAGGATTCACCTAAGGATTTACACCACTGTTGAGTATTAAAACACCGACATATACTGGGTACTATAACATTTTGTCAGACCGCTCAAGTAGATATCGTCAACCTGCCTATTTCTGTCGCAAAGCAATAATGCGCTGTACAATACAATCGACCTCATGTCTCAAGCTAGGTGTCAGCGTTCACGTCGTGATGTCTATGGGCTCTTAACGATTTACCCCAGGCTATAAAGACGTATATACAAAAAAAAAAAAAAACTTATTAACTACTTTACTTCCAACAATGTACATTCACATAATAATACACAAACTCGTAATTGCTACTTCGTACCGTGAACACGCACAAAATAAACCCAGTTTTCTTTCATCGATTGTTTACTTCATGTACCGGGCGAAATTTCTCAGTAACATTGTGTTTCCTCAGTACGTGTATTGAATTTTCAAAAATGAGTTCAAAGTTCGTCGTTTTCGAAGTTTGGTATATAGACGCCCTACTAACCATACCTATACTGAGTCTGCTGACCTCTTGAGATAAATTTAATTTAAAGTTTTGAGCGAATACAACGTAATAGTGGAACCTGGTCACGCGCCGTCGTGACTACCGCTAATTTTATGTTAATATATAGGTTTCTTAGAAATACTCGCGTGCAACAATACTATACGTTGATGATGTTGTGAACGAAACCTTTCCAATATCGCCAACAGCACCTGCACAAGTTAAATCGCGTTAAGACGAAAAGTTTAAGAACGTATAGAAAGAAAAAAAACGAAGAAAATATGTAATTCCCGTATAACTTTCAACACTTTTTTTTATTGCACTTATAGGCAGACGAGCATACGGCCCACCTGATGGTGAGTGGTTACCGTCGCCCATGGACTTCAGCAATATCTCCACAAGCCTCGTTTGAAGAAGGACATGTTATAGCGCTCGGGAAACACCGTGGAGGGGAGCTCATTCCACGTTATGGGATGGTACGAGGTAAATTCACCATAATAACTTCAAAAATGAAATAAACGCCGGTATACGTGTACATTTATTAAAAACAGCGGCCCGCTCCGGCTTCGCTCGGGTCTTTAACAAAAATTCCAACGACGTTGTTTTATTTTTTTTTAATAAAAGAACACTTATTGCGGCATAACTATAATAGTTAGACATATGCTGTTGCGACACTTTTTGTAAATAATAATATGTTCTACAAAATCGTAGTACATTATTTTATTCTATCATGAATAGTTTTTGCAGGGCACGCGATGTAAAGACTATTTTAGGTATTTTTTACACCTTGGGTTATATTATTGGAGTTTTAGTAAGGATCCCTAATTTTTTCAAAAAAGAAGATAGCCTATATCACTGCGGAATATTGTAGCTTCCAAACAGTGAAAGAATTTTTCAAATCGGTTTAGTAGTTTCGGAGCCTATTCAATACAAACAAACAAACAAATCTTTCCTCTTTATAATATTAGTATAGATGAATTTTTTTTCGCTTCTTCTTTGAAAATGATGGTCTGTCATACTATTATTCATTCCTTCGGAGTGGAATTGCTTCCGATATAACATGCATCAATTGTCAAAAGTTCACAGCCCCCGCGATTTAGGCTCTGCGTTGAAATCAATTATATAATTTAAACTATTTTTACGATTTCGATACGAGTCTCTTTCTTCGAACGAGAAACAGTCGTAAAACTAGTTTTAATTATGTATACAACTCGCAAAAAAGAAGAAAATTCTGAATCGGTTAAGCAGTGATTAATTACGCTTAACGCTTACCAGGTGGGTTGTGAGCTCGTCCACCCATATAAGCAATAAAATATTTTTTTGTAGAGAATCTAGTAATCAATTAAAATTATTTCAAAGGTGACTAAACTCTATAGTCAGTACTGATTATAGACAACCAGATGGCAAAAACAAAGCTGGGCTTCAAAGATTGACATTGACAAGTAAAATTTTTTGAATTTGAATCTCGTTGGTTTCTCGGAGCTGTTTAAATGAAATCAGTAGAAAAAAAAACATTAGCAGCCATGAATAAAGAATCGAAGAAGCGTGAAAAAACTGCTTCCAATCTAAATGAAAGCATTAAAGCCAAATTAAAAGAATCGTTGACGCAAAACCCCGTGGTCACTGGTGATACAGCGTCAAATCAAATTTCGAGAACGAGACAGAGTAACGTGAAGAAAGAGGGATTTTACAACTTCAAGAGCATGTTGTTGCGAAGCGTGGAGTCGCAGGGCGTTGCCGAACAGAAGAAAGCGAACAAACACACGAAAAAACGTGCGAAAAGTGTCAGAACCGAAAAGTAATCTCCATCTATCAACCGAGAACGAACGCGACCGGAAAATGGATCTGCAGAGATCCCTTTTCAGTGAATCCTAACGAGATACGCTTGTAAATTTATTTCCTACGTTACTATGTTTGAATAAACCATTCATAGAACTTTACGAATGCTGCCTCACTTTCTATGTGAATAGAGCTCTTCGTATTTACGCAAAAAGCCTTCCACCCTTTAAAGGCGATCATAATTTATGAAGCCAGTTTTTGCATGTCTTATCTTTACGCTTGTAATTGAAGTAATAACAACTCTATAGAGTTTTCATTTGAAATACAAAGATAACATTGGGCCAACGTCGGAACCTGGAGCAAATTTCGAATGTTTTATTCTTTTTATTTTCCGTCGACTTAAAGAGATATCGAGGCTTAAACAATATTTCATTTGTTTGTACTTCGTCCATGAAATATTAATCAAACTTTGTGTCCACGAAGGATCTTTAGAAATGTCCCGATTTGTTGACGTTCTGACGTTCAACAAAATTAAAACAGGATTCAAAATACTGTCTTTAGCTTCGTTTTTTTTTTCTCTACCTATTTTTTGGTAGCCTCCAGAGGCTAATCCAGCTACAAACAGTTTAGTTGTTAGCTTGAGAGAAACTGGTAACAATGAACTGTTCGCTGTACCTACCACCGGATCGGAATCGCGTCCCACTGAGAAGGAGCGGCGAGAAACACAGCGGGCTGTTACTTAGGCTGCACTTCGAAATCTTCGACTTAACTTGGCATTTCCTTTATTAATTCTAGTTATAATTTACTATGTTTCGAATGCAATTTTTGTGGTAATTGAAAATTAAAAACCTAATACTGTGTTTTTTAAATCAAGTGACTAATACATTTGTGACGAAAATATTAAAGTAGACAAGCTCTTGAATATCTAGCGCATCATCCAAGTGGTTACCGAATCCCATCGACACGCACACATGAATGACTCACCAACGTTGAGGTTCACGCACGATGATCCGTGCGGGCTTCATACGACATACATCTCCTTGCGTCGGTTTCCTCATTACTGAGGGTCGTGGTCATGGCCTTGAAACAGTTTAAATGTTTCTCTGTCCATGACTCTCTTGGGATGTAATTGTGGTGGGTTCCTACGTCCTTCCACATCAGTATTTCGAAGGGATTTAGTCCTTCACGGCAAACTGGTCCCGCTCCGGGTCTCTGGTTGTATCCGGGGGCTGGGTTATTTCCCGCCGCCCAGTGCTCGGCGTTGACGTTTTACGGTAGGAATGTCCAGCTCTACTCAACCCTCCTCTTTTATCATCCGGGCTTGGGACCGGCAATGGCAGAGTTACTTAGACGACATACATATCACCATTTAATTTCTAAGTAAGTTGTATTTTTTAATACGCTTTTATTAGCTTAGACGTGTGTATGTTTGTAACAAAATCTTTGAAAATCATTTTGACCCCTTCAAAACGTCGGATTAACTCAAAATTTGGTATACTTATTAAGGGCCGATGACAATTCAATATATAAAAAAAATATTGAAAAAATTGAAATTCTACTAAAAAATAAAAAAATTGATAATAGTTTAAAAAAACTAACAAAATACGCTTTTAAAAAATATCCAACTAAAAAATAAAGAAATAATTTGAATAAATTTGAATTAAAAATAGTGTAAGAAAAAATGATTTTATTGTAAAAAAAGCGTAGGGTGCATGGTATCAATAGTTATAAATATTTTATGAACAGATATGAGTAGAAGGGGTATTTTGATAATATCCTGAAAAGCACCCCACGCTTTTTTATTTTTTAGTTGGATTTTCTATAAAAGCGTATTTTGTTAGTTTTTTTAAACTATTATTTATTTTCACGATTTCCTAGCTTCGACAGCAAAATCGTTATCAAACTCCGGAATTTGAACACCGGTTTAATCGCGTAGCTTGATACAAATACACCGGGTGTCTTATCTTTTTAAACCACGTTGGCTTCGGGCGTATGAACATTTAATCTTCATATACTTACAATAAACATAGTGCAGTTTACTTTATTTATAAAAAAAATAACACAAATACGCTAATTGTACTCATCTATCATTTTATAGTTAGCTATGCTAATAAGACTGCTTATGGAAGCAGTAGCAAAATCATTACTAACACAGTTCTACTGTGAGCAACAATAACGCAACTATTTACTTAAAATTAAATTTATTTATTATAAAAAAAAAGAACACGTTATTCCTAACCTAAAAGTACATGTTATTATCCGCAACATGCTTCGTCAGTTTTACTTAAATGAATCAGTAACAGAATCAATCAATCAACAATTCAATATAGAAAAGTAACGTTTGCCGGATAAAATTTACAGAAAACTCTCAACAAAATGAAAAACACGGACGTCCGCTTCCCAGGACCAATCATAGTGATGGTAAATGCAGGCTGAATAAAAAGTTCGCTTAATAAATTGACTTTCCTCAAACAAAATACACTCAGAGTGCTTTAAGGCGCTTTTTAACCAGAGTACACCTGCAACACAATAATAACAAATTTGTAGCTCTAGCTATTATAGAACAGATGATATTTGGCAGTTTTTTACTGGTGGTAGGACCTCTTGTGAGTCCGCACGGGTAGATATATATATATTTTTTGTTGCCCTTGTAGGTAGATGAGCATACGGCCCACCTGATGGTGAGTGGTTACTGTCGCCCACAGACTTCAGCAATGCCAGGGGCAGAGCCAAGCCGCTGCCTACGGTTGAAGGTACCACCGCCTTGCCTATTTCTGCCGTGAAGTAGTAATGCGTTTCAGTTTGAAAGGTGGGGCAGCCGTTGTAACTATACTGAGACCTTAGAACTTATATCTCAAGGTGGATGGCGCATTTACGATGTAAATGTCCATGGGCTCCAGTAACCACCTAACACCCGGTGGGCCGTTTGCCTGTCTGCCAACAAGGGCAATAAAAAAAAATACAAAAGGTCATTGCTCTACTGCTTATTCTCCGGCGACTCCCTTGGTCGTTTTTTACGTCACAGAAAGGGGTGGGGGATGCTATTCTATACAAGCCTACGATCTGCCTATTAAATACATCTTCCCCAGAAAACACAACATGATTACAGCTTCGTATGCTTCGATTAGGGCAAGAAGAAAAAAAATAAGATTTAAAACTGAACACGTCTTAATAACATTATTTTCTAAAAAGCGTAATTCATAAATATTTGCTTGCCAATTATGAATATCACTCTGTATTTCTTCAGTATTGATGATTATGAAGATAACTTTAAACCTACACGAGAACTGATGCGATTTCATGGTGTTTAACGGTAGGCAGTGGCTTGGCTTTGCCCTGGCACTGTTGACGGCCATGAGCGACGCTAACCGCTCACCATCAGGTAGCCCGTATGCTCATCTACCTACACGGGCAATAAAAAACAAAAAAAGAACTACAAATTTAACTTAAGTTCAATTCTTTAAAAACCGAATGTATTCGTCGAACACAACGACGTAGTCTATATCTATACTAATATTATAAAGAGGAAAGATTTGTTTGTTTGTTTGTTTCGAATAGGCTCCGAAACTACTGGACCGATTTGAAAAATTCTTTTTCCATTAGAAGCCGACATTGTCCCTGATGAACATAGGCTACTTTTCTTAAATTTTTTTTTTTTTTTGACTTCATGTGTATTTTAATGTTTCCGAAGCGAAGCGAGGGCGGGTCGCTAGTAACAAATAAAATTAGATCCTCACAACTCTAATCATATCTCGTTAGCATGGACTTCGATTGTGACACAATCCGTGATAGTCTGTAAAACCGCAAATATTTGCCAATGTGGGCGTGTCAAAACGTCACTTGTTATGATATCACAATCAATTATGGCCTTACTATTGAATAACAAAATTTATTTCGGTAAACATTCCTCGTGTATTCTCGTATATAAACTGAAAACGGCTTTATACTTTTATTCGATTAATAAATTCTGAAACTGCAACACAACAAATATGTGTGAAGTTGAATATAATTGGAGTGCCAGTGAGTGACGATTTAATGTTATTTTTTATTTTGTGTTCAGTAAATAAATAAACACGACAATTAGAACTCGTTGAGTCGTTTCGGATGCTTTGTAATTATGTAAATGGTAAATTGAAAATGATAAACGCGAGGATAACCTACAAAAATAGCTTTTTATGTCAACCATTCGAATACAAACACAGTTTTTTAGGTTCATAAGACATGAAGCTTTACGGTAGTAAAAATATTATAAGATTTAACAAAATCCAAATACTCGTCAAAGAAAATAAGTTAATTTCACGAGCGAAGCACGAGGCCATTGAAATAAAAAAATATCCTAACTTTAATACCGAAGTTGGTTGGCATTTTACACCTGGGACCTTCGCATTGTGAAGATGAACACCTAAGCCGAATAAATCGCTGGCTCTCGAAATAATACTATTTCTTTCTTCGTTCAACATAGAAATGAAAATGTTCATAAATTTAGAGAAAAATATAGTATGAATTAACAACACCCTAGTCACCCTAGTGCACACGAAAACTGTTGAAAAAAATATACAGAAATAATAAAAAAGAAAATTTCTAATGCAAAATGAAACCGTAAATTATTTTTAATAATATCTACGAGTCGCGAACACCGAAGAAGATATCACAAATATTGAATTTAATACTTTCTATATAATTCATAACTTTGAAGGAAATAATTTTTAAAGTCCATTTTATTAATACGCTAGTATGTAACGGAATCTTTGAACATGATTTTGACGTCGCATTAACTCGAAATTTGGTATACTTATTAAGGATCGAAGACAAATGACAATACAATATTTAAAAAAATATTGAAAAAAAAAATTGAATAAATTGAAATTCAACTAAACAATGAAAAATAAATAATAGTTTAAAAATAACATTTTTTTTACAATAAAATCATTTTTTCTTACACTATTTTTAATCCAAATTTATTAAAATTTATTATCTATTTTTTTGTTGGATTTTCTATAAAAGCGTAAAACTAACGAAGTTTTTTTAAACTATTATTTATTTAAAATTAGCATTATGTTGATATGAGTTTATAAAATGGATTACTAACAAAAACATAGTAGATACTTACAGAAGAATAAAACATATCAAGCATAATCTTTTTTTTTATAATTATTACTCTTTCCACAAAATATTTTTTTTTAATTATTAAAACAACAAAAACATCACAGACAATTTTTTGTTGGCTATTTTCAAATGAACACTGATTCAATTATTTTTTTCACATCCTGTCTTCGCTCACGCAGTGAGTGTCGCAGTGCGCTGCCGTAACTTCAGCTTGGTCGAAGCGATACCCATCCTATACTCGTTTAAGGGTACGTTACTGCGAGTATCAAGTTTAAAAGAAATCCTTGATACAAATAATAATGTAGGATATCTGTTTTCAAATCCTCAAGTAATTCTTTCCGGGGAGAGCTTTGTTCGTCTGTTCTGACTGATTCGTATTTTTAGAATTCAGAAATTTCAACGGACTTGCATAATCTCGTAACTTTGCTAATACTAAATAAATCCAAAAAAGTAGGGAAGATTAGGCAAGAAAGTAATGCGGAAATTAAATAACAAGGCAAATTCTACACTAATGTAGATTTTAAAGTATTTTCTGAGTAACTAGGTACTTTAAAAATAATTCTTACACTTTTATTTGGCTGGCGGTTCCACGGTCTATTAGCTACAGACCGCATAGAACATTGATAGGCAATTGACAGCCCATTGGCCACTACCTCAACGTAAGAAGCTACAGTCCCACGACCTATAACTGTCAGGCCTTTATTACTGGTGGTAGGACCTCTTTTGAGTCCACACGGGCAGGTACCACCACCCCGCCTATTTCTGCCATGAAGCAGTAATGCGTTTCGGTTTGAAGGGCAGCCGTTGTAACTATACTTGAGACCTTAGAACCTTAGAACTTACATCTCAAGGTGAGAGGCGCATTTACGTTGTAGACGTCTATGGGCCCCAGTAACCACTTAACACCAGGTGGGCTGTGAGCTCGTCCATCCATCTAAGCAATAAATAAAAAGCCCGAAGTCTCTCGAGACTCCGTATTCCGTATACTGGCGCGGCATAACCTATTAGCCGCCATTTCAATAATAACCAACACGAAACCTTTAAGAGCCGTATTATTCGCATATGACGTCATACACAGCTGGAATGTACAGGAATCTTCGTGAAACTATGCGCGAACCGTACCACTAGTCTCGGTTGCGATTGCAATTTACTTATCGGCCCAAATCGAGCGACAATATAACAAAATTTTAATTGAACGGACCTCTTCAAAATAAAATAAGAATATCGTCCGTATATTCGAAGCCCATTAAATATGCATCATTTAGGATAACTTATAAATACTCTTTGAGTTTACCAGCTTTGTAATAACAAAATCATTAGAATCAGTTCACCTACAAAAAATCTCTGAGGTAACACTCAGAAAAAATTACAGTCCAATTACCTCCTCGTTTTTTAAGGCGATTAAAAAACAAGTCACAATAAATCTCGTCTCGGAATGTCCTGTCGAAAAATAAACCCTAAGACTACAAATATGTTCATTCAAACCTTTATTAACAATGGATTAGCAACGCAAAACATAAACAATTAAATTAAGTAATTATCATAAAATCATGAAGTACCTACATCTCATTGATTTATCTGATAATTTAACACCCACATTCGAATTATCATTACGAGATTATTATGATTGATATTTCGGTTTTTCTACGTAAATAGTCGCTAGGTCGATTTTATTAGGCCTGTCTTTGCATATAGCGATGTTTTATTTATACATATATACAATGGAGGGACGTCATATGCCGTGAAACAGTAATGCGTTTCGGCTTGAAGGGCGGGGCAGCCATTGTAATTATACTGAGACCTTAGAACTCGTGTCTCAAGTTGAGTGGCGGCATTTACGTTGTCTATGGGCTCCGGTAACCACTTAACACTAGGTGGGCCGTGAGCTCATCCAACAATCTAAGCAATAAAAAAAATAATATAAACATGTGGCCGCGATCCTTAGCAGTGAGGGAACGATATAGAAGAAGAAGAAGAAGAATAAAGATCAAACTTACCTTCGAAATAAACAGGGTTCCTCTTCAACTATATTTACGTAGCTGAAGTGGTTTTATGGTACTTCAACTTAATGCAATCTTCTTTTACCTCGCCATTACAATTTGCGCAGTGAATGCATTCCGAAATTGGTTGCGAGAGCAAACAGCTGCACGTTTCCTACATAAACTAACCAATAGTTTTCTGAAAAACATTTCTCTGCACACAACACTGAAAGGTATTACAGGAAATATCGCAAACCGAACACGACCTTATTTGTTAACTAGCGGCCCGCTCCGGTTCCGCTCGAGTCTTTAACAAAAATTTCAACGGCGTTGTTTTATTTTTACAGTTTCGTAGTACATTATTTTATTCTATCATCAATAGTTTTCGCAGGGCACGCGATGTAAATAATAATTTAGGTAATTTGTTTACACCTTGGGTTACATTATTGGAGTTTTACTAAGGATGCGTAATTTTTTTCAAAAAAGATTATAGCCTATGTCACTCGGGAATAGTGTAATTTCCAAATAGTGAAAAAGATTTTCAAATCGGTTCAGTAGTTTCGGAGCCTATTCAATACAAACAAACAAATCTTTCCTCTTTATAATATTAGTATAGATGGAAAATGTTAAAAGAAAATTTAATATTTACGTAAAGTTTTCTTTGTGAAGGATAATGTAATTATCCGGTATGTTGGTATAAATTCCGCAACATTAGCTAGGGAGCAAGACCTTCTAGTTTAGTGAAGCCTTTGTTCGTACTCAAGTACAATGCTTCATAATAAAATAATCGGACGGTTGCGATACGCCCGAGTCTGTATTATTTAGAACTCGTCTAGTAAATAGCTCGTGAAAACTTTATTATTATGTTTTAATCATTATTACAGCCAAAAATTGCTTGTCATTATATACACTAGATTTTTTTTTGATAACGCCATCTTGTTGTGTTTTTAAAGCGGTTAGTGGCCCTCAATTAAGAAAAATAGTATTATTATTCGCCAATAGATCTCAGGAAGAGTTGATTCTTGAAAACACGAATAAAACAACATTATCTGAAAATAAACCGTAGTTAGATCGATTTATCGCCCCCGAAATCCCCTGTATACTAAATTTTATGAAAATCGTTTGAGCCGTTTCCGAGATTCAGATTATATATATATATATGAATATACAAGAATTGCTCGTTTAAAGGTATAAGATATGTATACGTTATCTTGCTTTATTTTTACAATGAAAAACTCATAGTAAACGCGCTAATCAATAAAAATTTAACGATTGTTTACTTTTGATTTGTTACGTAACTTCTATTCTACCGCATGCATATTAGTTTACATAGTTTTACAATTATAATTTTCTTAAAGTTATCGTACGTTTTTTTTTACTACTATACTATTTAAAACTACTTTTACAGTTTAATTTCACGTTTTATTATTATTATTATATTACCGACGATCTGAATACTTTACAGTTTTCGTGGTCACAAAAACTCATAATGGAAATGATATGCAAAAGGAAACAATATAATGATAATGAAAAATCGTGATTAAACCGTAAAAGTAATTTTAATTATGTCGACGGCCTGTGGAAGCCGAAAAAAAAATTAAGTGTGTATTGATTATAGTATAATTGCTTAATTAAAAAAAAAAAGTCGGGGCAGTTATTAAAAAGCTACGCTGTCTTATTATTGAGACAGCAAGAAACACCTTAATGGCTCGTTTTATAAAATTTATTAACAAGTGTTAATAGTAGAAACTTTATAGCACTTAATTCTGTAATCGCGAATATTACACATAATTATAATACTACTTTTACAGTTTAATCTCGCATTTTTATTTCCGATGATTCCCACGCGCGTCCGTGACCACGAAAACTGTGCAGTATTGAAAACTTCGAAAATAATGATATTAATTTAAAACACAAGATTAAACCGTAAAAGTAATTTTAATTATGTCGACGACCTGTGGAAGCCGAAGAAAACATAAAGTGTATATTGATTATTGTATAATTGATTAATTTAAAAAAAAAGAGTTGGGACATTTATTAAAAAGCTACGCTGTCTTATTATTGAGACAGCAAGAAACATCTTAATGGCTCATTTTATAGAATTTGTTAACAAGTGTGAATAGTAGAAACTTTATAGCACTTAATTCTGTAATCGCGAATATTAATTACACATAATTAATACTACTATTACAGTTTAATCTCGCATTTTTATTTCCAATGATTCCCACGCGCGTCCATGACCACGAAAACTGTGCAGTATTGAAAACGTCGGAAATAATGATATTAATTTAAAACACAAGATTAAACCGTAAAACCATTTTGAATTCAATATAAACATTGTCCTCAGCAACATGGGTGAATCGATGCAGCGAAGATCTAGAGTGCCTGGATTTGGAAGACGAACAGCCTCTGGCCACACTCAGCAACGTACAGACGGACAAGATGACCCTCTTCTTTACAGAGCTACTGGACCACGACAGAGATGACGTGATTTGCGATCAGGACTTCGATCAGTTCTTCGAGGTATGAAGGTATCAAATTTCCATAGAATAATATTATATTCACTGTAATTTTGTGGTAGTTTGAGTATTACGTACGTACATAACGCATATCGAAAATACTATATTTAATACAAATTATATTATAGATTTATTTTTTTATTTCTATCTTTTGTTACATACATACTTATTGTAATTAACTAAAATCCAGCATATATTTAAAAATGTGAAATCTATACACAACAAAATGATATTATAATTAATCATCATTATCCTGCCCTTATCCCAGTCACCTGGGGTCGGTGCAACATGTTTTCTCCTTCCAGACTCTTCTATCATATACCATTTCTTCGCTCATTCCCCTCTTATACATATCGTCTTTCACGCAATCCATCACTTTCTTCTTAGGTCTACCTCTTCCTCTATATCCTTCCACATTCATAGTTAACGCTCTCTTACCAACCTCATTTTCATTTCGTCTCATCACATGTCCATACCATCCCAAACGCGCACTTCTCAGCTTCTCTGTCACAGGTCACAGGTGCCACTTTCAGACTTCCTCTAACATATTCATTCCGTATTCTATCCATTCTCGTTACTCCACACATCCATCGCAACATTCGCATCTCTGCTGCATGCAATCGCCTTTCATATCATTAATTCAAAATGATATTATATTAATACTGGTAGCATATTTTGTTGTGAGTATTATATATATAATAAGTTTGCAGGGATCACTTTTCTTCCCACTACCGTGAATCAATCATGTGCTCCATCTTCGAGCTTTAGTAGACGCTTAATACCGGACCAATAAAAACTTCTCTCCAGTACACCTTCATATAAAGCTGAAACAATATTCCCCCTCGAAATCTTCACTAAAAGAAAATATCCACATTTGTGTGAATTACAATAGCACGTCATTAAACTAACAATTCGAATTAAAGGGCTGTACTTAAACAAAGGGATCCTATTCACGCTCTTTCCCTCGCTCTGACTTAATTCGAGAGCTGTTCACATTTTGTACATATCACAATTGAAGCTACATACGAGCCTGATGTGAGGAATGTTTTAAGCACTGAATTTTTTTTTCTTAATTTTTCTACGTACAACGTTAGCTAAATGAAACTGTAATCATTATTATTTTTATTGTTTAGCCGGTGACCCACTCGCTGTTAAGTGGTTACTGAAGTCCATATACATCATTACGTGAACACCGTCAATCGTCTTAAGACATGAGGTCTGAGTGTCGATTGTATTATGTAAAGGCGGCCTCAACCCTTCAAACCGTAAGACAGAAAAATATGTTTGTTATTATCTACATTTAACCAAATTGTTCGGAAATATACATACTGCCAATAGAATTAAATTAAATAGATTCTCGCCCGAAGAATCTAATATCAGCTCTAGACGTTACTAGAATAGCTAGAAAAACATGAAAAAATTGATAAAATAATATTAATTTAAATGTGGCTTTGCAGAAGCTGGCCCATTTCGCAGATTGGTCGAACAACTCTTCCGAGTTCCACATACTTCTGGAGGTGAAAAGAGAATTTATCGAACATTTCATCAACCCTCTGCCTTCGAAGTGAGTCTTAGTTAAATTAGTTAAATAAAAATAAAATAAATAAATAGTTTACTCTCAATATTCTAAAATCAAATTGTTTTTTAAACATTTGTCATAGTCGTCTTCATAATTTGATTTATAGCCAATATATTATTACTTCATTTGCTTCCAAGAGCACCGTCCACTTCGTACAAGACCATCATTAAAACTGTTTTTACGGTTTATTTTCATTATATTATTTTAGATGTTTTCTTAAGAAGAAGAACTTGCTTATTGTCAGAAAACAAATTTTTATTTATTTATTTTTTTCGTCCAAAATTCTCTACGCTGCTACTAATTTTTTTTATTCTAGTTTTAGAACACAAATTTGTTAGACATTGAGTTTGCGCATTTTAACGATGATGAAACATAAAGATAAATACGGACACACACATGTGAGTAATTCGAGAAGCGTCGAAAACGCTTGCGTTGATCTCGACATAATAAAGACCCTTCATGCAGTGGCGTCATGAAATATAATATTTCATTAGGGCTGACACACTATGTATATTAAAATTAAAATACACAAAAGCTCTTTACAAGATCATAAATAATCTATATATAAAATTTGCTTCCCTTAACATCAAATTGTTGTTGTTTGGAATTTAGTTGGTAAATTCCTGCAACCATTAAATCCCGGACGCCGCTTAATTGGACAGCCCTGAGTTTCATAAAACGCGTCGTCCAGCTGCCGCTTTATGAACCTGTCCCAGAATATGGGCGATTCATGATATAACATCCAATTTGGGCGAGGCCATATTTTATCTGAGACGTTTTCGTTGAAGCGTCAATTTCTTAAAAAAATTCCCGCGTTGAAATCAATAACGTCATATGTATCAGATTAAGATGATTTTAAAATAAGAATAATTAAGTTTTTTTTATTCCACTGCGATGACAAGCTAAGGTCGTCCTTGTATTACTCTTTTTTTTAAGCCAAACCTTTTAAGAGGTTTCCGCGCCTAGAGGGTACGCAGAGAAACTTATTAGGAACAAACCGCGAGTTCAAAAATGTTTTAGGGCCCCACCTATCAAACGACTCCCGTTGCACTCTCTCATCTGACGTCTTATCTCCGCTCGAGCTCAAAACCTGGGCAGAGCAGGGAGATTCCCGCAGTCAACACTCTTCGTATCACCCACCCTGAAGCGTGAGATCGGTCGTCCCATTTCTTTTTTTTGGTCCAATATTGCCTCTCTTCTATTTCTCTTTGTCTAGTCCTATTATATTATTTTGATAACCTACTGGGGTAGCGCGTCATAATAGCATATGAATCAAGCCTTTTGCTGGTAACATTACAACTTAAACTCCCGCATAGCTAAGCGCGATGACATATGCCGGACATCTTAACCACGCCACTATGACTTCAAACATCACTTACTTTTTTAATTTATTCAGATGGGGCGACCTGCCTTTCTACAAAAGAGTATGCGGACCCGAAGCTAGCGGGATTAACATCCCAGGGCGGACCACGTTAGAGGGCTGGCTGGCACGCTGGGCGCTCTATCTGAGCAGAATGAAGAGATTTACCGACCTACCTTTATATCTACAATATTTATGCAAGATACTGTTCCACGTTGTCGACAGGGAGGGTAAGTGTAAGCGATCTAAAATAAAATTGTGTCTTTCTTTTCTTTGATTTAAAGTTGATTAAAATACCCATACCTAATACCTATTATAGGAATGTTATTGCTAAATTATACTATTTTTATTATGGATGGCCGTTGGGGCCAGAAAGTTCTTGAGTGGCGACCGCGTACCGGAAGACGTAGCGTGGGTAGGCCTCCCACAAGATGGACCGACGATTTATTGAGGTTCGCGGGGATCCTCTGGATGCAGGCAGCGCAGGACCGATCTTTGTGGCGAGGCTTAGGGGAGGCCTATGTCCAGCAGTGGACGTCTATGGGCTGAAAAGAAGAAGAAAGAAGATGATATTTTTATTTATTATATTCCCTAATTTTTTTTAATAAGAAGCTTATTCTAAATCGTTTACCTCTGTAAACATTTAAGTTGGTGACTGTTTAATTTCAAAGTTTTACAATATTATAACGATAACGCTACGGAACGTATAGAAATCAAAGTGATTGCGTTAATTTGTTGGAAACGGACACTAAATATGGGTAGAACTAAATGCAGTATCACTACGAATACAAACGTTTAAGCACGGAGCTTAAGAAAGCATCATTAGGTCAACACTCTTTATTACATAAATATAGCACATATATGAACGAATTATTCAAAATGAATATCAGCAATGCAGATACTCTACATGCAGACAATTGAACTAGGCTTATCGTGAGAAAAATGCTTAGAAGTGTCTGAGAAATGGTATGGTAGAAATCTTATTGGCATGATAACAAAATACTGATTTTAACAATAAACGTCACAAAATAAATATTTTGTCTAGTAGGTCGTTACATAATGTGTACACGTGTTGCGCGATTATGTCTCAAGAGAACCTCAGAAAAAACTATCTATAAATATAATAAATAAATAATTGGGAACAAATCACGCACGTTCATCGATAGATAGGCAAATACATGATGAAACTACTACGAATGATGGACTATCTGAAGTCGGTAGCATCGGTTCAAGCAGGGTCGAATACCCATCTTCTAAAGATGCCTATTTTATTTCCATAGAACACGGCATAAGCTTAAATAAAAATGACATGAAATATTAGGGGTTAAAGTATGAAATTGCCGTATTGTACTGAAAATTTTAAATTCGTTTCTTTTCTTTAATTTAACATATTTATTTAATCAAAATATCTACTATTATTATCTTATACATTGCTGCCATCTAATAGGAAGGTCATTTATGCCTTTGCGATCGAACTCTGGTGATCTAGATTCTACAAACTGTGTGAAGGCATTTTGTACTGCCTCCTGGGGAGAAAACTTTTCATGACGTAGAAAATTGTCCAAATCACGAAAAAAATGGTAGTCCGTTGGAACAAGATCTGACGAATACGGAGAGTGACGAATGGTTTCTAATTGCAGTTCCTGTAGAGTTAAAACGGTTTCTCGTGCTGTATGAGGTCTCGCGTTATTATGGAGCAATAATGGTTTTTTTTTTATTGCTCAGATGGATGAACGAGCTCACAGCCCACCTGTTGTTAAGTGATTACTGGAGCCCATAGACATCTAAAACGTAAATGCGCCACCTACCCGAGACCGCTCGTAGTAGTGAGACCGCCACTACTACGAGATATAAGTTCTAAGGTCTCAGTATAGCTACAACGACTACCCCACCCTTCAAACCGAAACGCATTACTGCTTCACAGCAGAAATAGGCAGGGCAGTGGTACCTACCCGTGCGGACTCACAAGAGGTCCTACCACCTTGCATTTTCGCTTACGGCTATCGTAAAGAATCCACTTTTCATCACATTTCATATTTCGTTCTAATATTCCTTCATTTCTGTATCTGATTCAACAAGGCAACATAAGTTTCAGCACGCGTTTCATTCTGCAGATCAGTCAAATCATGAGGCACCCATTTTTCGTATTTTTTTATTTTATAGATTTGACGTAAATGCGTCAATATTGTTGGTGAGGTAAAGTTAAACCATGCCGCTAATTCCTGGGTAGTTATTTGGCTCGGATCGGCTTCCACCATCTCTTTCAATTCATTGTTATTCACATGTGTGGGCTGTCTTCGACGTGGTTCGTTCTTCAAATCAAAATTTCCATCACGAAAGCGCTTAAACTAAAATCGCTCGTTGCGCTCATTAGCAGTCCCCTTTCCAAATGCAATATTGACATTTCGAGATGTTTCTGCAGCGTTAGTTCCGCGTCGGAACTCGTATTAAAAAATCACTCGAATTTTCGAAGTATCCATCTTTCTTGTCTAAGCTGAATAAAAAAAACAACTAAAAGTCGATAATCGATGTTGCACATTTTTAAAAGAAGAATCGTATATGTACCATTTGAAAAAAGTTTCACTTAACAATCTCAAATCATGAAGGTTCTATGTCAATTCGAAATACCTATTACAATAGAACGGCAATTTCATACTTTAACCCCTATTACAAATTCTATCGTTTATAAATAATAAAATTAAATTTCAGAGTTCTTTAAAATTGTAGTAATGTTTTGATCTCTTTTGTGTTATTATTATTACGTTTTGAAGAAAATATTATGAATATTACTAAAACCCGTCAGATCACATTATAATAAAGACGAAAATCGATTGACAAACAGTAGAGAAAATGGTGCTATTTTCCTCTCTATACAGAATTTATTTATTAACGTCAATAACAATTACCAAAATATTTTACTTTCCGAATACTATGTAATACTCGTAATATGATCGAATTTCAACGTCATATCTGAATTGGGGAATTGATGGATGACAATGTCGTGAGAGCGTTCACTGACAGGTTATTCGGGTATAATGCTGATGGCTAAGACAGATCGTCTCGACTCAATTATTTAACGTAACGATCAGAAATTAAACTTTTTTTTTCGTGTGAGATGAAACTAATATGAACTAGTGGTCACCCGGCCGTCGTAATTCGACTATAATTAATTGAAATTATAAGTTTGTACTAGTGTACTGCGCTGTTATTATTCTATCATTTTAGACAAATATTAATAAAGACAAACAATATTTAATCCTTTCCCAATTTCACCACAGACTATCTCTATATATAAAAATGAATTGCTGTTCATTAGTCTCGCTAAAACTCGAGAACGGCTGGACCGATTTGGCTAATTTTGGTCTGGAATTATTTGTGGAAGTCCAGAGAAGGTTTAAAAGGTAGATAAATATGAAAATGCTCTGAATTAAATAAAAATAACAAAATTTGGTTTTTCCTTTGATATGACTACGAAGTCTGCCGGGTCAGCTAGTAAGCAATAAAAGTTTGATAATAAACAAATAGTATGCATGCGTGTTGTGTTAAACACATGGTAGTGTGTGTAATGTTTTTATTTATTGATTTATGGTATTTTTTAAGCATAATTTAAAAAATATTAACATTTAAAGATTTTTTTTAATTCTCTCTTGGCCTATTGAGATAATCCTTGCCTCTGGCGTGAGTTGACACTATGTTCAGATTTTTTGGTGTTATATACGAAGCGTGAAGTATACTCACAAGTACTCATGATCAGCAGCAACTTAGCGACTTTTTTTTTTATTGCCTAGTTGTGTGGACGAGCTCACAGCCCACCTGGGGTTAAGTGGTTACTGGAACCTATAGACATCTTCAACGTAAATGCGCCACACACCTTGAGATATAAGTTCTAAGGTCTCAGTATAGTTACAACGGCTGCCCCACCCTTCAAACCGAAACGCATTACTGCTTCACGGCAGAAATAGGCGGGGCGGTGGTACCTACCCGTGCGGACTCACAAGAGGTCCTACCACCAGTAATTTATATCGATAATTGCAGAAATAATCTTTAGTCTCGGCACAGATTAAATTAACATCAGAAACTAATCTGACAGATGTGACAAGTGAAATATGATCACTTCAAGAATCATCAAGTTTCACCTACAACAATCTTTCTATTAAATTTACGCTGAACAATCAGCTTACATTCAGGATTCATTCTAAAATGTACGGAAATAAGCAAAACCGAAGCCTAAGGAACATTATGAGCCTAATATTATATTAATAATTAACGATGACCATTCTAAAAGCTCAAAGTAAAACAGTTAAAACGATTTATGGCAAATAAAACGTTAATGACGACATTGTAAATGCCTGCCTAATGTTTAAATACATTAAAATTAATGCAAGCCGTTGTTAGCTGGGAGTTAGCAACATTGTATTAATTCGCTTTTAAATATATGTACTTAATGGATAGGCTAATATTATACCTATGAGTGTTGGTCTCCCTACACCAGTTGCGGGCACGTTAATGATGAGAATCTTTGTGGGGGTGAGAAATAATAATGTTAATTTTAAATGCCCAGCGAAGCGGACGGGTACAGTTAGTAGTTTATAAATTTATAAGATTACTAGCTGACCCGGCAAACATTGTTTTGCCATATATAAGATTTCTAGGTAATTTCTAGTGTAAAAAAAAAAAACTAACTTATTGTAAGTGTGTAAGGATGTGGTAAATGAGTGAAAGAGGTATGTAGTGCTGTGAACGATGAGGGAATATATAATAAAAATAACAAAACCTCATTCAACCACATAATACCTCATTATAACAAAAAAAAATATGTCCAAATAAAAAAAAAATTGTTAGCGGTGGACAACCCTAATCACTTAGGGTTATGAAAAATAGATAGTAGCCGATTCTCAGGCTTACTAAATATGCATAAAAAAATTCATGAGAATCGGTCCAGCGGTTTCGGAGGAGTATGGGAACGAACATTGTGACACGAGAATTTTATATATTAGAAGAAGATGTAGTTGAATTTTTTTTTTAATTTTATTCTACGTTTCAATTACAGTTAACTTGTATCTTCAAAATATAAAGAAGTTGATTAAAATGAAGAAACAAAGAGATACTATTACGTAGAGCGTATTGCAGGTCCGTACGTATAATTACCACCATCCCACTTTTTTTTTTATTGCTTAGATGGGTGGACGAGCTCACAGCCCACCTGGTGTTAAGTGGTTACTGGAGCCCATGGACATCTACAACGTAAATGCGCCACCCACCTTGAGATATAAGTTCTAAGATCTCAGTATAGTTACAACGGCTGCCCCACCCTTCAAACCCAAACGCATTACTGCTTCACGGTAGAAATAGGCAGGGCGGTGGTACCTACCCGCGCGGACTCACAAGAGGTCCTACCACCAGTTAGGTAGTCGTTCAGAAGCAGAATGCGACATCCATGGACTAGTCTAATACCAAAGTATTTTCGCGGTAGCAACACACAATGTAGTATAATCCCAAGTGTGCGGGCTCATAGAACGACCCACCACGACTTACAAAGATTATTCTTGTAAGCGTTCTAGATATTTGGAATTGTGAAGTCGATATTTCGAGCGTTTTTTGGTATAGAAATAATTAGAAGTTATAAAATTGGGTATTTTTTTAATCGCTTAGATACGTGGACTAGCTCACAACCCACCTGGTGCCAAGTGGTTACTGGAGCCCATAGAAATCTACAACGTAAGTGCGCCACCCACCTTGAGATATAAGTTCTAATGTCTCAGTATAGTTATAACAGCTGCCCCACCCTTCAAACCGAAACGCATTACTGCTTCACCGCAGAAATAGGCGGGGTGGTGGTATCTACCCGCGCGAACTCACAAGAGGTCCTACCACCAGTAAATACGCAAATTATAATTTTGCGGGTTTAATTTTCATTACACGATGTTATTCCTTCAACGTGGAAGTCAATCGTGAACACTTGTTGAGTACGTATTTCATTAGAAAAAATTAGCACCCGCCTGAGATTCGAACACCGATGCATCGCTCAACACCAATTCGCACGGGACGTCTTTATCCGTAAGGCCACGACGACTTCAACCATTAGAAGCTAAACAAGATAAAGGAACATTAAAATTTTTATTTTGCTGATAATAATATAAAAACTCCAAAGAAATACGCGAGCATACTAAATACCTATTTAAGTAATTACAAAATTACAATAAATAAATCTAGGTATATATATTTTTTTTATATAAAATGTAAAGGAATAAAAATTCGAGACAATTTTAAAACATTTAAAAACTCCAACACTTTTTAAGATTTAACGCTCTTGGCGTGTGACGATACTGCGTGCGCCAAACCAGTAAAAGCCTGTGCATTTCTCTTTCATACGATGCGGCAACGGCGCTTCCCCTTTCCCGTGTAATCTTAACAAAATTATTGGTTGCCAAATGCGCTTATCTATTCATGGAATACGAACAGGACTTAATTGCTTTCACTTTACGAGCTATATACTAAAATGTATTTATATTATTGATTTTTTATTTATTTAATTTACTTCAGATTTTACATCCATATTACACGTCTTCATTACATTGCATTAACATTTCATTTATACTAAAATTAAATAAAAATAATAACTAATCTCGGACTAAAACAAAAACAATAATAATAATAATAATAATAAAAACAAAAAAACAAATAATAATAATAATAAAACAAAAACTCTAAATTAACATGAAAACTACCTTAACCTAAAGGCTGGTTTGGATCCAGAGTGCTCAAAATGCACACGTGTCCAGTGTTGCATTATTGGGCAGTCCAGATCCATCCGTGAATCGACCAGCCGTAGGTAGCGGTTGCGACTGACCCGCGAATCAGGGAAGCAATTCGCTTGCGAATGATTGCTGCGAAGCTGTCTATTCGCGCATCCGCAAACATCCCCGATGCACCGCAGTGACGCGGCAGCCACATCAGCGCTCTGAAAGCGTTATTATACTGGACACGCAGGGTGTTGTAGGATTTCTTGGTATACTTAACCCATAGGCTGCACGTGTAGAAAGACTGGCAGTATGCTCTAAAAAGAGTAGCTTTCACCCCTGCAGTACACCGCGCGAACCTACGGGCCAGCATATTACCCCTGATTGACAACGCCCTGCGCTCCCTGTCCATGTCTACATCGTCTGCAAAAATGACAAATATATTACCCGTGAAATATTTTTCGACTTCAATCGTATTTTAGTCTGCTATCACTAATGCTTATATGTATAAACCTAATTATATTTCGAAATTTTAATAATAAATTGCTTAAAATAGTGGTTAATGTAATAAGTAAAACAATTTAAGTAATCTGAAATTGGCCAAAGGACGAATACAGCCTTTTGTAATTCCAGTAAGGTCTTTGGCACTGTTGCCAAATACTACGCTACGCTCTAAAGGGTTTCCAATATTAAGTTCATTTAATTTTCAAGCAGCATTAGCAAGTAGCATTAGAAACTGGAATCAATAGGATGAACATAAAATGAGATTAAATGAAGAGATATCTCAGTACAATGTTGGAAATTTACTGAGACGTTACCAAACTTTTTATAGAATAAACCCGAGAACCCACGTTCAGCGATTTTGCTTATTGCACACATTCAATTTCATTCCACACTTGCGCACCTTGATAGATGGCAACGTAAAAAAATCCAAAAAATAATCATACAACTTGAAACATCGCGTTCCCGCCAAAAAGTCAGCCGTTGATCTTATCGGGTATGATACTTAGTAGTTAGCAGTACACAAAATATGATGAATAAATTGACAATCAGCAATAATATTGTTACAGGCACAGGATCGATCACTAAGCCCGCATTAGCAGCTTTTTATCGGTCTGTCATAGGATTGACGGCGACAAGGGTTGACGAAATCATAGACACGGCCTACGATCGTATGACTAGCGTAAGTGGAGCATTTTTTTATTAATTACTGACCCGTAAAACTTGTCCTAATGCAAATAAATTTGTTAGTGTTATTAGCAGGTTATCTTGTTGTGGATTTTACAGAGATTTTATTCATTTTTTTCTTAAACAAAACCCTCATTTTGAGACTATGAAAATTAAAAAAAAAAACAATCTGTCAATACGCTCTCAAAGGATGGCCTTACAAACGAACATCATACCTTTTATTTAAATATTAGATATAGTCTTGCTATAAAGGCCAACTTTAAAAAAATACTGTTGTTTTATTTATGGGAAAGGTGTATATTTTCTGACTTACAAATGATAATTACGTTTCTAATCGATATTCAAAACAAAGGAAAGAGAATTATTAGTTCAAATTAAGCCTTGCGTCTCAATCTTACTTTTTTTTTTAAATGCTATTAAAAAAGTTTAAACATATTTTTACTTTCAGAACGGATATTTAATCTTAGACTACGGTACATTCGTCCACTGCTTTACTAATTGGCTGATGGGGAAAAACCCCAACGGTCCGGGCCAATGGGTGTTGGTGCCTCCTAAAGATTCTCTCCCACAGCCGCCTTTCCCAGTAGACTACAGCGCCCTGAACACAGAACCAGCTAAACTAGAGCCCTACGCGCCAGACAAGAAGACCAATAGACATTCAGTCATAGTTTAAGATAAACTTGTAGTCTGCATTATTGTAATGATTTGAAAACCCAAAAAAAACTCCGTGCGACATCATAGCCTCGCATGAGTCTTAACAGTTTTAAGAAACTCACATGCCTTTTTCGATTTTCTGAACACAATACGTGGATAAAAATATTCATAAAAAGAAAATGTGTTCATATTTTATTATCATCGGTGGGTGTTTCGTTAACTGCTGACGAAATTTCAATTGATTTGAATGTATAACAAAATAATTATGTCAATTTAAGTCAATTTATATATACGATCGTTCTAAAATGCATTAGATTAATAATACTCTGAATAGATATCGACGGGAGGTTTTCCTAAAATTAAATAGTTCATCTTTTTTTTTTTCATCAAATTTCACACCAATTTTCAACTTTCTATCTATATAAATATTAATATGAGTTGTGAATTTTTGAAATAGTTTAAGGCTCTTGTGTAAAGATGGGTTTTTCAAGTTACGACAATTCGGTTTTCTTCCGTCGATATTACTATACGTGAACAGTAAATGTCAATCATAGTTCGTTCATATTCACTCCGTGTTCTATTGGGTGAGAATACTTGCAACTTATTTTGTTGTTTCATCTTCTTGGATCTTCGCGAGTTGTAGACATAATTAAAATTACTTTTATAGTTTGATCTCGATTTTTTCATTGTTAAATTATATTCTTTTCTACGTTTCAAATGCCGTATGGTGTATGCGAACACTGACGACTAAGGTGGTCATCGGAAATAATTTGATGAACAATTAAAAACGCCAAATCGTAAAAAAAGTTTTAAATTAGTCGCTCTATTAAATAAATAAATAAAACTGATCCCTAATCAAGAAAACCATCTTACAGTCCTACCCCTAGATTAGATTAGTAGTCATCGGTCCACAATCAGATGTAAAATACAAATAGGTTCTTTTCCTTTCTTTTACATTTTTAGCGCCAATTAACAGCGTAATAGCGCGCCTGCTTGTGATTCGCAATGTTCCGATAAATAATTTTCTATTCACTAAGATTCTCTGTTAAGTCATACGTTTAGATTATTTAAATGTGAGTAATATCTACGAACTTAGTTAATTTCCGGTAATTTTAACTGAAACTATGTCATCGATTCCAACTCCTGCAGTTTGCCACGATACTTACTACCAATGCCATTTAGATGTAAGGTGTTTCGTGATTGCCTTAAATATTTGAAAATTAAGTAAATTCGCTTTGATATGTAAGGAAACGCTTTAATATCTTAGTTATACTATGCATTTCGACCAAACCTATCGTCTTATACTTAGATTAAGTCGATGTAAATAATAGATATAAACGCACGGTAGCAAAATGCTATAATTAAAGCATTTTAACCTTTCACGGTATAGCCTTATTTTGTACCCTAGTACCTTTAAAATAAGATCGGTATTATAATAAGTACACGAGAATAAAAATAAATTATTTCATGTCTTTGTTTTATTTGAGGACGTTGAAGTTACAGACTACTATAGGCATGCTTTACCTTAAATCCTACTTTAAAACCAACGCATAACTATAAAACAAAATTCAACTAATATAAATATGAATCTAATTAAAACAACTTTTACGATTATATGTATTTACAATACATTTGAACATTGTGCTAACTTACGCTTTAACTAAAAGATCTATGAATAACGCTTTAGTTATCCGTGACCACCAAAACTGTAAACTATTCGAAACGTTAATAAATAACTTAATAACAACGAAAAAATATGAAATTAAACCGTAAAAGTAGTTTTAATTATATCTACGGCACGAATACCGAAGAAAATATTAATTTATGTGAACCTAAATTTATACATAATTATTTCTATTCTAAACAGGGCACAAAATGTCCAATTCACAAATCATGTATCTATGTTTTCAGGGATAATCTCTGTAACTGGTGGTAGCGCGTCCATTGAGCCCGCATGGGTAGGTATGCTTTCCAGTTTGAAGGGTGGAGCGGCCGTTGTACTATTGAACTCTGACTTAGAACTCATGACTCCGAGTGAGCGGGGAAATTTACGTTGTTGATATCCATGGGCTCCGGTAACAACTTAACACCAAGTTAGCCCTGAGCTCGTCCAATGATATTCTTCTTCTTCTTGCTTCGGTTTCCTCAAAACTGGGGTCGTGACCATGTCCTCGCAACAAGAGTTTATTACGGACCATTCCACGTCATTTTCCTCTATCTGCCGCCGAGTGTAGAGCATCGTGAACTGTGGTGTCGAGGGTAGTGCGGATCTGGTCAGTCCAACAACAATTAAACTTAAACAATGCAAAAACAAACCAAAAACGACATAAACTCACTAGGTACATGACTACAACAGATTTAAATTTTTCAATTCCATTTCCACAGCTGCTGTAATAAAAAACTCAAAAATACATGCTTTTGTAAAAACAGCGCTTCACGACCGGGTATTTCTTGAAAAAATCCCGATGATTGATGAGAGGTTAAAAGATTGTTCGGACATCGATGACATGGCGCAAAAAAAGCGAAAGCTCCAAACACGATTAACCTCACAATGTACTACTTAATTTCTGTTGTTGTTTTTTTAACCTACACTGAGAGCCTAAGGCTATTCCAGCTACGTTTGGACGGATAGACTCACGAGCTCAACCTGAGATAATTAGCTAACACTAGCCCTAGCAAGAGCAGTGCTTTTCAGAATCTACCACCGGATCGGAAACACGATCCACTGAGAAGATCTGGCGTGAAACACAATGAGGAAACTTTCTGTACTCACAATTATTTTAAACCAAATAAACATCATCAATATCTCTAAAATGTAATAAATTTATTAAAAATTATAAACTATGGAAACAAAAGAAGTTCACTAAATTCGATCCACAAACATTTAAATGCGGTGACTTGTTGATCCGAGCTCAATTGCTGTTTGCAGTGAAACTAAAAAAACTATACGTAGATATGGTTAGGAATCCTAATTATTATTTTTTGGCATGCGAATGATAAATTATACCTACTTTAGTACAGAACCATAATTAAAACGTACTGAAAATGTCAAATAAACACTTCACATGCTTCAATGCACTTCGATTTTAATGCCTTAATTTATCATTAGACACGTCTACGTCACACCTGACAGCATGATAAACATTATTCACGAACATAAGAATTTCGAAGAGTACAGAGAAGCCAACTCACTCTCGAGTGGAACATTATTTCTAGGCAGGGGTTCCTAAGTACCAAGTACTTATCTTATACCTTTAAACGAGCAATTCTTGTATATTAATATATATGTATATAATCTGAATCTCGGAGACGGCTTGAACGATTTTCATAAAATTATACAGGGGGACAGTATACAGGGGATTTCGGGGGCGATAAATCGATCTAGTTACGATTTATTTTCAGAAAATGTTATTTTATTCGTGTTTTCAATAATCAACTCTTCCCGACATCTGTTGGCGAATGATAATACTATTTTTCTTAATTGAGGGCAACTAACCGCTTTAAAGACACAACAAGATGGCGTTATCAAAAAAAAAAACTTCCACGGTAAAGGAATTACATCGTGTAATAAAAATCAAACCCGAAAAAATTATAATTTGCGTAATTACTGGTGATAGGATCTCTTGTGAGTCCGCACGGGTAGGTATCACCACCCTGCCTATTTCTGCCGTGAAGCAGTAATGTGTTTCGGTTTGAAGGGTGGGGCAGCCATTGTAACTACTTATATACTGAGACCTTAGAACTTATATATCAAGATGGGTGGCGCATAAGGCGCAATTACGTCATAGATGCCTATGGGCTCCAGTAACCACTTAGCACCAGGTGGGCTGTGAGCTCGTCCAACCATATAAGAAAAAAATCTATAGTACTAAACTTATTTCTTTTCTTATTTTTATACTAACAACGCTCGAAATATCGACTCCAAATATCCAAATATCTGACACGTTTACAGGGATAATCTTTGTAGGGCATTCTACGAGGCCGTACGGGTAGGTACCACCACCCTACGTGAAATTAAAGAAATAGATCTAGAAGAACTGCGCCCATCCACAGTATTTGTTTCGTTTCAAGTACTTTCTCCTGATCTAATAGACTATGGAATAGCCAATTGTAACGGACGTGACGTCACCTGTCATGCCCTGCCGCCAGCCTAGCCGCCAAGCCATGTTAACACGCCCCCTTCCGCCACTGCCGCTAGCCAAATCCAACGAAGGGGGGATAGTGTTAATAAAACAAGCCATGCCGGCCATTTCTATCTGCTTTCTGCTTTCTTGCACAAATAAAAGAACTTGTCGTTACGCTGCTGGTTTTTTTTGGCGCATCATTTGCAACACAATCTTTCTCTCTTTTTTTTCTATACCTACCGTTTTTTATTAACAATCTACATAAAATTCGAATAGCCACCCAGTTTCACCGCACAACTACGATAAAAATGTCATGAAATCATAATTACGTGTCTTTTCCAGATAAAAAAAAAAATGTATCCGCGTTCAATAAGTAACGATTTTTATGCCAAATTGCCTTCGACTTTATGCGGTTACGCAGCTGGCACGTTGTTGCCTCGAAAGTAATTTCCTTTATTACTGTATTTGCAAGCCAACTTTAGTCTTGTTTCCGGCCGGAAATGGATTCATACTTTTTTTACTTTACAAAGTTAAGGGCAGGGATATAACAGGAGTCTTTGTGATTTGGAAATCGCAATACCTAAGGAAACTACAACAGTTTTACTATTTTAAAACTTAGTACAAAATACTATTAATAAACAATAAAATTATTTACAATGCAGTAGGGAACAAATACGAGACATAAATAAGTATTGGTACAAAAATCTTCACATTAAATGAAAAATCATAATTAAAATTACCAAACACTGGTAGGGTTCGGGAGTGGCTTGAGCTCTAGAATAAAGAGTCCAGAATAAAACTGAAATTTAAAAAACATTTGAAAGTTTTACTTATGCAATATCTAAATTTAATTTTCCATTTTGAGCTTCATTTCTTTCACGATATTTTCATCAGTAACATAAATAAATTCACTGTCACCTTCACCCATCCTCAAATTATTCTGCCAGCCAGCTTTATTCAAATATTTTGTTATTTTACACGAGCTATGCAAAATCTTACAACCCATATCTATGAATAGTTTGGCATTATCGACATTGACACCAGCTCCGGGCATAATTTCAATTTTATCAGAAAAAGTCTCTATAAGTGTTCTGATTAATACTAATGCTTCAGAATCCGCTGCCGTGCATCTCTGCCCACTGGTCAATAATCTACTAAATCCCAGATTTATAATTTTTGTAACGGTAGCACTGGGTTCTTTGCAAACGTCAAACGCCCTATGGAATGTCACAGGCGTAGGAGATGCTCTCTCAATAATCTTTTTGCAGTTTTTTTCGTCTATTTCCTGACTATCTGTTAAAGCGCCAAAAACGAATCTGTCTATTTCAAACTGCTTGAAATGATCAATGTCTGATAGCATTGTGTCCATTTCGAAATCGTTGTAACAGAAATCCGAACCAGTTCGACATCTTATCATGACGTTCACTTTGGGAACCTGAAAATAATTATCGAGTATAATAATATACTGATCAGGTGAAGGACCTTACTGAAACCCCACTTGACGAGTGTGTGCGCCGGGCCTCGGTTCGCAAACTGTGGAAAACATCTGTCAAGGCTTTAATAAGCAAGAATTCCAGATGACCACGACTGCTCTGCCAAGAGCAACCGATTATGATGATGATGATGATGATAATAATATACGGAATCGCGTTGTTCTAAAATTCGCTTAAACGCTTAAACCAAATTTATGCTACTCTCACAGACACTGCACTAGGTCCATAAACATCGCAATTTTTTTTTGCGGCTTGCGTTGCATTTTTAACTTTTTTGTAGTAAAATTTTAAAATGTATCGAATTTCTTCTAAATTATCGAATTTTCCTATTTTGAATTTGGAATTGCCTTTTTTAAAATTTAAACTTTTAATGATACCAAAACCAGCCAGATACAAATAGATATTTTATTTTGAAAATCAAATCAAATGAAACATATCAACAAATAAAATGTAAGTACCTACCTTAAGAGTTTTCTTTCCATAGCTGTACTGAGAACACGATTTATGAATCAGTCGTCCATTTTTAATATTGTTTACCTACAAACAATCACACGTTTAAGAAAATCTTAATAAGAATAAAGGAATAAAGAAAAAAAATGTTTGATTTATGCGGTAGAATTTTAATGCCATACTATTGCACTTTATACCTCAAGTCTTACTAAAGTCTATAGCTGTGGCCACAATACATATTGCGCTACTTTTTAACGCTTGAAATGCCTACGGTGCATATGTTCATAACGTAAATCCGATAAAACAATTTAAATAACAATATAAATATAATTGATAATAAAGTTTAAACATACAAAAATATTAGTATAACTGTTTGGCGGGAAAGCAATTAGCTAACTTCTGTTAATTGTTTTATTTATTTAATGTGATTTGTTCTAGGTTTGAAAGTATAATAACGGCAATTAACCGTTTATCATCTGTGAAAATGCACAAGTGCGGGAAAATGAAGTAAAGTCGCTGAATGTGGCTTCTCGGGTTCTTCCAGTCTCAGTAAATAGCCACCATTTTAGCGTGACTATTTCATCTCATCCCATTTCATTTATTGCCAATTGATGACAGTCTCGAGTAAATTTACTTCATCTCATTTCTTTTTTTTAAGAAAAATATGTAAGTACATACGTTTTTTTAAACTGGACATTAGCAAATATGTACAATACTGCAAGAAGCCGATTGCCATACTAAAAAATTCGCAGAAGAAAAATCATATTTTTTATTCATAGTTTTATAAGTTCCAATTTTGAACTTAATGTTATCGTAAGAATGAATCCATAATTATTTTTTATGATTGAAGGATTACTGGTGTCTCGAAGGCTTTTCCAATTTCACCAGGACAGGCGATCAAAGGTTCAGCCAGGAGGGTTGGGATTTGCTAACAGCAGCCCGAGCGCCTCCGAAGGAGACGTGAATCCGTATTATAAAGTCTGTCGCAAAATAATTTATTTGTGAATTTTTACGAAAATCTTATACATACAACGGACGCAATCTGAGATACGAGCCCTGGGCTCGGTGTAAGTCCGCCTTCAGTAAGTGAACTACAAACTTCCAACTCGTCCGCACCACCGTAAATAGCATTAATCGCAGATTCCAAACTGTCTATGCAAACTTCAAGCATGTTCTAGAAATAAAGATAAAATTAAAGAGAAATTAGTAATATTAGCATTTTTTTAACCCAGGCGGAATTCGGATGTACTAGCTAGTGGTGATGGTAGTCGTTTTGTAGAATGCTTCAACGGTCCCACGTAATTTATGTGCTTCCTTACCGCAAGCATCTCGTACGATATTAGACCCCAGCCTAAAATATATTTATAAAAACGTGACCTGAGCTCAGCATACATTTATTAAGGGATTTTGCCCTGTGTGTGCCATTAAGTATTATTGTTTTTTTTTTATGATTGAAGATTTACTGGTGGCCCGGAGGCCTTTCCAGTTCCACCAGGACAGGTGGGCGAGCAAAGGCTCAGTCAGAAGGGGTGGAATTTGCTAACAGCCGCCCGAGCGCCTCCGAAGGAGACCTAACAAATCAAGATCAACTGCTTCGCGAATGAATCTACTACCGGATCGGAATCGCGACCCGCTGAGAAGATCCGGCGAGAAACTCAGCGAGCTGATGCATGGGTTAGGTTGTACGTCGACCTCTTTGTCGAGTTCGACGAGTACGGTTACCGGGGATCCTCAGCCTGCCCCTAGTGTTAGAGCTGAAGGTATCTAATGCAAGAGTTATTGGATCTGATGGATCTGCAAGGACGTGTCTAGGGCGACGACAGTGACTTGCTCCTGCGTGATCAGGATTCGGGGAATATTATTGTGTTAAATGGTCAGTGCTATACTGCTTGTCTTCTATTACGGGAATGGTTCCATTACTTACGTAGAACTATAAAACAAGCTACCTCAGTACCGTTTACTCCATGGAAATTAGAAAAATTGCTTAAAATGATCCTTTCATCCTTGAAAATGTCCCCCGTTGGAACATATTTGATACGTGTTGTGTGAGTAAGTGGTTTTTTCCGGTAGACCAATAGTCCGAATGCTGTTGTTCGGAATAAATACATTTTAATCGCATGTGTATTTCTCACATTTCTATCTATTAATTAAGCTAACTATTAATCAACATCATGAATGCATGTATTTATCACAACTATTTCCTTATCTTGATTACTATTTATACAGGACTTATGATTTAATATCCATTGCCTATGAATACCTGTATAAAAAGTTACAAAAAAAGCTACGTTGAAATTGTGTTTTTTTTTCTTGTAAAATATTGTATTGAGAATTTCAGACTTAATGGCTTCTGTAAACATAATTTTAACAGTAAAAATGGCAATACTTACAAAACAGAAATAATTTCTTGGAAAGGAAAAATAAAAAAATTATGAACTCTGTGTACAATTTTGCTGCTTTATGATCACCGTCCGTCAACTTTCCTATCAGCCAATGCCAACAGTGGCAATATCTGCGAAAACGAAAAAGCGCTCTACAAAAGAAGCAATCAGCTATAATTTTTTAACGGATTTTATGACCTGGTAACTAAGACCTTTAAGTCATGTCTTATTTTAATATAAATTCTTATTTTGTCTTTGGCTTTGTTTCATTTCCCCTCATTTTTGCACTTTCACAGATATTAAACAGTTAATAAACCACCGTTATTACACATTTAAACCTGAAGAAACACTAAATAGACAAAATAAAACAAAACACAACTTCACTCCTCGCATTCCCGCCAAAAAGTCTCATTCATACACACATTTTACTCTTTATTGTAGATTAAACTTAGAATCATTACATACTCAATACCATATGTGGATATACGAGCCCATAAATATCGACAACGTGAATGCCGTTACCCACCTTGAGACAATAAAAGCTCTATGTCTCAGTTTTATTGTAGGACTACACAGCTCAAATTGAAGTGCATTGCGGATTCCTAGCAGAAAGAGCCAAGGTGATGATTACCCGTACGGGCTCATAAAATGCTCCACCGCTAGTAATTGCGTTATATATTTAATTCATAATTTCCTTAGCGATATTTAAATTTAAAAAAGTATTAATTCAGGCAGTGGAGTAGTTGTGACAATAATTTTTGGGGTATATGACGTCACCTGGGTCATTTAATGAATAATTAATCAATTGATGATAAATTGATGTAGACCAATTTACCTCCATAAGCTCTATACTTAGATTGGATATTTTATTTTTAAATTAAGAGAATATCAATCTCCTAGTATGCTAAATAAACGAACACTAGAAAAATGCTACTAAATATAAATAAAAAATAAACAAAGTACTATGCAAAAAAGTCAACATATTGCTATTTTAAATGCACACAATCAGCAATTTAGGCACTCATCTCGTCAAAAAGGTCAAGACTAAATTCTAGTGTTACATACACACACTTCCGCAAAAGAAAATTAGTAATAATATGAACAATATCTCCTTTGCTTCTCCATATGAAATAAAAAATCGAGTCCTTTTGACGTTTCGAAATCTATGGACACGCGAATGCAGGCAGTATTTCGCCAGTGTTCGCTTACTTTTAACAGGTAATTAACTCAAACACATAAAAATTTAACCCTACAAACGATGTAAAAAATTTATAAATAAGAAATAAATGTGTACGAAACTAAAAATTTCATAAACATATGATACAGCTATTGAGGTTATAATCGTATTTTGTGCCACATATTAAATGAACATTTTAAACAACAGAAATGTCTCGACGAAAAGATCACGAGGAAACCGACAAGCTAACTCGTATCGCTATTGTGAATGCTGATCGCTGCAAGCCAAAGAGATGTAGGCAGGAATGTAAGAAGAGTTGTCCTGTTGTACGTATGGGAAAACTCTGCATCGAAGTCACTCCTAATGACAAGATAGCCACCATCTCTGAGGAGCTATGTATCGGTTGTGGTATTTGTGTGAAGGTGAGCGGACATCAGTTTGCTACGTAGTTAATATATGCATTAACATAAAATATTACTATTGTATTCACATAAAAACGAAAGAACTATTATTTTTTTATAAATCAGAAGTTCGTGTAAAATTCATTAAAATGGATAGTTTTTACTATTCTTCAATTTTTTATACATTATTAGTATGAATGCTCTATTTTCCAATATTGATATTATGTAAAACAGTATGTCAAAATATGAATGCAAAAACTAATTTTTAATTCTAATTAACACCCTATTCAATGAAATTCTCCTTTAGTCATTTAAGAAATAAAAAATTGAAAAATATTTGATGGTGATGTAATCATATGCCTAACAATATTATTTAAAATATTTTCAGAAATGTCCCTTTGATGCTATCACCATCATCAATATCCCATCTAACTTGGAGAAACACACTACCCACCGTTACTCCAAAAACTCATTCAAGCTCCATCGCCTGCCTATCCCAAGACCAGGAGAAGTTCTAGGTCTTGTTGGGCAGAACGGTATAGGAAAGTCTACTGCACTGAAGATTCTTGCTGGCAAGCAGAAGCCCAACTTGGGTCGTTACACTGTAAGATCTAAAAACACATTTAATAAACACTGATGCACAAATTACCCTATAGACACAACCCACTAATCTTTTCACCCCATCTTCACAATGGATTGTAAATCCAATACAATGGTAGATTCAGCGAAGCACTGCACTTGCTAAGGCCACTTTTAGCAACTCCTCTCAGGTTGAGCTTGTGAGCTCGCCCACCCAACTAGAAGATGGAATAGCCTGATAGACTACCAACAATTAGGAAAAAAACAGAAACTACATAGCAAGGAATAATTCCATTCCCTAAAATGATTTTGGCCTTATTATTACTATGCCAAAAACTTATTATGTATGACAGTGTCTTTTGTTATTAAATCAATACAATACCATTTTCAATTTGCTGTGTTATTTTTAACAGCTTTTCTTACATTTTACATTATTTGTCAGGACCCTCCAGATTGGCAAGAGATACTTGCTCATTTCCGGGGCTCTGAGCTGCAAAATTACTTCACAAAGATCCTCGAAGATGATCTAAAGGCGCTCATTAAGCCTCAATATGTAGATCAGATCCCTAAAGCTGTAAAGGGAACTGTCGGTCAACTATTAGACAAAAAAGATGAAATGAAAAACCAATCTGTAATATGTAGAATGCTTGGTAAGTTTTGCTAATAAACATATCATTTTGCAATTTGTCTGGAAGAATATAATAATAATATTATCACTTCCCAGCATACACTTTCCTATAATGATTTTTATAATTGAATTATAATGTTTTATTCCTCAAAGAGTATGCCTATTTAAGTTGAAATATATTTATTGATAAGTATGTAGTAGAGTTATTAGTAATGATTTGTGTATAGAAATTAAGTGCTGCTCTTGTTTATTAAGGATTTCAAATTTGATTTAATTTGAATTGATCTCTCACAGATCTATCACACATCCGTGATCGTGAAATTGCGGCACTTTCCGGAGGAGAGTTGCAGCGTTTTGCATGTGCCATGGTGTGCATTCAAAATGGGGATATATTTATGTTTGATGAGCCATCCTCATATTTAGATGTAAAGCAACGACTTAACGCTGCCCGCACAATAAGATCTCTTATCCACCCTGACAAGTAAGTAAATATTTTTTTCATTATTAAGCATTTCCATTACAGAAGGCTCTAAATTCTAAATCAATAATTTGATTGTATAAAAAATATGAACTGTTGCAATAGTATATATAGCATTACATCAAAATCTTCCTATACAGTATGTGTAATTTCAAATTTATTTGATATTAAGCTGCATCCAATTTCATGTAATAGCAAAGCTAAAATTACTCAAACATTTGGCATATCTAAATTACCTTCATGAAACATATTATTGAGTATCTTTTTTATTTATCAGCTTCACAGCCACTGCAACATGAATATGTATATAATAGTGTAGTCTAGTTTACAAGATAACTACTCCTGCAAACTAGAAAACATGTCAAAGAGCAGGCAAGGTGCTGGTACCTACCCATGTGGAATAACTATTTGACCCTGCCACTAGTTATAGTATAAATAATTTTCAAGCAAGACTTCAACAATTTTAGATGGATTGAGCCTACAGATTTCCTAACTTAAATACAAAATTGTTTCAAAGCCATTCCGTCTTTGCGGAAGTATGGATAACTATATGTGAAATAAAATAACTTATTGACAAAAGATGAATCTTAGTCGCTTTAAAAAAATTGCAGAATTTTATATTCTAACTGGTTTAATTAAAAAAAAAGTGTATATGCAAAATGTGTGTAAAAGGAAAAGTCAAAGCTTAAGCTTATATAACTAACACATTTGCCATGGAATGCTTTATTCAGCAAATCAAATCGGTCCTAAATACTTAACAAAACATTGATATGTGATAACAAATTTCACATTCAGGTTCATCATTGTTGTGGAACATGACTTGTCAGTGTTGGATTATCTCTCAGATTTTATCTGTTGTCTTTACGGTGTACCTGGTGCATATGGTGTTGTGACTATGCCTTTCTCCGTTAGAGAAGGTAAGATTTTTCAGGTTTTTCTGGTCACTACATAGATGTTAATTCCTTTCATTCCTTATAATTTTTTTGCATATAATCTGTATGTTTTGAAATGTGAGATAATCTTGTCATCAACATATGATTTGAGGTCAAAGGATCTTATGAAAAAGAGTCAGAATATTAATCTAGAAATATGTCAGGAAATATATCTTTCCTGACATATTTCTCATTATCAATACATAAAACAATGCTTTTTTTAATTCTCAACCTTACTCCTGAATTCTACAAATTTTAATTCTATAAGTGTGTAGTTTTGTAGTACGAGATTATTCAAGGTTGTAGCACTATATTACATATTTCCTCTACAAAGCAATTGAATGTTCTACTCCAAAGGATCCAAATGGAATAAATAGTTCCTTTAACCTTTGCAACTGACTACAATAATAACACCTGATTGATAGGAGGTCTTCTGCCTGTTTGGATACAAAAGATATTTATTTTAATAAATCTGCAACTACAATCAGAAACAATATGCTTTAACGAAATTAAATTCGGCAGTTGCTTGTTATTACTTCCAAACCCTCCAATAAGATAAACAAAACCAGGGAGAAATATGGTAGATTGCTAGATAGCAATTTATCTGGTTGATTGAATGTATTAAACAATTAATTTAATTGTAATAACGGCTATTATTCATTTATAAACATTACTATTAATTTGTAACATTAAGTTCAACAGGAATAAATTTTAATGCATTTATTTTAGGTATAAACATATTCCTTGATGGGTTTGTACCCACCGAAAACATGAGATTCCGTACTGAATCGCTTGTGTTCAAGGTAGCTGAGTCAGCTACCGAAGAAGAGGTAAGATATCACAGCTTGTTTATCCACTACTATTGTATTATTATCACAAATGAGGGTAATGAAAAAAGTACTTAAAAATGAAAAATATATGAAATTTGTCTTACTGCATTATTGTTTCAAATTAGATAATTTACAATAAATAAATCAGAATATAGAATCAACAAAAAAAATATTTTAGATAAAAAGGATGAACCATTATGAATACCCAGAGATGTCTAAAATGATGGGTGATTTTGGGTTGCGTGTGATGCCTGGAGAGTTCTCAGATTCTGAGATTTTAGTATTACTTGGTGAAAATGGGACTGGGAAGACAACATTTATTAGAATGTTGGCTGGAAATCTTGAACCTGATGAAGGTAAGAATAATAAGAAAATATTTAAATAATAACAAATAGGATTAATAATGGTCAATGAAATATTTTCCCAAATAATTTCTCTCTTTTATAATTATTTGCGTTAAAATGTTTAAAGAATTTTAAAAACCTGCTGATTTTGCGTTTAATTTTAATATCTTAGCTCGGGGAAAATCTTTAGACAGTATTCTGCTCCAAATTCATTATTGTTCAATAGGGATATTATTGAGATAATAGGTTGAAATTCTCAAGTTTCAATAGGTATATCTCAGAAATAAAGACATATTTAAAATAGTAACATTTTTAAGACAATATTATGTGACAAATTATTTTTAAAAATAATTACAAAAATAAAAAAAAAATACAGAAGAACCTAACAACTAATTACATCAACACAACTCTGTTCGTGTATTAATTATGACTTACTAATGACTCGTAATACCTGAATATTAATAATTTATAAAAAAAGAAAATGTTCGTTTTAAAACAACGTATCTAATTGAAGCATGATTCTATCATTTATTATTCTACTTATTCTTTTTTAAGGGATTTTATGACCTAGTAGTTCCCGAGAAGCTACGTTTAGCGGCTTTTTATTACACATTTAAACCTGAAGAAACACAAATTAAACAAAATAAAACAAATGTCACAACTTCACTCTATTCTTTATTATAATACAACAATAACATTGTCAGTCTATGTCCCTACAGGTTTGCGTGTATCCGAATGTAATTTACAATATTTTTAACTAGCAACACTGACATGACGTATGTCAAAATTCGTGAAAGCTTCACTTAAACTGTCAAAATGCTTTTGTGCGAAAACTCAACGCTTAAATTACACCGAAACTCTATTATTTACGATAAAATGTAAACGTGTTTTTATTCATTTATGAAGAAACTAAGTGTACGTGAAATATATAAAAAAGACTTCTTTAACATATTTAAGTTTGAGGTTATGGATGTGTAAAGACTGAATTATTTTAAGTGTTAGTTTCGTTATTTAATATGGCCAGAACAGAACTATTCGATTTGTTCTTTCATCCAGTATTTCAAAAGTGTTTAAAATACGCGGAGTCTATCTCTAGTCCGGAAGGTAATTGCAAAATAAAAAAATATATTTACAAAATATTTTCTTGTTCTTTAAATAATATAATTTAAAACTATACTCTATGGAGCAGTTTAAATATTAATCATTTAAAAATCACAATTATCCTCACCCCATGCCAAATACATGTGAAAGTTAGCAAATAATCATTTAAATTTAGTTTGTTATGATGAATATATGATGAATAAACTCCCTACCCATTTGGCGTTACATGGTTATTGAAACAACATGAATGCCTGTACCCACCTTGAAGCATGAGTTTGAAGTCTCATTTGTATTTTTATATCAGATTTCATATCTTAGGAATAAGCCAATGTCACATTTACAATAAGATGTTCAATAAAAATTTAGAATCCAAAATACAAGACTTTCATATTTTTTATGTTGTTGTGGCCAGGGGGATAAGATGGCCGTGAATTTGTACCTAGAGATGCTGTGTTGGTGTTCCAATCCCACAGGCAGACTTCTTTTTTTTTTATCAAATACCTACTTAACCAATGTTCGTAGTTGATTTCTATGCTGAAGGAATAACATCATCTAATAAAACTGAAACCCACAAAAATTATAATTTGCCTAATCACTGGTGGGGGAGTGTCTTGTGTGCCTGTATGGGTAGGTACCACCACCCTGCCTATTTCTGCTGAGAAGTAGTAATATGGTTCGAAGGGTGGGGCAGCTGTTGCACTGAAAGAAAACCATGACTTGACTGATGCCAGGTGATAGAATTTACATTGTTGTTAACTATGGGCTCCAATGACCACTTAGCACCAAGTGGGCCATGAGCTCATCCACCCATCTGAGCAATAAATAAAAATCTGCTCTCATAGGCAAGTTTAAGATCTAATTGGTATGGAGTGGAAACCATTATTCAAGAAAATCAGCACTGCTTGGGGAGCAACTAGACCTAAAACCATTAAAAATTTTAAAATATCTAAGAACCTCTGAAATAATAGTGTGTGTCATATTTTTTTGTTTGTATTTTCTTCAGTCTATAGGGGCTTAATGTATTTAAATTTTTGTAATTATATGCTTGTTATGAATTGATTTATTTATTTTGTAAACAGGTTCAGGTCAACTTCCGCAGTTACACATTAGTTATAAACCCCAAAAGATTTCACCGAAATCACAGGGACTTGTCAGGAGTTTACTGCATGACAAGATTAGAGATGCTTATATACATCCACAGGTTTGTGAAGACATATCTAAATAAAATTAGGAAAGCTAATCAAAGCTATAATAAAAAGCTTATTGCTGTGTTTAATAATATATTACATTGACAATTTTTTGAAATTGTAATTATGAGAGTAAAATCAAAATATAACATTTTCCTGAAATCATTAATTTAAAATGCAATTAAAATTCATGTTCCTGAAGACAATATACTTTAACAGTTGCTGAGCTACTAACAGGCATATTTATAATGTATACAAATATTTATGTTACAGTTCCTCACTGATGTGATGAAGCCAATGAAAATCGAAGAAATTATGGACCAGGAAGTCCAAAATCTATCTGGTGGTGAGTTACAGCGAGTAGCTCTCGTTCTGTGTCTTGGTAAACCTGCTGACGTTTACCTTATTGATGAACCTTCAGCTTACTTGGATTCTGAACAGCGTTTGGTAGCAGCTAAAGTAATTAAAAGGTGTGTTATTTAATTTTAATATATATTTTTTTCTAGGAAAGAATAGTTATTTAGTATAATTAATGATATTTAAATAAATCTGTCTATCCTTTTTTAGTTTCTCTCGTATTTGGCTATTCATTAGTATTTTTTTTAAATAAGTGTTACAAAAACAAAGTTTATGAACTAAGGACTTCTTTTTATTAGATTCATCCTCCATGCCAAACGCACTGGTTTTGTTGTCGAGCACGACTTTATAATGGCAACATATCTAGCTGATCGAGTAATCGTGTTTGAGGGTACACCTTCGTCAAATGCGACCGCACATGCGCCTCAATCGCTCCTCAATGGGATGAACAAATTCCTGGAACTCTTGGGAATCACCTTCCGCAGGGATCCTAATAATTTCAGACCGAGGATAAACAAACATGCATCAGTGAAGGTAACATTGTTTATCACAATTTGAAATACTTTTATTAGCCTTAATGATGCTTGCATAAAATTATTAAGTGCTCTTTATGTGTTAAATAAAAATATTAGCCTGTATAAAATTTAGTGGTGGTGGTTTAGTGGTAGTGTTCAGTGGTGGTGTCATGTGTACATCTCGACCAGACATATTATGTACGTACATGAAGAATGCTCACTGTTAACAATGAACCAGTTCATTAAATAAATAAATAAATATAAATATTTACTAAGAATCACGCCACGTTAACTGGTCCCGTGATAAGCTCGTAAAGAACTTGTGTTACAGGTACCAGATAACGGAAATAAATGTAAGATTTTTATTATACCCATACATATATTTAATATACATCCATAACCCTGGAAAAGACATTTATATTTATCATACAAATATCTTCCCTTGGCGGGATTCGAACCCGCGACCCCCTTGTGTAGTGACCATGTCACTTACCACTACACCAGACGGCCGTTGAAAGCTTTTCTCATCTTAAATCTAAATAAATAATATATATATTTTTTTTTTCAGGATATAGAACAAAAGCGAGCCGGTCAATATTTCTTCTTGGAAGACTAGTAAAGAAAAATGTAAACATTATTGTATTTATATATATTGTTACTGTCACAAGGCGATGACCTGCCAACTGTGTATTTTCCAATTAAATGTAATACTATAATAAATCATGTTTTATACAACCACCTTTATAAACTTATTTTGCTATCATATCCATATGAAGCAATGTAAATCTGCACAGGTGTTTTTATACCCAAAAATCGTACAGAATTGTTGACAGTACGTGGAAAAGTTAATTCATGCCATTCATTAATTGGGCAACAAATAATTCTAAATTATTTGTCAAATTTTATGGCAGTGTAGATCAGCGTTGCCAGATTTTATTTTTGTCGTGTCGGGATTTTTGAATTTTTTGAGTGAAAAAATCAGGATTCTTTCGTCGAAAGCGGAACATAGAAAAAAGTTATAATTTATTATTATCTTTTTGTTTGAGTTCAAATAACGTGTACATGATATATCGCAAAAATAGGCATTGAATTTTTTTAATATGATATTTTAAACCAGATTTACTTTAAATTCTTATTTGTCTTCTGAATAAGAGAAATCAAAAAGTTTTATTCATAATATGGCGTTTCAAACAATACTTTTAGGGAGTGTAAAACATTACAACTTACAATATTATTTTTAAGATAGGTATACTTATTCATGATATTTCTATGAAGATTTAACTTCTTTTAAGGTATCCTTTTTCTCTTTAATAAAGATGAAGAACTCTTCACAGGACAGCTGTAGATTATGGAGCATTTATTTCTGGCATCCATTTTAAATTCATCAAAAAACGTGTGCAAGAAAGCTGTTTTTTATTTATTTATTGCTTTGATGGGTGGACGAACTGGACAAGCTCACAGCCCACCTGGTGTTAAGTGGTTACTGCAGCCCATAGACAACTACAACGTAAATGCGCTACCCACCTTGAGATATAAGTTCTAAGGTCTCAAGTATAGTTACAACGGATAGCCCACCCTTCAAGCCGAAACGCCAACTGTTGAAAGAGCTGACGCCATTTCTGTGCGATGGTGACAGTGGTGTCTGCAATTTCCCACTAATACATCCAAGGATGATTTCAACAAGTTAAATTCTTCGTATAAGTTATCTACCGAAATATCGTCTGTCAATCATAATATTAAAGACTAGCTGACCCGGCAGACTCCGTGATGCCTCAATCGATAAATAAAAGACCTAAACTTTTGTATAAAATTAACTTAAAACAAAAGGAATGTAACTATACTTGAGACCTTAGAACTTATATCTCAAGGTGGGTAGCGCAATTACGTTGTAGATGTCTAAGGGCTCCAGTAACCACTTAACCAGGTGGGCTGTGAGCTCGTCCACCCATCTTAGCAATTAAAAAAAAAACCGTCCGACGCGGCGACGGGGGACACATCAAAAGAAAAACAAAATTGTTATTTTTATATAATTCCGAGCATTTTCATATTTATCTACCTTTTAAACCTTCTCTGGACTTCCACAAATAATTCAAGACCAAAATTAGCCAAATCGGTCCAGCCGTTCTCGAGTTTTAGCGAGACTAACGAACAGCAATTCATTTTTATATCATATTTATAGATATAGCATTTTCAATCATGTCAAAAACTAACTCCTTTTTGCAGGTTTATAAATTTAAGTATAGAAAAAATATTTTTAATTTAAAAACAGTTTCGTCTGGTCGCCAAAAAATCCATCCTTTAGCCTGTTTCCTCAGCACGCTCGTGTTATACCCGAAAGCAGGATCCAAGCTATCCCGCGCGGGACGTTTAATTTTGATTTAAAAATCGGTACGTCGGGCAACGCTGGTGTAGATATATAAAGGTAAAACATTCCACATAGAATAGTCCAAACTAGGATCCTCTGAATACTCATGTGTATTCAAATAGTCAAAGTATAGCATTAAAGTCAAATATGTCATGCACAGTTTCCCAATGGTTAATTTAGTTTGTGAATAAACTATTTTATGCAGACTTCAAGGCGGATGGCGGTGTTCTTATGCTATTTACCGGTAACCACTTGAGACAGCTCGTCAGCTTTGCACCAGTTCAATAACCAAGACGTTGACCAATATTGGGCAATATTCGCTTTCAGTACATCAGGTTCGCCGTATTGCCAAAAATAGAATGCTGATGGGAGAAGCATGATTCGTCTCATCGATGGTCACCTCACGATCAGTGAGACCAATCATGATTTTCCCATCGGCATACCGACGAAAATCATTCGTTCGCTGTGTGTATTACCACCAACACCAACAATTTTTGAGGCATACCTACTTAATAAACAGCTTTTCTATGTGTGCCCTTGCTTAACACTTAATATTTTGTCAATAATTTCCAGGATCAACGCACTATTATTATTAAAATATTATTAAACAAGGCCATTACAATTCTGTGCGTCATAAGGTTCTGAGCATCTGACTTCACGTGAATCGTCACGACTAATGAATGAATCATTTCCTTACAACTTGATGACGTAACGATGTCGAAAATAACATCAACAATGAAGATGAAGAAACCTTTAATAACGTACTTAGATATAAAACCCATCGTTTATACTGTTTATGAAGAATTCGGTTTCATTTTAAGCAAATCAAAAAGGTAATCGTGGAATTAGTATTATCCAAAGTCATAAACGGCTTTGTTTAACTCTTCGTCGTATTCGACGAATTCGACGAGAACGGTGACCGGTAATTGAAGAGCGTAAAAGCACTAAGACCGTGTATCCGGAGGATCCGACAAGACCCGTTTTGGGCGACGGCCGTTTTGTGTTGTCCCGTTACCTGGGACGGATATTTAGTTAGAGGCGGCCGTGATAAGAAGGTAATCGTGTCGCGCCACTTTTTCGAAGAAGAGACATCACGACGTGAATGCCGCCACACACCTTTTGGTATGAGATTGAAGTCTCAATTGTACTGTGTAGCGGTTGCTCCAGCCTTCGAACCGGATAAAGAATGTGACTGTATATTGATACTCGTGCAGGCTCACACCCGACCACCAGTAATAAAGTATTTTTCACAATTAAATAGCTTAAGGTACTACTGTACTAGTGAGCGAAGGAATGGTATATGATAGAGGAGTATGGAAGGAGAAAACAGGTTGCGCCGACCCCGGGTGACTGAGAAGGGTACTACTAGTTACCCAAGGCGTCTCAAGTCTTATATTTATTTTTAATATAGTTGATGCTTGAATTATATATCTATAGAACGTATATTTATTTATTTATTTATTTAAATAAGTACTGCCACATCACAAACATCTAACATTGAAAATAAATTTAAACTATTTAGTTTATGGCCTGATGCATGTGACAACAATGGCGTACATAGCATTGGCAATTCATCGGCTCGAAAATGGAATACAATAATAATAATAATAATAATAATTTAAAAAAAACAGTACTATTTGTTGAAATATTAATAAAAATGTCTAAAAATGTCATGTCATATCGAAAAGAAGAAAAGAAGAAATGTTAATATAATGTCAAGTATCAACAAGTCAGTTATAGAACAAGAAATGATCAACGATTAAAGTTAAAGTTAAGGTCCCTTTTCCTCTCTTTTCCTATTCTGTCCTTAAATACACGCAACTTGTCGTGGAACACATCAAGATCGGGCATCACTGTGATAAGGGAATGATACTCATCAATTATTCTACGGAGAGGTGCCTGCCGTCCCAAATTAGATTTTACAGGTTATACATTCTGTAATCTGTATAATTATGTATTCTATAAAGTGGTATGCCCGAGTGAGTCTGCCGCGCCGGCGAGAACGGCGCGCGGCGTTCGATGACATCATGGCTGGTGAATACACTACGTGGAACAGAGCCGAATAACATTTGGTTACATTTATAAAAAATAATTAAGATCGCATAATCGCTTGGTAGATGTTGAAGGTCATTCTTGGTCTAAATTCAGTCACAAATATATGTTTTTCAAAGAAACTCTCATACATTAAACGATAATAGATCTTTGCTCCATTTTCATTTATAAAGAAGTTCATGGTGCTCAACCGCGTAAACTAAAAAACGCTGCATTGTTGAAATAAGGTATAATAAGGTATAATAAACATTTGCATGTTTTAACTTACCGTTACAAAAACAACACGGCGGTACTATCTGGTTCCTTTCACATAAAATTTCGTTAGCCAGGATTCAAGAAGCGTGAGCTTTACACCTTGAGGGTTTAAACCAAAGTATTGTGTAAAGACTTTCCCTAACTTTAAAATCGGAATATATGATTGCTACACCGCAGAAATTTTCAGAATGATGGTGCCTGCCGGAGTGAGTTAACAACAAGTTCTACTGAGTGATTGGTCAACACGTGGTACAAAATGGCACAAAGTACACCGACCATCTAACCTTTTTTTCCAGAACGACTAGAATTTTTTTTATTGCTTAGATGGGTGGACGAGTTCATAGCCCACCTGATGTTAAGTGGTTACTGGAGCCCATAGACATCTACAACGTAAATGCGCCACCCACCTTGAGATATAAGTTCTAAGGTCTCAGGTATAATTACAACGGCTGCCCCACCTTTCAAAGCGAAACGCATTACTGCTTCACGGCAGAAATAGTAATTACCACTAGTAATTACGCAAATTATAATTTTGCGGGTTTGATTTTTATTACCCGATGTTATTCCTTAACTGTGGAAGTCAATCGTGAACATTTGTTAAGTTCACATTTCATCAGAAAAATTGGTACCCGCCTGTGGAATTCGAACACCGTCGCATCACTAGATACGAATGCATCGAACGTCTTATCCTTTAGGCCACGATGACTTATTTGAAATAAACTGACTTTCTTCTCTTGCCCTTATTCTACATAATGTGGTTTCAGCACAGTACGTCCCCTTCTCATGCTGCATATTGAATTAGCCTAAGTTTTTTGACCGGCCTCCTGCATGACGTCAATCTCCAGTATCGACTACCAATATCTCCAGTAGTATTTTATTACAAGGTGCCTAAAGGAGGTACATTTTCTATTTCTTCTTTTAGCGTTTCTTTTAATTCGTCCGTTTTGGTTCTATGATTTGCATTTTAAGGCTATAAATATTTACACTAAAATATAGGTTTTCATTATCAAAAGGATAGAAATACCACATTTTATTCATTTTTCTCTATTTTCATAATAATATCATAATGCGTCTGATTTACTGAACTTCATAACTATGTAATAAAATAATAAGAATTATTAAAAAAAATAGTTATTAATATTGGCAGATAATCACACCTTTTATAAAGTGACCAAATGTTTGAGGCATCTGATTCGAAAGAGAGGGCGAATAAAAACGAGACGGCTCGTTTCACAAGTTGCAATCGACTCGCTTCGCCTACGGTATATTTCGGATTTCGGAATTCTCTCCGGTCTTGTGTGGTTGGGTGTGTCGCTGTTATACAAAAGTACGTAGATTTTTCTTCTTTTATCTTTCTGATTAATAATATATTTTGAATTTAAATACAAATATACAAAGCGGTAAATATTTAACAACCAAATTACTAATGAATTCGGTAAATAAGCAATTAAGTTTCGCCGGTACGCCAATGTTTTAGATTGCGGTAATGGTTGCAAAAGCCGGTTCAATTTGTGATATATAAATAAAATTTTCGCTTTGCATTTTCCCAGGAATCTCAACATGAGCGGACAACAATACTACCCTTACAAGGTAAGTTCCACCTACAGAATCATTTGGAAAGCTCTACCTACATAGCAACTATATATTCTAAACCTTCTCACGAGATGATGTCATCTTTTAGGCGCAAACCACAAGGTTGTTTACAGCGACCGGTAAATGATTTAATCAAGAGTAAAACGAATAACAAAATTAACTTACTGATAAGTTAGTTAGTTAACTATGGCTAAATATCCACCTAGCCCAAATTCACACCTAACCTTAATTAACTTTCGGTGGTTCAGAATATCTGAAAATCTCTTGGTACGCCATGACACTTTATATTTATATGTAACATAGTTTTGTCATTCATGTTATATATGTGTAGGTTAATTGAACCCATCCCTTATGATGTATTTTATTTAGGTCACGAACGCTTTAGGTTGTTAGCGCGCTATCGTCCTACTAAAAGATCGAATTTATTCATATATTTAATTTAAAGGAGTGATTAAATCGATCAATCAGCTCCCATAGTTTAGGGAACACCTTACACCTAAAAGAAAGTTATGTAAACAAAAAAACAAGAGATTTTTTTTATTGCTTAGATTGGTGTCCCGGTGTTAAGATAAGTGGACGAGCTCACGGACCATCTGATTTTAAGTGGTCACCGGCGCTTGTAGACATCAACAACATAAATGCCACCTCCGATTTAAGAGTACAACGGCTGCCCCACCCTTCAAACTGAAACGCATTACTGCTTCACAACAGAAATAGGCACGGTGATGGTAACCCGTTCGGACTCACAAGGCGTCCTACCACCAGATCATATCCGGAAAATAGTCTAAAGCGGATCTAATGTGATATTTTTGACTACCTCCGAAAGATAATAAATCTTGTTATATCAAGATTGATACAACTTTACTTTTAATTGTGGTAGGACGTATTGTAAGACGTGTAGGTACCTACCACCATCCTGCCTATTTCCGCCACGAAGCAATCATGCTAACAACGGTAAATATTAAAAATGCTAAGTTTAACAAATTCCAAATAGTGTATGTAAAACACATCTGCATATTATCAACGGTGTATTTTCATATATTACAACTGAATCCTATACATACTGTGGCATTTATTAACGCACCCTATGTTGTGAGGCGTAAGCCAGAACGCACGACAGGTGGAAAAAAAAAGATCTGTGACACGAGATTTTTTCACCGCCGAAATAAGACAAAAAAATTAAAAAAAGTGTTATGGACGGTACATATAACATGATATTGAGTCGACTATTATCAAAGGCGGCAATCTGACTTTTGGACAATGATTGGTAAATCAGAAAAACGAATTATTGACTTTGTATTCCATCGGCAGTCACAAAACTCTTCGGAACGACATCTTAGATAAATAACAGGTTAACTATTAACCTTTATTTAATGCAGGTTTTGAACCGTATTCTTTGAAGGAGACGATTATATTCAAATCAATCTGTATTGACATATCAATAATTTTTTTTTGTCCAAATGCACAGATTGCCACCTTTGATAATAGACGACTCATATAACTATAACTGTGTAAGCCGCTGCAATAATAATCGTTCATATTCGCAATTTTTTCGATTGTGGTGTTAATTACGAGTGATCAAAAAACATTATTTTCACGCGAAATAAAGAAAGAGGGACTATATTCGGACTCCCTCAATTGGCGCGCATCATAAAAAAAAGGTGCTAGCGTTCTTAAACGCCACAATACTTAATTGGGACCGTCAGCGCAAAAGTGGCCTCAAATCATGCTTATATGTAGGTATATTTCAATTTATTTAAAATATAATCAATTTTGATGAAAAACTGGCCTACCCATAGTTTCATCCATAGATAACAGATGGCTTTGTAAACATTATTTTTGCGCGTATTCTTTTTTTAAAATTTAAATTCATGAAAACTTAAACCTCATTGCTCCATAATAACTATGGTAAGCTTAGGCCACTTTAGCGCTGACGGCCTCAATTATAATAAGCCTAGTTAGTAAAGATGTTTCGGTGTTTCCCGAGCGCTATGACATGTCCTTCTTCAAACGAGGCTTGTGGAGAGTATTAAGCGGTAGACAGTGGCTTGGCTCTGCCCCTGGCATTACTAAAGTCCATTGGCGACGGTAACCACTCACCATCAGGTGGGCCGTATGCTCGTCTGCCTACAAGGGCAATAAACAAAAATGTATTCATGTAGAATGTTGTGTATAGTGCACCCCCACGGTGTACCCCGCGGAGCCTTTCGACCCGGCCGCGGATGCCGAGACCCTTCGCAAGGCTATGAAGGGCTTCGGCACCGATGAGAAGGCTATCATCGACGTGCTCTGCCGCCGCGGCATCGTGCAACGCCTCGAGATCGCGGAGACCTTCAAGACCAACTATGGCAAGGTGAGTAACTCAGTTCATTGAAATTTAGGGTACCTACTCTGTTTCTATTCAATGATCGTTTTGTTGTTCTAATTATAATCTTTGTAGAATAAGATATTGTTTCATAGATATTTTTAGAATTAACAATTTAAAAAAAACAGGTGTATCCAATTGTGTTCTCATTAAAACGAATTGCGAACCATATAAAAGCTTCAGTAATAATAACAGAGTTTCAAATTATTTTTTTTGGTACGATTTTTCCTTATTAGGAAAGGCAAGGGGATCTAAGCCCATACAGCCTTGTCTGTTCTATATAATTTCTGAAACAAATTTTCAAGGTCTTATATGATATTATATCCTGAAATAAAAATTTCATTAAGGCCGAAGCCAAGTCTTATATCATTTCAAAGATATCAGTAAAGTTCATGTTACCGAAATAATAAACTCTTTCATTAGCTCGAAGGTCGATTTTTTTATTGCCTTTGTATGCCGACGAGCGAACGGCCCACCTGATGATGAGTGGTTACTCTCGCCCATGGACCTCAGCAATGCGAGGGACAGAGCCAAGTCGCTGCCTACATTACTTCATTGCATAGACGATAGCAACGTGTTTTTTTTGTACATATTTGCTAGTAGCTTCGACTATTCCAGCTAAGCACGGTTCGGTAGTTGAGCTCACGGGGCTCAACCTGGAAAAACTTGACTCATAACTATTTCACATAGTTATCCCTGTGTCAGACACACCGCGGACAAATTCGATTATTATTAATATTAAACTCTGTAGGTACAAGTTTGTAATGCATACCGGGGAACGTAACGGGAAAAATACTAATCAAAGATAAAACTTTAATAGCATAATACTCGTACATAGTATATATAACCATGATAAGAACGGGTCTGTTAAATTCAATCAAAAATTAAAACATATATTGTATGTACATAAAAATAATTAGTAATAAATTATTAGTGAACTGTTCTTTTCGCAATTAACTTCTATTAACAGGAAAATAGGTAACCAACCACCTCTGTGTCCTACTTAATTCTGCCCTAACTATTAGATACCATTATTAAACGGCTTTGTTAAATATTTGGGCTGCGTTACCGTCATAAAATTAAGCTTATTAATTCAAAACTGTTTCGTTTTAAAACTGTGAATTTTTAACCAGTAACCTTGCTTTCAATCAGCGTACCATCATTGAGTCATTGTTGATTCATTTCAAAGTTATTGAGCTAATTTTTTCGATACCTACGTACCGTTCTCGACAGAAACTTTTACGCTTTGTCTAATTTGTCTTGAGACTCTGAAAATGTTTAGGTACCTAACTTGCTATTTTCTTTGGCTCCGTAAACGGCTACCGTTGCCTTAAATTAAAAATGACGGGTATTGCCGCTGAATACTACTCTTTCTCTATTTTAAGGAAAACCTTGTCTTAGGGAAAAAGTATAAAACAATAATTCTGTGAACAATGAACACGGTAATTGAACGCCAGTTCCAGGAAATGGACATGATATATATTTACTCTCCGGAACGATGTGAGGCGGTGCAGCCGTAAACTTACTAGAATAGTAATAAACAATTCCAATCGTAAATAAAACGTACCTATTCTAGTAAATTTTAATAATTTATTAGCCATTATACAAGAGCTTTAAATCGGAATGAAACTGAAATTCATCAACATAATTTCTAATATGGAATATTTTACTTACTTATCTAATCAGTTACAATTGTTTGCATAACGTTATAGTTGGCTTATACCTACCTTGAGCCTTACCTTTATATCTTGAGCTATGTGCCAAATACGAACTTCAACTGAAATCATGAAAAACATTACTAACAAACCTACTCGTTAACTATATGTAGGTATGTGTTTTTAATATTAATAATTGGATAGCGAACACGTGAGAGATAATTTTAATTAACAAATTAATGTTATTTCGATATGCCCCGAATTAATATTGAACTTTTTTAAATATGAAGTCCATAAAACGAACAAGTTATTACGTTCCACACCTGCATCAGTAGTTTCATTGTGTGGCTCACATTAACCTAATTCCATTAGGCTGTTTATCGTGCAGAGGGTTATAGTAAAATTTACCTGCTTGTTTATTTTTAATGCGGGAAAAAATAGAACGTTAAATTTAGAATTAAACTGTTTATTTTATGGGTAACCAAATAGTTTATAAGTTGTGAGCTTTATAACGTGATTTCGGAACGAAGAGTTTAAATAAAAAAAAACAAAAATGGCGCGGTAGTAATAACGGTTATTGTTCCGATACAACTATGATTGTATTATAGTGTACAATATCTCAAATTCTACTCTAATTTTCTGGCTGTAACTAGTTATATATGATGTACCTTGTTAATAATTTTATTTGAATCTAATTTATAAACAACCTTTACTACAAAATTATAGTCGGTAACCGAAAATGAAATTGTAAAAATTATTTAATTAAGATAGTCAACTTGATTGAAAGAAAAGAAAACTCTTCTATCTATGAAAGCAATTAATAGTGCTTAATACTATTAATTTCTTTCATAGACAGGAGAGCGTAAATATGATGTCTGCGGAGACCTTTTGGAATTGTTGCGTCTTGAAATCTTATAGTTAATACGTAGATCTGCTTCTTCGACGGGTAGACCATAAATATTCGTCATTACGGATCCTCCCGATCCATTAATGGTACTTTTAGGTACCTCAAACACCGGTCACCGTCTTCCCCGAACCCGTCGCTTGCGACGAAGGGCTCTGCGAGTAAATTAACCCATAGACACAGCCCACTGAGTTTCTCGCTGGATCATACGGATTCTCAGTGGGTCTCGTATCCGATCCGGTGGTAGATACTGCGAAGCACTGCTCTTGCTGGGGCCAGTGTTAACAACACCTCCTGTTTGAGTCCCGAGAGCTCACCTACACGCTAGGAAAACTCTGAAATATCCTCTCAAAGCTATCAGCATAGATAGAAAAAAATTTTTTTTTTATTGTTTGACTTAAACACTGTTGTGTACACTTTCGTTAAGTATATAAATAAATGAGTCAGTTTTTTTCACCTCACTCCGATACCATTGAATTTCTCTTCGCGTATACATGTCATCAGTGGTCAATATGTCATCGATTTGAACCTTTCTTACGTACGTATTTTTGTCAAATATTATTAACAATAAGCATTAATCTTATGACCTCGTTATGGGAATATTATTTAAGTACGTCGCGAAAATTCATTACCTTTCTTTGTAGAAACTTCTGAAAAGTTTCGTAAATGACATGGACAACAATAATTCATGTTTCTTTTAAACTAATGATTCTCTTCCTGGCGTTGCTGACAGGACTTGATTAGCGAACTCAAGAGTGAACTCACCGGCAACTTGGAAAATGTCATCGTCGCATTGATGACTCCCCTGCCCCACTTCTACGCTAAGGAGCTCCACGATGCTGTCTCAGGAATTGGAACCGACGAAGAAGCCATCATCGAGATCCTGTGCACGCTTTCCAACTATGGTATCCGTACCATCTCCGCATTTTACGAACAACGTGAGTTACCCAGCTATACAATATTTTTACAGTTCTAATTATAATTAATCATGCAGATCTTATAGAAAAAATAATAATATTATTGTTGTTTTAGTAACATTCCTTACAATACTTATATAACAAGAACGCGCAAGCTTATCTTCTTAATTATGAATTTATCATCATGATATAAAACTAGAAGAATCTCTCGATTAAGGCATATCTAATTTTAAATTAATTTGATATGTTTTATTTCAAAGTCTTAACAATATCTGGTTAAGAACTGCATTCTTTGATAGAAACAAAAATCCAAGTCTCATTCCACGTAGGTACCTACCTACCTACCTGTACCTCCATGCAATCCAACTTTGGACAAATAAAAACATGTTTTCCAAACACATCGACGATGAGGCGGCGGGCCGACGAGTTATTTGCATTAAATGAGGTCATCATTCGTGACGGGAATAAGGGCTCGTCAGACACCGGGGAATTACTGTGGCTTTTAATCAATATTTGAGCCCTGACCTCTTGGAATATGATGTTTTAACTTTATAATAATGTTTGATCCTGAATTTATTATACATTTTGTTCCTATAACTGCAACATCAAAGATTGCTACATCTTGAATACTACCATCAACGAAACTTTAATTTTAATTACTAAAGCGATAGAACTAATGAGAATTATTCGCTTGTTTCTGAACAATACTAATCTTTACTGGTGGTAGAACCTCTTGTAAGTCCGCATGGGTAGGTACCATCGCCCTGCCTATTTCTGCCGTGAAGCAGTAATGCGTTTCGGTTTGAAGGGTAGGGCAGCCGTTGTAACTATACTTGAGACTTTAGAACTTATATCGCAAGGTGGGTGGCGCATTTACGTTGTAGATGTCTATGGACTCCAGTAACCACTTAACACCAGGTGGGCTGTGAGCTCGTCCAACCATCTAAGCAATAAAAAAAATAAAAAAATCTTTAGACCAAAAGTTCGATTTCAAAGTATGTGTTTTTCTCTATTAGTGTACGGCAAGAGCCTAGAATCGGACTTAAAAGGCGACACGTCGGGACACTTCAAGAGATTGTGCGTGTCGTTGTGCATGGCCAACCGCGACGAAAACCAGGGCATCGATGAAGGCTCAGCCAAAGCCGACGCTGAAGCACTAGCCGCCGCTGGTGAAGGTCAATGGGGTACCGACGAATCAATCTTCAACTCCATCCTTATCACTCGCTCCTATCAGCAGCTGAGACAGGTGAGATAAAAACATTCCTAGCACTAACTTTTTTTCGCTATTATTTAGCAGCACTTCTTCATGTCTTTCCCTCATTACTGAAGATCGACCCACTTCGATAAAGCGACACGACACGAGAACCCTCTCATCGTGGCCGCCGGTAACTACATTCCCGATCCTGCGGACAGAATGAAAAGCAGTTGACGTCGCCCCAAACACGTCATTTCGGATCCTCCCGATCCACTAACGGTGCTTCTAGGTACCTCAAGCACCGGTCACCGTCCTCGTCGAACCCGTCGCTTGCGACGAAGGGCTCGAAGAGTAAATTGGGTTAATTTAGACACAGCCAACTGAGTTTCCCGCCGGATCTTCTCAGTGGGTCGCGTTTCCGATCCGGTAGTAGATTCTGCGAAGCACGGCTCTTGCTAGGGTTCGTGTTAGCAACGTCGTCAGATTTGAGCCCCGTGAGCTCACCTTCTAGTTAAGGCTACGCTGATATAGCCCTTCAAGGCTCTCAGTTTAGATAGAAAAAAAAAGAAAAGAGGATCGTGACCACACGTATGCGAGTATTTCCATGAATATCGGTCCGCTGGGAGGTGGACTGCCTAATAAGTGCTGCCTCCAACTGCTCTGCTCTCGTCGCAGTTGACCATCTCGTTGACGCCTTTCCTTTGGCTCGTTTGCCCTCAACCTGACTAAGAATGAGAAGTTTTTCCAAACTATTGCCGCACAGATGTAAAGTTATTCGTTAAGTGACCGTGGTAGATTTGTGATTATGGCATATTATGTACCAGAATTTGACCGATATAGTATTCAGTCATGATTTTTGAAGGTCAAATGACGTCATCCAGAGGAAGTGTCTTATTCGTATACGATGACTAAACTAAGTATATCAACATTGATAATCAAGCCGACACATGACTAACAAAATAGGATATAGTATATTTTATGTATCATTCAGTAATAATTATTTAAACCTACTAAGAAGCAATCATAAAATTCGCAAATATAGCAATTTATAATACTCAAAATTCGACCTTCACAATATACTTGAATGCTAACCGTTGCGAATTTTTAAAATTGCGTTTACAAGGAAAATGTTTTCTATCGCACGTACACTTTAATTCTCACGTATACTTCAAAGTCAGACTTTCTTTAATGCTTACAAAACGAAATTATTAAATTGACATTCATTCACATAGAATATAATTTTTATGAAAACATAATGGACGGAATTCCAGCTATACCTATCAGTGGTTGTTAAACTTTTGCACCCGCAATCTTTGCTTGGGCAAACCCAACCAGTTTTATCGCTTCGGTTACTGAAGAAACCCACGTTAAGAGAACATAGTCACCGTTCGGGTTATGGCCCTAAATGATAACCCAGAATCGCCCTCTACCGAAACAGAGGATGCAAGTAGCCCACACACGGGGTATTATTATCGGTATACTTTTATCTCATTGAAGAATTAAAAAAAAATACGCATGCATTATAAATAAATACATCGTTATAATTTGCTATGAACTCATTACGATCGTGACGTCACATTCGGTGACGAATCATCATTGGAAATAATTGGCGGCGGTGGAGGCACTTATACGCGTGCATTGTTAATGGTTGACTTTACCGTGTATTGCAGATCTTCGCCGAGTACGAAGCTTTGACCGGAAAAGACATTGAGGACTCGATCAAGAAAGAATTCTCTGGTAGCATTGAGAAGGGCATGCTTGCTATTGGTGAGTTTTATTAACTTAAGAGATATATTTTCGTCGTGGCTTAAAGGATAAGATGTCCGGTGCATTCGTATCTCTAACTATGCATCTGTGTTCAAATCCCGCTGGCAAGTACCAATTTTTGTAATAAAATACGTACCTACTTGACAAATGTTCTCGATTGAGTTCCACGGTGAAGGAATAACATCGTGTAATAAAAATCAAACCCGTAAAATTATAATTTGCGTAATTACTGGTGGTAGGACCTCTGGTGAGTCCGCGCGGGTAGGTACTACCACCAGAAAGCAGGAATGCCTTTCGGCTTGAAGGGTGGGGCAGCCGTTGCAACTATACTTGAGACCTTAGAACTTAATCTCAAGGTGGGTGGCGCATTTACGTTGTAGATGTCTATGGGTTCCAGTAACCACTTAACACCAAACAGGCTGTGAGCTCGTCCAAGCATCTAAGCAATAAATAAAAAAAAATTGAAAGCCATTTTGTATTAATGTTTATACGCTCCAATAGGTAATCACTGTACATTAAATAAGACTATATTTCAACTATGTACGGTATAAGTGTACCTATTTCTTCAAAACCAAGTAATATCAACTTAATAATGCTACAACTGTATTTACATAGTTGTGTAGTTCAGACTCCAATGAAATTAATTTTTTTTGCAATCTTTTTAATGGGTTTGTTGACCTAGTTGTATGGGACGTTTTCTTTAGAAGTTTTAATTAAATTAATAACATTATGATAGGTACGTTATTTAAAACCTATGACAAATGAAATTTTCCTATAACATTATTCGATACGTCATATTTTAAAAGATTAAGATTTCGGTGCTGTGCTATGAAAAGTTTACCTCTAAAGAAATACTTCCAAATTAGGTTTACAGAGATGATTTGATAGATACTTGATAGATGATTCATAGATACTTGTGTTGGGAATGGTTCGCTCGCGATTTCCCTTAAAGTAAACAATTTTAAATAGCAAAAATTTTCATTTATTTTTTATTTTGATTATTCTTGATCTACTACTACGAGTATTAAAACAAATTAATTCTACTAAATCAATCTCCTACTTGAAACTACTACGCACAATGAAACAGAAAATTTATTAAATATATAGATGTAAATGTGTATGTGATAAAAACATGTAAATTGAGCGGTGTGATGCAGTTAGATCTCATTTGCACTTGTTAGTGTATTGAATGCGTAAAACATTTTAGGAACATTCTAGAGTAACCTATAAAGCTATTTATTAGTCATCGCGTCACGGCACGAGGTTATGAGATAGGAAAAAATCTGTCGACCTTGCGTTCAGTCATTCAACTTTTTGTTCAACATTTACCAGTCAAAATCCATTGTAGCCGTGAATTGTCTTTAACTAAGGCAATTTATCAATTGCATATATGATACAATAGTGGGGCAGCGCGAAAATCAATGTTTTTAAATTTCATAAATACGATTTGAAATTAGAGAAACTTAAGTTTTTTATAGCATTAACAATCTCTCATCGAAAAATTGGTAAACTATGCTGTGAACTTGTATAATAAACTAAAGTACCTACAACGAATATTGACTTGAATGTCTGGAGGTCTGAAGACGACAATTACCACGTTTAGAGCCGATCGTACTCCGATTTTTTTTTTTTTTTTTTTTTATTGCCTTTGTAGGCAGACGGGCATACGGCCCACCTGATGGTGAGTGGTTACCGTCGCCCATGGACTTCAGCAATGCCAGGGGCAGAGCCAAGCCGCTGCCTACCGCTAAAACCGGTATCTGCTAAACGCCAATAGCCTCGGGGGCGATTCCGGCTTCTGCGAACGGGCTTTTAAGCCAAATTCAAAATAGTATCACTGACATTCCAAATCATTAAAATAACAAGTTGGCATATAACCGCACAATTTCACACTAAAGTACCTATATTTTTATAAAAAATTAAGGTTATGCTTTATCGTAATTAGGATATTTCGATTTGTAGCCAAATGCGTAAAGAGCAAGGTCGGTTTCTTTGCTGAGCGCCTGTACTACTCGATGAAGGGCATCGGCACCAACGACAAGACGCTCATCCGCATCGTGGTGAGCCGCTCCGAGATCGACCTAGGGGACATCAAGCAAGCATTCCTCGAGAAGTACGGCAAGTCCCTGGAGACCTGGATCGCTGTAAGTGTTGTTCCCTCTTGTCTACACCTGACTTTAGATGTACCTTGAGCTTTAATTGTTATCATTCTGTCTACATTTGTTTTATGTTGGGAAAGGCAAATACTGATCTGTTTTATTTGAAATATTTCAAACCTTATAACTACAGATTAACAAACACGAATCACGAATCCATTTTAGTTCCCACCACCTCAACCCCCTCTCCAATGTTTTGTGTTGTTTGACTAATCGCATGATATAGTAAACGTACAGATTTTATTATAATATTTCAATATGTATTTTATGAAATAAAACTGCCCCATATCTTCGAAGACTGTAACATATTTAGGTACGTGCTTAGCTGGCACTGTTTACTCTCATTGAAACATGTTTCTAACATTCACATTCACATTTTCATCGTAATCGACTATTTATTTGTACAGATCTGAATAGATTAGACAAATCCGACCGAAAATACGTCAATACTTTGGTTTAATATTTTATATGAAATTTGTGCTTAATGGATTTCTTTCTAACCGGCAAAAATACTAATTGGAGTATATCGTGTTAACGTATCGATAAATCCCAGGAGCTTAGAATCCGTTTTGATTGCAGGATGACACATCCGGAGATTACAAGAAGGCTTTGTTGACCCTTGTCGATAAATAAGGTCCCGAGTGGGGATGACAACAAACCACCTATCTCGAATACTCTAAGTTTAATTTCGTTATTTTGTTAGGCTTTTAAAATTTCCACTAGGAACGTGACACTCGAGGTAACGACTGTACCTACTTCTAAAATAGGAACTACAACGAAAATAAATATCTCTTTTTACAAGACAGCGTTCCCTCGGCGTGTCACCGGTTAGATCTGATGTACATTTTATTCATGGAGATCTGTATATTTTGCTTCCTTTATACTCATCAAGGTCACATAACTTTCTCTGCACCGTAGCTCTAACTGCTTCAGGCGCGCCAGTGCATGTGGCCACTAGACGCCTTAGTTTTACAAGTAGTTCGAATTGTTTTCAGGACGAAATCGCTGGTCCCCTCGGCGACCTCCTCTCGACAATGTGTTACTAGGCCGCTAGGCGTTAACACCGTATTACCACCGCCATAACTGCAGCGCTGTGTGGAGTAATACTGCATTATACACGCATAGTTCACAATTAAGACGGGACTTCTTTGGGATAATTGTTAAAATATATAATATACAGGCATTGTGCCCGTTTGAAGTTCAGTTTTAATTGCAAACCGAATATTCGAATAATGAGAGTTCTCGGTCACGTTATATACGCCTTATGTAATCCATTATACTTACGCGTATCGCATTGCATAAATGTAAGCTATTTTTGTAAGAATTTATTGTGATCACACATTCACCCAAGCCGCAGTGTGCACGTCGCGTGTTTGAAACTATGGGCCAGTTTTGTTTCCATTGCCGTTTTTGTTCCGCTAACTTTACTGCATAGCATTTTTTTCGGTCTTTGTTTACAGGAAGACCTAACGGGTGACTTCAAGCATGTGTTGGTCACGCTAAGTGCTTAAATCCTACAAAAATAATTATTATACGATTGTTTATTTTTATAATATTGTTTTGTCGCGCTTGACGCATGTGAATTACGGTAGTTACAAAGTACGATGTGCAATTTGCAGGACGATACGAAAGGAGACTTCAAACGCGTGTTACTCACCCTTGTTTCGTAAGAGCATAATAATAAGACTACAAATGTCTCCAGCAACTGCCTTTTCAATGTGTAAATGAGATATGTCTTAGAAATTATAGCTTGATATTTTTGTGAAAATGAGATATTTATTGGTGCTGTAGTATTGTTTACAATCTACATTATATTTATTATTGATTAAACTCTGTCTATGTTCGATGTTTAGTTTCATTATGAATCCCTTATTCCTTCTCTTGTTATCTGCAATAAAAACAATTGGATTTGAATGCGGTTTGACTTTCGTTACTTTGATTACGTTATTGTAATCTGGCGCCGTCCCAAAAATGTGCTACATTTTACTAGGAAACCCCAAACTATGTTGGCTAAGTTCCAAAACGAGATGATCAATCAATGACGAGTATCGATCTTACGTGATACCGTATTGGGAAGGTTTCCTGAACCGAAATAGGATTATATCTACAATAAATCACATAACTAATCTAAACGATAAATATTTTTGTATTCCAAGAGTAAGTTTAATTTTCAAGTAAATTATCATTTATGACAAATCTAGTGCGAGTGAAACCGCCGACACGTAAATATTTAAGCTATAGATTTAGTTAAGACCGCAATAATTCAAATAAAAATACGTGGTTCTCAAATCCACGTGAGTGATTTTTAATAATATTAAAGTTTGATTTTCAGTCAGGCTTTTTATTAATCAGTTTTTGTTTAATTAAAATTTGATCATGATGTTAATTTTACATAAAATAACAATGGTTATTGTTTTCCCACAAGATTTTTTATAATTTACACAACTCACCTGGAACTTTGCAACAAAATTTGGTGCGTTATTACTTTTAAGTAGCAGTGCTAGCCTGCTTCCACCCAATTCACTCGGATTGGACAACAGTAACCGTTTGTTGCAACGATGGGCCCAGGCGTCGCCCAACGAGCCCACCACAGCACCACCGGACAAACCCAATCTTGTGCTCATCTCATTTACCAGCACCACCTAAAAGTTACAGTTGTAAGGTAGTTAATTATAACTTAGTGCAGAACACCCGATTAGCAAGCTATTTATTTATTTAGGTTTTCTAATAAAAGATATATATATAAAATTCTCGTGTCACAATGTTAGTTACCATACTCTGAAACGGTTTGACCGATTTTTATGAAATTTTATATGCATGTTCAGTAGGTCTGTGAATCGGCTACTATCTATTTTTCATACACCTAAGTAATAAGGGTTGTCCACCCCTAATATTTATTTTTTGGACAATTTTTTATTTCTGTTATAATGAGCAATTATGTGTTTGAATGAGGTTTTGTTATTTTTATATTCCCTCATCGTTCACAGCGCTATATGCCTCTTTCACTCATTTACCACATCCTTACACACAATTTTTTTCTTTTTTCTACACTAGAAATTCCCTAGAAATCATATATGGCAAAACGTTTTCCGGGTCAGCTAGTTAACTATGTATTAGGGCGATTTTTACGCAATGAAACTGAGTTTTCGCACCGCCCGCCACCGGAGTAGAGTTCATCCATACTACCTGGAGCCACTGCAGTCATCCACAGTGCGTTTGCAGAGATCTTTTTTGCCACGTACCATCCGGCTATAGAATGAGCTCCATGGTGTTTCCCGAGCGCTATGACATGTCCTTATTCAAACGAGGCTTGTGGAGAGTATTAAGCGGTAGGCCGCGGCTTGGCTCTGCCCCTGGCATTGCTGAAGTCTATGGGCGACGGTAAACACTCACCATCAGGTGGGCCGTATGCTCGTCTGCCTACAAGGGCAATAAAAAAAAAATTGTTGCGAACCTATGTAAGTTCTGGCCATTTTATTATTAGGTGCCTAAAGATTGGGTGCACTTGTTCACTGTAGTGCATTAAAAAAAAACTTTCTTGTCTGGCTGCAAAGATTGCGATCGATTTAACTTTAAATCATTTAGCACAAAATTAACATGTTGACTCATTTTTAATGACAAGTGTTCTGTGGTAGGGCAAATAAACATTTCTTATCATAATTTCTATGCCACCTCAAAGTTACATCGTCCGGTCGATCACATTCTTCAAGCGACCGGACATCAGTACATTTTTTGAAAGTCGATCCGGACCGAGTGATAAATTTAATAATTAATTAAAAACATATTAATGACCGTCGCGTGTTATAAACATGCCTTTCCTAATCAAACCGTTATGGCGCAATTTTTTTTTTTCGTGTCTGTATTTATATCTAAATAAAATGCCGCCACCCACAATTTTCTTTATAGCTTATATAGGTTGGACGAGCTCACAGCCCACCTGGTGTTAAGTGGTTACTGGAGCCCATAGACATCTATAACGTAAATGCGCCACCCACCTTAAGATATCAATTCTAAGGTCTCAGTATAGTTACAACAGCTACCCCACCCTTCAAAACGAAACGCATTACTGCTTCTGGCAGAAATAGGCATGATGGTGGTAACAGGTACCTATATAAGTATTTAAAATTGTTTTTTTTTTCATATATTTTATATTGTCAGATAAACCCAAAGTCCGTCTGCTGTTAATTCATTATTTCATAATAATTGGGCACATGAGATGGATGTCTCATTCAATTTACTCGTTTTTTTTTATTACCCAATATTGTTGTATCATTGCGGAAATAGTGACCACAAAATATTAGTGGCGTTTTTAGGTATCTTAAATCAATACCTGTCTCAGGACTAATCCAGGATTACTCTCCATACCAATTAGACAAAAGAGGCTCCAAATATCTTGTTGCTATGAAATGGCTATTGTTGATCAGCAACAAAACTGGTAAAGCAGACTCATGAGAAACCTATTCTTGTAATTTTAATTAGTGTTTTGTCGACTTACTGCTATCAGGCCTTCCATGGCTATTCTCTGTAAATCAGCCATTTGACGAAATAACAGTCCAGTTCTCTTTTGTACTGATATCCCTTCTTTGAATGGAAATGTTATCGAATCAATAACTATTAATTTAACCTGGAACAATGCATGAACAATTTGGAGCTCATACTACAAGGTGTTAGCCGCCTGTCAAAGGAATTGAAATTGTACACCAATTCCAGCAATAAATTGTTTAATAATGAAATTTTCAATCTAAAAATATTGTGATTTCACTTACTCTGGGATGTTCTGCTAGAAAAACTGAAATTCTGTTCATACATGCACAAAATTTCTCAATCCCAAATGCATTAATGTAATGTAATCTGTCCAATGCTTCTTCTTCATTGAACAAATATGATGGTTCTATCTTTTGACATTTTAATAAGCTTGCAGTTAAAATTTCTAAACAGAATAAAATTCATTTAAAAAAAAGAGTGATTAAAAAAGCACTACAAGAAAAGTGAATATTACAACATTTTTTGTATTCAATTTTTATTCTTTGTATTAAAAAAAATATATTAAGCATCCGGTTACAATAAAAAAGGTACTACTACAATAGCATACTAAGGTACTACCTACTCAAAGAAACAAGAAGAAACTCACTCAAGTGAAAACACAAAAACATAGGCTAAGGAACAAAATTAAATATGACACTCTCTGCCTATTCTCTACTTTACTACCTAAGAGTAAGTACTTACAGTGCTTAACAGTAGACAGAGGTATAGCTCTGCCCCTGGCAATGCTGAAATATATGGGCGACGGTAACCACTCACCATCAGGTAGGCTGTATGCCCATAGACAAAGGAAATAAAAAAATAAAAAATGCCATTCAGAATTATTAAATATATATAATGTTTAAGGACAGTAGGGGACTACTGAGTACTGTGAAATGGAGAGGAGTGTGAAGTGTGAGTAGCGCTAGAGCCACACAGCAACTATTATTAATTACAATAATAAAAACCCCACCAAAAATGTGACCCTTTATATTACACCTACACTTCACATATTTCTTTTTTTTTATCCAATGATTTGCAGTGTAATTGTATAATAAATAATTTGTCGCTCGGTGGAGCAGGAGCTAGGGGTCTTGGGCATGACGTGGGAGGAGCAAGAACAGACTGCCCAAGACCGATATAAATGGAAAAATTTGATTCGAGCCTTACACCCCAGCAGAGGGTAATAGGAAGGCATGATGATGATGATGATGAATGATTTGCAGTTGTTTGTTGTCAACTCTCTAACTTAATTGGTATAAGCCATTTCATCTTTCATATTCATTATATGATAAATTGATTATACAAAAAAAGTACCTTTAAACCTGGTTGGTGTAAAGTTTGTGTTAGTGTCTATGTACAGTGCCTCTGCATTCAATCCGCTTAAAACTTTTGGTATTTGTACTGAAGCACAGAGCTGTAAACTAAAGTGGCATATTTTGATTGGTAATAAAAAACTACAAAGAAAATTCTACTGTATACATCTGAAAGAACTAGAATGATAAGGGGACCATTTTCAAGCTTATTAATGGTTTATCGACTTCTAAATTATCCTTCTTACGTTAACATGATAACTGGTGTTAATCCATTGATCATGTTCACTAGAAGTCAAACATTCAACTCTTGCTCATTGAGTTCTTACCACAACTGTGTTTTTCCTGTACCAGGAAGACCAAGTAACTCTGTGAGTGAGCCTAATTGCACTCCACCATTCGCTAGAATATGATCTAAGTTCTGACTAAATGTTGGAATGGAGGGTAAACAGGTTTCTTTCTAAAAAAAAACAAGATTATTTTGCGCAAAAAAGAACTATGACATTCTTATATGTTTGATAATTCTATTTTTATTTACCTGCCACAATTCCGTTGCAGTATGGATTTTATAATTACTCATATTCGGATAAGTTTATATTTTCTTGTAGGCATTAAGTATATTTTTATGTCAAATTTACATTTTCAAACCATTATCAACAATAATACCTACACTTATTACTATGAAGAACCATCTCAAATAGTGTTTTATGAAGAATCACACATATGAACAGTTTTATAAGCGATGGGCAGTGTTAAGATTTATATGACTAGGAAATTATCAGATTTTAAAATTTTAATTCATTTGAGACTGGCGGGAATGCTGAAGTTTTTTATTTCTTTTTATTGCTCTTGTAGACAGACGAGCATACAGCCCACCTGAAATTGAGTAGTTACCGTCACCCATGGATGGACTTCACTTATGTCAGGGGCAGAGCAAAGCCGCTGCCTAAGTTGTGTGAGTTGCTATATTTTATTAATTCAGTGTTTTCTCTGGTTTGAATGTATAAAAATGGTAGTTTATTAATTATTTAATAATGATGAAAATGCATAAATGTGAGAAAACTAATTACGATGTATGATTTGATATCTTTGCCTTTCCAGTTAGAAAAATAAAACTGCTATTGTCATTTTGAACGATGATAAATTGATTCGTCGTCTTTTTGTTAAGCAAAAGGAACACATCCTTTCAGGGTAGTTTTTTGTAAAAAAGGTTAAAAGCATGTGCCTTTTATAAAACGCGATATGGAACTAAATTAAGTGAAAATGATTGCCTCTAAAATAAAAAAATAATATCTATCTATACTAAATTATAAAGCTAAAGAGTTTGTTTGTTTGATCGCGCTAATCTCAGGAACTACTGGTCCGATTTGAAAAATTATTTCAGCGTTAGATAGCGCATTTATCGAGGAAGGCTATATGCTATATAACATCACGCTAAGACCAATGCAAGCGGAGCACCAATAAAGAGTATTTCAAAATTGGGGTTTTTTCCCTTTTGGAGCTTCCACTGCGTGCGCTGTGGAAACGGTTGAATTTTCGTGAAAATAATGTATGAGAGAATTGTTCCCCTTTAAAAGATCTAAAAAAAGTCCGTGACAGCATATGTCTATATGTTAAGGTTGGCTCTCTATAACGTTTTTTATGCTAACCAAATTTGTTCTAAAATAAAGCTTTATCTCTGAAGGTGTTTTTATAAAGATGATATTCTACGTAAATGAAGAGGCGGACAAAATTTTGCGTTATGCCAAACTATTCCACGCGGACGTAGTTTGCGTTATGCCAAACTATTCCACGCGGACGTAGTCGCGGGCAAAAGCTAGTCACTAACTACGAAATTAAATAACCTCTCAGTAAAATTTTTAGTAAGGTTTTAACTGACAATTAAATATACTTTTTGAACAACCCCAGCAGTTATATATCATTTTACAAAACGTAGAATATACAACAAAGTAAAACAATTAATTTAACTTGTCATCTAAACCTTCCGCCAAATAGTTACGTATCAATTTTTTCTAATAATACATCTACATGTAACCCTCCTTTAACATGTTATTTTACAACACCGTTAACCACGAAAAAAAATTCTCTAAAAACCTCTTTTGACGAGATACTTCTACAACACGATATGTAACTAGATTTTTGTTTAAAATTATTCAGAAAATTACATTTAGAACCATGAACAAACAATAAATGGGAACAACTGAAATATTGCGTTTGATTTTTTGTATTTATTAGATAAAAAAAATACATACAGGCATAGTTCAGATGATTCATTTAGAAAAATTACCTCCTTTTTGACATTGAGAAGATCCGGTGAAAAACGCAGCGAGCTGATGTATGGGTTAAGTTGCACGTCGAACTCTTTACCGAATTCGACAAGTGCGATTACCGGGGTCCCTAAGCCTGCTCCTAATGTTAGAGCTGAAGACGTCTAATGCAAAAAAATATGTAAATAGGGGTTGTGGGGTGCAATATAAACTCGCAGAGGTATATGGCACCATCCTGCTTATTTCTGCAGTTGTACACAATTCCTGTTATTTTTGCTTACACATTTATGAAAAATACAATTAAGACGTAATTAAGAGCCAAAAGAAAAAAAAAATATGATTAATAAAATAATTTAATTTATTCAAATAGTTTTAAGAGAAACATGAGAGAGAGAAACAAGAGAATATGAACCCCACATAATTTAAAAAAAAAAAACATATCCATGAATGAAAATCATTAGACATGGCTTCTCGGGGCTTTTCAAAACTATCAGCAATTTCCAACTATATTAGTGAACGTTTACATAATTAAATCTCAAAAACACCTTAGGCCCTGTCATATCTTACTTTATTTAGTGCAACTTCATTTCATTCAGTTCATTTTTGTTTTAGACAGCAACGTGACAAAAAAAAATTATAATCGATTTGGCTGTATGGACTACGTTTCCTTTGCCTATCCAATAGACGAATCAAACAAATAATAACAAACAATAGCAAATTGTTGGCTAGGAAATAGTTTTAGTCCAAAAATTTTAAATATGAATCACAATCAAATGAATATGCACGTACCAATGAACCAAGTTGCTGGAGCTCCAAATGTAGCCATGCAAATGCCTGTACCAGGACCCATAATGCAACAGCAATCTCCTCAACAAATGCAACCTGCACCAGTGCCTCAACAAACACAACAAGATAAAATGGATAATATATCTAAAGTGAAGTCTTTAATGGGATCCTTACGCGAATCTATACCGGTAAATATACTAACATATTATCAGGTAGATATACACATAGTAATAAAAAAGAAAACTACTTTTCATAGGCAGTGCGTTGACTGTGCCCATTGTATTGCTGACGCCCAGAGCTGCGGTAACCACTCATGATCGGGTGAAACGTATGCTCATTCTATCTATGCTTTACAGCTGCATTCAAGTTAGGCTGTAAGCAAAAAGATAACAACTATTTAACTGTTTAACAGTGGCAATACAAACGTTGCTAACAGGATGTTGAATTGAATCCCTGGTCATCTTCCTGGCTGAGTCCAGCTGCAGTCCTTAAGTAATACAGGTAACCCTCCTTATAACAGAGTAGATATGTTCCTACAAAACCTCTGTTGTGTGAAACTGTATTATATGAGACTAGAAGCTAGAACATAAAGGAGAGGATGACTGGTGGCAGGACGTCTTGTGAGTAGGTAGGCCACACGGGTAGGTACCATGACCCTGCCTATTTCTGCCGTGAAACAGTAATGCTTTTCAGTTTGAAGGGTAGGGCAGCTGTTGTAACTGTACTGAGACCTCCGAACCCATATCTCAAAGCAAGTGGCGGCATTTACATTGTAGATGTCTATGGGCTCCAATAACCACTTAATACCATGGTGGGCCATGATTTCGTGCACCCTTCCAATGCAATATGCAATAAAAAAAATTATCTTAGCTATGCCTGTTTGTATTTTTTACCTGTTATACATAAAAAATTGCACATTTCGTTTATTCCCATATTATATTGCATGTTTATAGTTCTTAATGTAATTTTCTAAACAAGTTGTACAAGTACAGTGTTGTAAGTGGGGAATTTTTCTTTTAACGTCTCTGTGTTATAAAGTAGGTACTGGAGGGTTATCTGTATTTACAGATTTTCACACAAAAAAAACCTGGAATTAATGAGAAGAAATACTGGTACCTACTACATACTGAATCAATTCTGTAATTACTGGATCAGAACTTAAAAGTAGCAAGAAAATATTACAGGAAAGTTTTTTACTAGGAAGTTCATTTTTTACAACTTTGTAGTCTGTTTTAGATGACACTTAAGTCTGCAGCCCAAATATTACACCAAAATCACAATGCAGACTCCAATACACAGTAAGTAGTATTAATACTTGGTTTGAGCTATTTTTGTTCAATTATGCTATTGTAGTATAGACAAGACTGTCTACTTGAGAACGACGATGATGTTGGTTTTCAATGGAGGGTTAAAAATGTAAAATTGTCATTATTTCTTCCAGAAAAGGTATGGATAATCCTGTTCCTAGATTTGAAAAAAACTTAGAAGAGTTTTTCTCAATCTGTGATCAAATGGAACTACATTTGGTAAGTAAATTTTTACTTAAGATAAGTATTATTGCTTCATAGGTAAATTTTTGTTAAACGCTCAATGTAAATCAAAGACACTTTGGTGGACACCACATCTTCTCTCGAAATTGTGAATCCTTTATTTCATCTAAATTACAAATGTGTTATATTGTAGACAAAAATATGGTAATAAAATAAAACGAACAATAACAAGGACATAATCAAATTGCCGTATACCACAAACCTGAAAATTACGCTGCGAGATTAATATTTACAAAAAAATAAATATGGTAAAAAAATACAAAATATTTCGCCAAATACTCTGGTAGTAGGGAATACTGTAAGGTTGCATCACACTGTGATGTCTGTGAACTCGGGTAACTGAACACCGGGTGGCCTGTCTGTTGCAATAAGAACTGTGATAAAAACACAATATCATTTCAAGTTCAAATTAACTATCTATTGTTAATAGTATCCGCCAAGTCTACAAATTCGAACCTGATATCATATTATAATATTATAATCAGATATTTATGGTGACTGAGAATGGGCCCCATAAGGAGGCTCTAAGTCATTCAAAGAACAATGGAGAGGAGGGCTATATTAGGAGTTTTCCTGCGAAATCGAATCAGGAACTGTTGTGGGAGGCTTAAACGACGAAGAGAAAGGTCTTCCACCGATTGGGTGATATTGCTCGGTAGACCGACGGTCCAAATGTTGTTGTTCGGAACTTGTATATATGCAAGCTTAACTTGAAAATGTCGTAAGCGTGATTCAGGCATCTGTCAAATATCTTGCGTTGTATGATGGCTACCGCCACACTGTCATAGCCCGAAGGTTAGCCAAATTGAAATGGCAGTGGGCAGAGGACATTGCTCTTCGAACAGTAGGCCGCTGGGGACGAAAAGCTCTTGAGTGGCGACCACGGACCTGAAAGCGCAGCGTGGGTAAGCCCACGAGGTAGTCCAACGACCTGTCAAAAGTCGCGGGAATCCGTTGGGAGCAGACCGCACAAGACCGGTTATTGTGGCGAATCTTGGGAGAGGCCTATGTCCAGCAGTGGACGTCCTTGGGATACCAGATAATAAAATTAAAATTTGTAAAATATATATACCTATGAAGGTTTGAACTTGAGAGGTGTGTTTTCAAATATTCTCTTTGTATCCTATGCGCAATACAGCTCTATCCATTATCCTATTCAGTGGCAAACATTGTTCTTCTGTGGTCACAGCATTGCCCTGAAACGTCGGACGCATTTTTTTTTCCCTTAAATTTTTAACATTGAAAACATTTTCTATTTGACCGCTTGAACCACTCTGTTTGTTATACCAGTGGTCTTTCTTACTGGTGGTAGGAGCTCTTGTGAGTCCGCACGGATAGGTATCACCACCCTGCCTATTTCTGCCGTGAAGCCACCCACCTTGAGATATAAGTTCTAAGGTCTCAGTATAATTACAACGACTGCCCCACCCTTCAAACCGAAACACATTACTGCTTCACGGTAGAAATAGGTAGGATGATGGTACCTACCCGTGCGGATTCAAGAGGTCCTACCACCAGTAAAATTTCCGGAAATTTTCATCGAATTCGGTGTAGTCATTTCGGAAGAGAACATACACCTATTGACTTTAACTAAATTTATCTGATGGCTCGTCTAGCTCGTCAATAAATGAAATTCATACAAGGAATATTATTTTGAATGTCTGTCAACTGTATTCTGATTTCAGTCAAACAGCAACAGCGGACTAATGTTCTAATGTTTACATTGTATTCATTATCGTCGACTCACATAATGTTTCTAAGTGCAACAATTACTTTATTGATCGGTCGACAGTTATTAATCACTAATTATTATTATTATTAGAGAGTTATTCGTCATGTCCCTAAGTGACCCGTTATCGGTTTGTCAACAAACACCATTGAATTATATTAAGTAGTTGCATATGAGTCTTGTGATATTCGTTGGCCGTCTCAATGCGACATTTTCATAATATTCCACAGTCGACTATGTATTGCTTGTTACTAACCGTGTAATTAAACTAAACGAATATTTACTTTAAAAAAAGATGAGTAAGATCTATTCTCGAATGTAGAAAAGGATCGCAATCCTTCCTCAACGCGGTTTCTCGAAATCAAAAGCAAAAATCGGATGTACTATTTGTAACAACTTCGACCTTTAAACTGTTTAGAGCATAATGATCTACATACATACATTGAAAATAATACAAGTATTTGAATTTTAATTAAAGCTTAAAGACTCTTGAAGTCTGTGGCGGGTAGCCATCATACAACGCAAGATAATTGACAGATGCCTGAATCTTGCTTACGACATTTTCAAGATAAAGCGCATATATACAAGTTCCGAACAACAACATTAGGACCGTCGGTCTACCGAGCAATATCACCCGCTCGGTGGAAGATCTTCCCTTTGTCGTAAGCCCCAAAAGTCTTTTAGAATTCAAAATATAGGTCGCGTCTAAGAAGTCGTCGTAGCCTAAAAGATAAGACGGCCCGGAACGTTCGTATCTAATGATGCCGGTGTTCGAATCCTAGCAAATAGGTACTAATTTTTGTGATGAAATTCGAACAAATGTTCACGATTTACTTATATGGCGAAAGAACAGCATCGTCTAATAAAAATCAAACCCGCAAAAATATAATTTGCGTAAGCATAAGGCGTCTTGTAAGACCGCACGAATAGGTAAGCAATAAAAAAAAAGGTATCACCTTCCTGTCTGTTTCTGCCGGGAAGTAGTAAATCGTTTGATGGATGGGGCAGCCGTTGTAATGTAAAAACGGGCACTTAGAACTCACATCTCAAGGTGAGTGACGGCATTTACATTGTTGATATCGATGGGCTCCGGTAAAAACTGAATACTAGGTGGGCCGTTAGCTCGTCCACTCATCTTATCAATAAAAAAGTACATTTAGGAAAGCCAATAAAAATATACACAGACTCCTGCTGACGTAATAAAGAATTCGATTAAATTCGTCATAAAATAATTAAATTAAATACGTACTTTATGAAAGGCAAGGAGAGAAAAATATACTGTTCTAATTGGATTAATTGGATATAAATATTTTATACTAATCGATTGTTGGCCATATAAATCCCAGTACAGATAGCATTGCGAGTTATTTGTCTTTTAATCACGTCCGAAGGGATAACTACTGGTTTTTTTTCTGCATAATTATATGATTTTCTTGAGATATAACACGGTTTCTTTTTATGTATTTAGCGAACAGCAACAACGTGTATCCAGCAAGCGCAATCAGCCGCCCATTATCTGCCGCTCTCGGTGATAGCCTCAAGACTCGACTCTGGACCTACCACGCAGGTGATTTACGTAATTTAGATAATTTTATTTATATACCTAGTCAGGTCATAAATTCTGTCACATGTTTAATGTAAAATAATTGAAACAAGTTTATTCATTATGTAACCATTCATATACCAAAATGAACTTAACAAAACATCGATTCTTATGACACTAAAGTTTATTCAAAATGACCTCCGTGATTTTGAATACAGGCCTTCAATCTGCGCGGCCAGTCGTCTATCGCAGCACGAACGAGGTCCATGTCAATATCGGCGGCTGCCTTAATCAAGGATGTCTTGAGTGACTCCAAATTGGGATGAGGCTTTGAGCACGCCTTTTCCTCCAAGTGTTGCCATATCTTGTAATCTAACGGATTCAAATCTGGACTGGAGGAGGGCCAGTCTTCGTGCCGGATGAAGTCGATTTCACGCGCCGCCAGCCAGTCTTGTGTGCTCTTCGCTCTATGAGCTGGCGCCGAATCTTGTTGGAATACCCAGTGCCTGTTATTGAACATGGTATGAGAAACAGGTTCCACAAGGTTCGTCAGGACTGTATTTTGATACACAACTGCATTCGTTTTTACACCTTTCTCACAAAAATGTACCTCTGTTAAGCCCCAATAAGAAACTCCCAACCATACCATGAGCGAGGATGGAAAATGACCTCGTTGGACACGCGGAATACGGTTGCTCGCTTCTTCACTACTGTGTGCGTACACCTTATCATTTTGTTTGTTGTAGCTCTCTTCTACGGTAAAAATTTTTTCATCCGAAAAAAGAATTTCCCGATATTTTTTTCCCGCGTACCGCTTCAACAAAGCGCGGCATCTCTTCAGTCTCAGGTCCATTAGACGAGCATTCAAACGATGTCCTGTTTTTCTTCGATATGCCCGAAGCCCTAAGTCTTCATTTAACACCCTTTTCACCGTGGTTCTGTTTAACCCCATCTGAAGGGCCAACAGTTTCTGCTTACGTTTGGGATTTCTTTGAATTCGCGCCTTCACAGCTTTTATCACTGCTGGAGTCCTAACAGACCGAGGGCGACCACTTCTTGACCTGTCATCTACACTAGTCTTCATTGTATCGTTTGATGGCACGATAAACGAATCTTTTGGTTATATTCAAATTTTTCAGTATGTTAAAAATTTGAATTGGCGCGTAACCGCAACGATGCAACGCAATAACTGCAACACGGTCTTCTTTAAGCGTACACTCCATATTTAAAAATTAGTAAAAATTCTAAAAGTATACATTTTTATTTTCATGAACAATTCGAAATTCGAATTCAATAAACTTTTTTGTGGCCAGCATTCTAAAAGAAAAGTTTTTACTGTGTGACAATACTTATGACCTGACTAGGTACTTTGATCAAGCTATACTTAGAACTAGATGTACTTAGAACGGTAGGCAGCGGCTTGGCTCTGCCCCTGGCATTGCTGACGTCCATGGGCGACGGTAGCCACTCACCATCAGGTGGGCCGTATGCACGTTTGCCTACAAGGGCAATAAAAAAAAATTAAGTGACATTTCGCTTAATACACGACAATTTTCTTTGCAATTAAAGGTCCGCTTTATTTGTTACATATTTATAGGTATGTATCAAGTTTTTTTTTTTTAATTGAACCTCAATTAAGTTTACCCCATACAAATAGCTGAAGAAGTTTTCTGTTATGATATTTTTTACAAATTTTAAACTTTAAATGGCTCTTCTCTAAAGTTACAAAAATATCTCTTAAATCTTTATTAGTCTAATCGTCAATCACTCACTATTCATCCCAATCTGTTTTCAGGAAACGACATTAAGCTATCCGCAATATTTGAAGACAGTTGGCCTCCAAATCTCATACGCGAAAGATATTCACGACACATTGGTTGCGGCCGCTCAGAATATATCACCGACCGAATGAAAATGAACCTTATCTGAATAAGTTTAAAGTATAAAGAATAAATTATTATTTGTAATTTATAAAAAAAAAACTTCCAAATAAACAGTCCAGTGTTTCTTTTTTTCCCGGACGCGTCGCAAAAAAGGGTCTTAAGTTTAAATGCTTGGACTTTTCTAAGTGGTTCGCTTAAGTGGATCGTTTCTTATCCCTACGATTTGGATAGCAGGCTTCGATCATTAAGTACTATTATTGATGGAAGACAGCGAGTTAAAAATAAAAAAGCCATAAATTTTACGATAAATATATAATAAAATTAATTGGATACATAACCGAGAGAATAACAATAAGATAAAAGAGTTCAATAATTTAAAATCAGATCATTTAAATAGGAACACAATAATATCGAACACAGAAGGACATTACAAAAACTTTTCATCGTAATTATTTAAAATCGATCGATAATAATCGTGAGATCGTTAATTGTGCCTTAAAATGAATGCCGTAGAGTTCAAATATGTTCATTTTTTTATATCATAACAATTTTTAATAACCATCCAAGCTTAACTTATATATTACAAAACTTAATTCTAATTACAATCGATTCAAATTTTAAAATGAATACGTGTATCTTAAATTAAACTATCACAAATACAATCAAATACTTTCAGTCTTTATATGTTTTTTAGTAGAACACCATGAACTTGGAACTTAGGATTTCGAAACCAGCTCATTTACCTGAAACAGAAAAGAGATTTAAGGATGAATCAATCAATTTTCAAAGAATTACAACAGTTTTTAATACTGTCTCATAAAAATCAACGATAAATTTGTCTTATGAATGAGAAAATACTTAAACAAGAAATCGTCGTGTCTATTAGCTCCGGCAATCACTTAACACTGGGTGGGCCGTGAGTTCCTCCACCCATTATCTATCTATCTATCTCTATATATAAAAATGAATTGCTGTTCGTTAGTCTCGCTAAAACTCGAGAACGGCTGGACCGATTTGGCTAATTTTGGTCTGGAATTATTCGTGGAAGTCCAGGAAAGGTTTCAAAGGTGCGAAAATATAAAAAAAGCTTGGAATTATAATAAAAAACCTTAATAATTTTGTTTTTCCTTTGATGGGTCCCCCGTCGGACGGATTCCTTTTCTTTGTTTTAAGTTTATGCTATACAAAAGTTTAGGTCTTTTATTTATCGATTGAGGCACTACGAAGTCTGCCGGGTCAGCTAGTATGTAATAAAACTAAGGAAGAAAAAAGCGATATCATTTCATGTTGTAGAGCGCTCTGTTTTGATTTTTTTTATGATTGAAGGATTACTGGTGGCCCGGAGGCCTTTCCAGTATCACAAGGACAGGTAGGCGAGCAAGGGCTCAGCCAGTAGGGGTGGGATTTGCTAACAGCCGCCCGAGCGCCTGTGAAGGAGACCTAACAAGAACTGCTGCTTCGCGAATGAGCCTATTACCGGATGGGAATCGCGACCCGCTGAGAAGATCCGGCGTGAAACTCAGCGGGCTGATGCATGGGTTAGGTTGCATGTCGAACTCTTTGTCGAGTTCGACCAGTACGGTTACCGCGATCCCTAAGCCTGCTCCTAGTTAGTTAGTTAGTTAGAGCTGAAGGCGTCATGTTTTGAATAATAACGTCAATCGACGTATAAATTTAAAAACCTACAAACAAATGTTCAACTACGTATACTCAACAAATGTTCACGATGGACTTCCACGGTGAAGGAATAACATCGTGTAATAAAAATCAAACCCGTCGGGTATGGCAGCCTTTGTAACTATACTGAGATCTTAGAACTTATATCTCAAGGTGGGTGGCGCATTTACGTTGTAGATGTCTATGGGCTCCAGTAACCCCTTAACACCAGGTGGGCTGTGAGCTCGTCCACCCATCTAAGCAATAAAAAAAACCATAACAACAAACAAACAAACAAAACTGTTTAAATGCGTATATCAAAGAACTTTACAAGCCACGAAACTTTACTTTTGAAAAAAGACAACATATTAGCTAAATACATCAACGGCAAAATGAACCTACTCGAACGAAAACAAAATTCAAACTCAAATAGAATCGATCATCGATTATTTCCTAAATTTTATTTAGCCCTTAAAACAATTATTCTCAAGTACAGTTTAGTAGAATAAGAACAAGCACACAAACTGATAAGACAAGCTGTTGTTGTTTCCGCAACACATGCCCGAATATAATTCACTAACAACAACACAACAGAATCGATCATATTATCATATGTCAATACGCTCGAGGGGGGGCAACAATATTGGATAGGAACACAAATCCTTATCTACGAGGAGAAATAGTCCTGTATGTTTACGCCTGCCTGACCTAAGATAAACCACGGTATCACAAATAATACCGAAGCCTGTCGCGGACGCTGTCAACCGTATGGAATAATACGTGTTCATATTGCATTATGTACAGGCGTGGAATATTTCAAAGATCGTTCTAGTAACATTGCACTCGGACACTGCATGTCGAAATATATTCATTGGTGGATCATAGTACAATCAATTTAAATATTATTACCCTATTAAACAATTAATCAATTAATGTGTTTTGATTCAATCTTTCATTAGGGATGCAATAATTTTATTGTCAAGATTATATTATCTAAGCTAGTAACAACCGATATCGTGGTCATTCACCCGATGTAATACAACCATTAGAGAAACATGATATTATTATACAATATAACAAACAGCAAGCTAATTTTTGCACGTCCGTAATTACATTATCTGTACCGTATAAAAATACACGGGCAATCTTGTTTGTTCTGTTTTTTTAATTGATATAGTCCATGGTAACAGAGGCCCCGGCCTGTTGTTTTAAAATAACCTTAATATCGATTAATTTCAATGCCAATTGCTGGAAAATAAACGGGTTTCTGATAGTGGTATTATTATTGGTATTATATTTATAAGAGACCAGGCGCTAGTGCTCAGGGGTACGCAATGTTAAAGGTCGCTAAATTTTTGGTTGGGAACAAAAAAAACATTGTGTTATCAATCATATTGAAAGTATGAGTAAATAAGAAACAAAAAAAAATTCTTAAGCGCGAAGCACTGGGGTATACATTACTCTCGCCCAAGCAGTCCTTGTTGTGAAAATATACATTGTAAATTTTTTATCATCCTGTTTTTTTTTTCTCCTACCTATGCTGATAGCCTTGAGAGACTATTTCAGCTTCACCCTAACGTGTGTAGGTGAGCTCACGGGGCTCAAACTGGAGTGTTGCTAACACTGACCCTAGCAAGAGCAGTGCTTCGCAGAATCTACCACCGCATCGGAAACGCGACCCACTGAGAAGATCCGGCGAGAAACTCAGTGGGCTGTGTCTATGGGTTAATTCGCTCGTCGAGCCCTTCGTCGCAAACGACGGGTTCGACGAGGACGGTGACCGGTGCTTGTGGTGCCTAAAAGCACCGTTAATAGATGATCATGCTGAGGATCTTTACCTAATTTAAGAAGGGAATAGTTATAGAGTGGCATTTTTCATGATGCCCCAGGGCAGTAATTAAAGTAAGAGTCATAGCTTGTATTTTCTGCTTTACCCTGAGTGTTGCTAACTTTTAAATTTTGCCAAAATGAATTTATCGGTACTGTATACGATACAAGTATTATATTTATAGTTTTCAAAATATTTGATACATCTTTATTTGTGTTGTAAAATTTAAACTAAATGGAATGTTATTTTGAATGGCTCTGAAACAATTAGGGGCACATTTATCGAACGGAACTCTAGAAATGAATTCTAATCAACAGTAATTACGAAACATGCCCATGGCATGGCGATAAGCTAACTAAAGCATCAGTACAAAAAAGTATCTTAGTTTATCTAAGATTTACCCTCTAATTCCCATAGTACAGAGAATCATATGGCCGCACATCCTTCTTTATTTTAATGAAAAAAAAAAATTACAATTTTATCTAATAGAGGTTTAGTGGTGTTGAAAGCCCACGTGGCTTTATGAATGGGAAAGCAACTAATATTTCAAAGTCGACTACGACCTAGTAAATCGAGCAGGATATTATTTATGTTGTAATTTTCACTACCGTCATTTTTTTTCCGTACCTAATCTGTTAATCCTTAAGAGGCTTATGCCAGCGTAACTTAACGAGACGGTGAGCTCACTGGGTTCTAACCTGACGACGTTACCAACACTATCCCTAGCTAGACTAGTGCTCCGCAGAATCTACCACCGGATCGGAAACGCGACCCACTGAGAAGATCCGGCGAGAAACTCAGTGGGCTGTGTCATCCGTCTGCTCATAAAACGTATCTAAGTACTTTTTTTTTTCGTTTACCGCACTGAAGTATGAAACCTGTTTACCGAGATGTGTATCAGTACATAAAACGTCACGAATAAAATAATGATCCGTAGAGTTATTCATAAAAGAAGGTTTATTGCTATGATTTGATAATTAAATGTGAAATAAAATATATACCTACAATATATTTAATAAATTATCGGTCGGTTATCACGCATTGACTTCCATAAATTACTTCGTGTTTTCTTCTTGATAACTGTAACATTGACGCAAGTTTGTTGCAATTTTATTAAATAAATTTATATTAAATTGTCATGAGAGGTACAGGTACTATAATTTAAAATAAACTTCTTCAAGAGGAGTTTCAAATTGAAAACGAAAATGAATAATCTAATAATGCAAATTTTATCAAAATTACATAAATTAATTAATTCCGTTTTAACACGCTGAACAATAAAGAAAAATCAAATTATTTAAATATCGATTTATGGTTTTTTTTATTGCCCGTGCATACAGACTAGCATATGGCCCACCTGATGGTGAGTGGTTACCGTCGCTCATGGACGTCAGCAATGTCAGGAGCAGAGCCAAGCCGCTGCCTACCGCTACGTATATGAGTATACTCTATGCGATGATTCTTTATATAACTTTGTTTCAGGGTGCTTAGTGTGAGTTTTTTAACGTTCTCGATAGCGTAAAAGTAGCCGTCATCAGGTTTGAGCCCCGTGAGCTCACCCACTAGTTAAGGCGACGCCGATATAGCTTCTCAAGGCTATCAGCTTAGGTAGGAAAAAAAAGTAACTAAAATCTGTATGCAGTTGGAACAGCGTCCCTAGCGGCAAACGTAAGCAAACGTTCCAACTCCATACAAATTTTTGTTAACTTGTACGCTATCGTGAACGTTAAAAAACTCGCACTAAGCACACAGAACGGCTCCATTAGATTTAGAATTTGCCACTTACTCTTTACGTTCATCCGAAGACTTGTTGTGCTGCATAAGTGATATGCAGGTAGCCATCGTGAGAGCGGAACTGCTGGTACGCCTGCGCCATCGTCATACTGTGGCTCGCCAAAACTTTGTCGTTCACAAGCAAGTACAATGCCTGCCAAATGAACATTGAAATGGAATAAAGATTATGTTAAAACGACATCGTGGCCTAAAGGATAAGACGTCCGGTGCATTCGTATTGAAGCGATGCACCGATGTTCGAATCCCAGGCGGGTACCAATTTTTCTAATTAAAAAAGTTTTCTTTAAGTAAATTAAAATAAGATTACTCGTATTAAATTCAAAATATAACAGTATGGTCATTATAATGTATTACTTGAGCTAACAGCTCACCTGTGAATCGCGGAGTTTCATCTTTGTTCTTATAATGTACAGAAACTGCGACATTGTGAGTTCCTGTGGCACTAAGAACTTTGTTCTCCCTAATACTGGCACCTCACGATCTCTTACGTATCTGGTCACGTACAGCTATAGAAATAATTATTTTTCATATAATAATTCAATAGTAATTGATACCGAACTACAACATTCTATTGAACGCTTATTGATTTGATTTGATTTTCGTGAGCTGTGGACATAATTTAAACTACTTTTTATTATTTGTTTTTTGATTGCTTAGATGAGTGGACCAGCTCACAGCCCACCTTTTGTTACTGGAGCCCATAGAAATCTACAACGTAAATGCGCCACCCACCTTGTGATATAAGTTCTGTCAGTAGTTACAACGGTTGCCCCGCCCTTCAAACCGAAACGCATTACTGCTTCACCGTAGAAATAGGCAGGGTGGTGGTACCTACCCGCGCGGACTCACAAGAGGTCCTACCATCACTTTGATCGTTTAGTGTCGCGTTTTTTATTGTCATTACGGACAGTCTTCCGTGAGTGACTACGAAAACTGTAAGGCACTAAACCCTAGCTTTGATTATTCCATAAAGGTGTTATTTAAAAAAAGAAACTTACCGGGACTTTATTAGGGAAGCGGTGTCTAATGGCTTCTACTTCGCGGTTCGATTTTTCCTGCATATCTACCAACACAAAGTCCTTAATTAGGTCGATATCGATTAAAATATAATAAAAACGACTTAAGTTTAATGAATTGAGGATAGCGTAATAACCCTTACCATCCTGGTAGCCGAACACCTCTTGAGAGGCGTAGGTGATGTAAAGGAATCCATCTTCATCCCCATAGTTTTCGTAGGCTTGCGCCATTGTGAGGCTCATACTTAACATCGACCTGTTATTGATGATTAGGTATAAAGCCTGGAAAAAATTCGTTAACGTAAATAGAAAACATTTTAGAATTAGAGCCCATAGACATCCACAACGTAAATGCGCCACCCACCTTGAGATACAAGTTCTAAGGGTCTCAACTATAGTAACGACGGCTGCCCCACCCTTCAAACCGAAACGCATTACTGCTTCACCGCAGAAATAGGCAGGGTGTTCACTACCTACTTTATGTTTTGCGGTTGTATTTTTTATTTACTTTGTTGCTTATAAGGTTGGGCGATCTCCCGGCTGCCCTGTCTACGTAGTTACCATAGGCATCTAAAAGATTAATGCCGCCATTCACTTTGAGATACGAGTTCTAAGGCCTCAGTTTTTACAGTAAAACAGCTGCTCCACCTTTCAAACTGAAACCTATTACTGCTTCAAGGCAGAAATAAGTAGGGTGGTGGACTCACAAAACATCCTATAACCAGTAAGTCGGTAGTACGACGTCTTGTGAGTATTTGCCGGTGTTTTCATAATAAAGCCACTATCTTGGTGTGTGTCACGCGTACTATTAGACAGAGTTCTATGCACAAGATCACCGACTTATAATTATCATTTCAATTAATTATTATTTATTAACTATCGCACATATAATGATTTGATTACAGTGTTACACAATCCTAGTTCGAGTTCCCTTACATTTCAGATCAAAACGTATTTAATAAAGTTATTTTTTTTGTTTTTCAATATACGGCAAAGGAATTTTTTTAGGTTCTTAAAAACACTTACTTGGTTAGGTTTGACTCTGATCCTGTTTCTGATGATAACCAAAAACTGAGACATGGTGATGTCTTCCGGGACTAAAAATTTTTTTTTGTCCAGTGTTGGCAGATTTCTCTCTTTATGATATCGCTCAACGATTAGCTAAAATAAATAATAATAAAAATTAACAAAAAACATAACCAACTCCAACAAAAGGAACTAAGAATATGATTAATTATATTGTAATTTATCGTAAGTCAATCAGATATGCATTATCAAGGATAACTCAAAACTGGTCTGATCTGGAAACTGGTGAGATCTAGATGAAATTTAGAGCAGGCCACACGAGAAGCACCAGCTTTAAAAATAAAAGCAATCATCAAAATCGGTACATCTAGAAAAAAGTTCAGAAGTTGCACATACAAACTAATACAATCGAAATGAGAACCTCCTCCCTTTTTAAAGTCGGCTAAATAAATATAATGCTAAATTCGGCCGTGATTTGGTTGTCTCTGGATCGACTAGTTGCTTTTGTACTTTGCATTCGGAAGGGTTGCTTAATGCTGAACTAAATGCGGGCATTTAGCGTATGTCCTTAATTTTTTTGGGTTGGACATTAGCAATTAATATTCATGAGCGACGGTGAGCACTCACTTATGAAAAAGGAGACACGGCATACGTTTGCGAAATTATGTAAGGTGGATAGCTTACGAAAACAATGAAAACAAAAATGCCATTTTACAATATGTATAACGGTGAAAAAATCTTGCATTTATCAGAGTAGATTACTTACAGGTATTTTGGTGGGGAATTTACTCTTGATTGCCATTACTTCTTCTTTTCGGATAACTGTGAAATAATTAATTAATTTAATATATATAACCGCAACATTTATACCACTGCAACACTGATACTTCTGATTTATTTGCGATTTGACGAAAAATATTCACTTTTACAAACTTTTTTGATGTCAGCTTTAAATTTATCGGGTAAAGAATATTTTTTGTCTATATTATTGTAACTGCTCCAGCCTATGCCTTCCCTTAAATGCATTTTTGATAGTTAGGACAAAAAGTAACGCGTCCGTCACATACGAAGGTCGTTGAAAGAAATGCTTAAACAGCGGACGCAATCTAAACAATGCCCTTCGAAAAAAACGCCTATTGTCCTGTCCTTCACGGGGCTTTGTACTTATGGTTGCTTTCAGCGTGTTTCTGAGTATATCCCTTATCTCAATCGTTCTCATATACCTAAACACAGATAGGTCTTAAACAAATACATATTTACGCTATTGATCGGGTTGTGACCCGAGTCACGTAGTATTTCGTGAAGTAACAAACTAGATCATTTTAACGCGCACTGTTATCACAATTATTCGAGGAGACGACTATCGTTAAACACAAAATCTAGAGTTCAACGAACTTCAATTCGCATATTCGTAATTCAGTTACAATTTAAGAGAGAATCGCTCGTGTAATTTTCCACTGATGATGTTTACAGACCCTCGTCCCGTTTGGATGCAGATACGCAGCGTATTTATATTTGTGGTTGATAACTTTATGGTCAATTGAGTTAAGTACTTTTATTGGATATACACTAACTGATAAAAGCCTGCCTCTTTAATTGTGTAGGTACATGTAATTGTTTAATTTTGCATCGATGGTAGAGAAACACGATATTCTAATTATCTATACGTTTAATAGAAGAATATTCAAACGATGCAATTAAATAAATAAAAAATCATGTTTGAAGGACAACTTTGTGCACTTCTTAAATCTATTCAAACATTACAAAAGATATTAAAGTAGATTACGTACTACAGAAAGTTAAAGAAACAAATGTTTGTTTTCGTAAATAGATAGAAAAACAAACAATATGAATTCTTAGTCATTTAAAATAATTATGACTCATACTTACCTACGACAATATCTTGTCATGAAGTGAAATTTCATAACGATTTTTACATTTAAAGTTTAAATTAGGTAAGATGATCTCAGATTAAACTTTAAGATCCCGACTACCTTAATCTGCAACTACTACTTTCTCACTATTGGTCTATTGATTAGCATCGTCACTCTGTGTTCCTACATAGATGCCTCAAACTCCTATCTTCAGAGCTAGACCTAGGGTAAGTTGAGAGCACCCACAGCTTTATATTATCGTGGTCGCACAGATCTGTTTCTGATGTGATATTGCAATCGTACATTCGATTTGAAGGAGAGTATTAAGCGGTAGGCAGCGGCTTGGCTCTGCCCCTGGCATTGCTGAAGTCCATGGGCGACGGTAACTACTCACCATCAGGTGGGCCGTATGCCCGTCTGCCTACAAAGGCAATAAAAAAAAAATAAAAAAAAGGAAGTTTTTCTCATGAATTTAAGACTTTAAGACTGACCTCAGAACTCAATTGGGACGGGGGTTCTTCCCATTTGACTATTTCTAATGGGCTTCGATAGATAACCTTAAAACTTAGTAAACGGTGAACTTATTCCTAAACCTGCCTATTTCTGCCGTGAAGCAGTAATGCGTTTCGGTTTGAAGGGTGGGGCAGCCGTTGTAACTTTTTACGTTGTGGATGTCTATGGGCTCCAGTAACCACTTAACATCAGGTGGGCTGTGAGCTCGTCCACCCATCTAAGCAATAATAATTTAATAAAAACTTGTAAAAATGACTGAATTGATTATCTATCTAAGAAATAAAAAAAATAAAAACAAATTATCTACTCGAGTAATCGAAAATATACGATCCTTGATAAATAAATTAAAGTATTTGAAATATTTGAGAAAAGATTTTTCTTGACTACTCAGAGAGTAGGTAGGGTTCTCGTACATTCGAGAGAGTCGTCGTGGCATAGCGATGGAACTATCTAAGATAATAATATTAATTGAAATCAAAGATTAAATAAACGAAAACAATTTGTTATGATGTGAGTAGGGGACTTAAATTGAAAATTTTAATGTCATGTTATGCAGCTGAATAGGGCTACCCTAAAGTCGCGTAGGACTTAGTTTTAGATATTTAACTGTTTTTCAGAGTTCAGAGTTAAATTTAAACTATTTAACATAAATCAAACGGGTCTACGACTCCCGAACACATTATAAGTATTTAACTTTTTTTTTTTAAATCGGTAGTTATTTAACATTAAAAAATATTAATTGGAAGGTAGATATAAAGCTGTTTCTTTACTTATTTATTGAAAACATAAAATCTCGTCAATAACTAATAGCTAAACAATTTCAATAACTAAACGAAGAAAAGAAAGCGTAAAACATTTAAAAAAAGCCAAGAAAAATACCACCTAAGTAACTGTGTTGCCTATAAAATTCCCAAAAAAACAATTAAAATTCTAACAAAAGTAAGGAAGACCGTTAATACATCAAATAAAAATACTTACTAAATGGCTTTTTGGATTTGAAACACTGTTTCACGTTGTGATTAACATCGTGTTTGATTAATGTTGTTATAAAATTTAGCTCCATTGCGAGGGCACTGGTCGCGTTATGTATCGCACGATGTATGGGCAAGTACACTGAACGCAGCGCGGACTGTAACTAGCTAGTCGACTACCAACAGTACCAAACGAAGCCAACAAGTAAACAATATGGGTAGTTTTATCATTAGACTGGAACAGTGATTACAAATTTCCTTTTCTTTTCCGTTCGAGATTGTTTATTTAATGAGGGATAGTTAACCTGTCCGTCAATTAGACTAAGCATGTTTGTTCTTTATTAAGCAGATTAATATCTGTTTGTTCTCTTTTTAAACGTAAATAATCATGAATTGTTCCCTCCGTTCTGTGGTATAATGTAAATAATGTGTGAATATACAGTTGGTTATCTATTTGAAGTTCGTAAATGCATTATCTACTCCCAAAACAAATAGGAAAAGTCGGGGCAAACGTTATTTCGTTTCGATATTGTATGTTAACATAGTAAAACAGAAACCGGTTCTCGTATCTCCCGCTGGAGTGCAACGCTAGTAAGTTCTGGAATGTATACTCAATTTAGTACAAAATAATTTGATGCCTTTTTGTATTTATGAACGTGTGTAATAACTCAAACAAAAATCAAAACATTTAACTTGTAGGCAAGTCTCTGTTATTATCTAAATACATAAGGTTTACTAATAAAGTATATAATTTAGAACGTCAACAATGAAATGAAGGACCCGACTTACTGATTTCAGAGCCGTTAGGATCACGCTGGGTCTGCCACATTTTTTTGTTGTTCGCTCGGCATTGACGTGACATTCGTTTTTTAAGATTATCTTAGGGGTAGTGAATAACCGACTACCTGTGTCATACAATAAAATCGTCACCTGCATTTCTATGTAAAACGAACTGTAATACTTTGAATTTTATATTACTTTGTCTAATGTTATCATAGATAATAAAAAAATACCTTCCATACTTACTTTATTCATTTAGATTGGTCTTTTCGATATTATAAATATTACACACCCTCATATACTAAATTTCATATCTTGTCTAGTTTTTTACCTTTGATCCTGTTACTTAGGGAAGAGAAAGATATGAATCTGGGTCCCTGCATGGTCTGCTATGGAGCTAACCCATGTAAAACCATCATGCTAACCACGGACTTCCATCCACATTTCGGGATCCATAGGCGAAGCATTTCGGAGTTGAACAATCAGGTTCTTGAGCGACAGCAGTTCTGATCGGTCTGAGCCTTAAATAGGTTAGAAATCATCCAATATAAGCTGGGGCAAGGTGTTGGGAGTTTTGAATGACGAGACAGCAAAAGAATTCTTCAGATTTCGAGTAGGTACCACCAGCCGGCCTGTTTATGCCGCAAAGTAATGTGTTCCAGTGTTAAGGGTGCCGTTACTACTACATATACTCGTTTTAGACGTAATATAACGTATAAAAATACACGTATAACGTATAATTAAAAAAAAAACCTCGAAAGCACAATGGCTGTGTTTTAAAAAGTAATATGATTGCTTCCTGGCCGAAATAGATACACCACCACATACTTGAGTTTTACTGATAGTGGTAATAATTAACCCACAGATCTTTAAAACTCAAGCTAAAAACGGTCAAATAAGAATAATTAAAAGGAAATAAAAAATCCTAATAATAGATATCTTAAAACCAAATCAGTTAGATAATATTCGCACAGAATTAGTTTACTCCTAACGTTATTTAAAATAAAAAGTAATCATGAAGCTACAATTCCCAACTTTGTTTATTCAAGAACCTAACTTTTGTCTCGCGGTCTTCGTTAATGGTGTCCGCGTGTGTGTGTTGTGTTTGTGTTTATTAGTTTATTTTTTAATTACTTCAATACGCAGACGAGCCAATGGACAACTTGAGGGAAGCCTGCAGCTTTCTATTTTTTCTCACCAATAGAAAATCTTAGCTAAGCTTAAACTAATCGATTAAGCTAACCACATCTTAATTTGTGTTAAATATCTACTTTTTACTTCAGATGACCAGAAAAGCTTAAAACTGGTAATTACCATTACGGTAATTACCGAGACCTACCTATAAGCCCCACGACATGTACAGTCTTATTCATCTTGGAAGCCTCTTCTTGTCTCTCTATGTTTCCGGTATTCGTCACACAGAAGATGCTCGGAGGAAATTCCAACTTATAGTCGCTATAAACAGTAAACTGTGTTACACAAGCAGATAGGAAACTCTGTAAACTGTTACATAACAGAACTTAAGGTAATAGTTATTGCACCAACTAACCTTGTTTGTTTAATTTTGTTTGGTGGATAATTCAAATTTCTATTACGTATTTGATAATTAATTACATAATATTCCGTATCCGTGCTTTGATTCTATTTAATTGTACAAAAGCTATATTCACCCAGTGTCTGCGTGCGGGTTAAATCTCCCAACAAGCTTGAGGTAACAGGTACGACAACAGCATTTATTTACGTCTGTGGTTACTACCATCTCACAGTATTCGTTTTTTTTTTTTGGATTCTATATAATATATAAAAAGGAATTGCTGTTCGTTAGTCTCGCTAAAACTCGAGAACGGCTGGACCGATTTGGCTAATTATTATTTTGGTCTTGAATTACTTGTGGAAGTCCATAGAAGGTTTAGAAGGTAGATAAATATGAAAATGCTCGGAATTAAATAAAAATAACAATTTTGTTTTTCGTTTGATGTGTCCCCCGTCGGACGGCTTCCTTTTGTTTGTTTTAAGTTTATTTTATACAAAAGTTTAGGTCTCTTATTTATCAATGGAGGCACTACGAAGTCTGCCGGGTCAGCTAGTTTCAAATATAAATAGCGATCACTGCGATGTCTTTTACTAATGATTTATTTTTGTTTTACTGTTGATGAATTTACGCATGTTTGTTGAAGTGGTTGCCAAATCCCTTACAAAACGCACTGCATGCTGCTGCCCACTTCATGAAAGACAATAGGCAGTACGGTAGTAATACTCTTTTGGGCTCACCTCATCTTCTGCTGTAGGTACATGTCCTAATACACCAGTGTGTAAAAGCATTATTTGATGATCACGAGTAGTACGACCACCCCGTCTATATCGTTATACCGTTGTACCATAAAAGTGAGTCTTAGAACTCATGTCTCAACATGGGTGACGGCTCTACTTTGTTGATGTCCATGGACTCCGGTAACCACTGAACATTAAGCGGGTTGTGAACTTGTCCACCCATCTCCTATATAGGAAAATTTTCGTATTGAAATCGACTCTTATCTCTGAACCGGAGCTTTCATACGCCAACGAATTATGGAGTTATTTACACGTCATTTCGGATCCTCCCGATCCACTAACGGTGCTTTTAGGTACTTCAAGCACCGGTCACCGTTCTCGTCGAACCCGTCGCTTGCGACGAAGGGCTCGACGAGTAAATTAACCCTAAGACACAGCCCACTGAGTTTCTCGCCGGATCTTCTCAGTGGGTCGCGTTTCCGATCCGGTGGTAGATTCTGCGAAGCACGGCTCTTGCTAGGGTTCGTGTTAGCAACGTCGTCAGGTTTGAGCCCCGTGAGCTCACCTACTAGTTAAGGTTACGATGGAATAGCCTCTCAAAGCTACCAGCTTAGGTAGGAACAAAAAAAAAGGAGTTATTTATTTTAGTATGTACGTAATGGAAATTGAGGCCGTTTTGACAGTCGATAATCGTGGTTTCACGGACTGTTTAATTTCGTTCTCTGTTTTCAGGGTGTCCCAGAAGAAACCATAACCTGACATCGGGGGAAATACTCTCTTATGTTGAGTAGGTAAGTAAAAAAATCAGCATTCTACACACAGTCGTATTGGAGAACCAACCATTTTATTGAAAAACTAAAAGTATACCTACTAACCGGAACAGAATATTTCGATATTGTGACTAGAGTTTGAACTTTTTTGTAGGTTTTAATACTGTTATGGCATGGGAAGAAATCAAACTAATTGTTGCCAAATGTCAATCAAATTGGAACAAATGTATTTTTAGAAATCTCTACATAAAATATAAATACATTAAACTAAGCCCAGCAGGCAATTTACATCAAAAGATGGTCGAATTCATCAATATTCTAAAATGCTGCGACAATGGTTTATGCATTAAAACAATATTTTAATTTTTCAAATAAATTCATAAATTGTGTCGTCCGAATAAAGATTTATGTAACAAATGATAATATTTGAATGAAAGAAGCTGTAGCTCAATTTTAATCATTAGAAAGAGACAGGTACATAGTGACACTTCATTCTTTACATAAAAATAATTAAAGCAAGAATTAAGTTATCCAACTAGAGTAAAACGACATTTTATTTACAATTATTTACTTATTGTAAATTCTCAAATTGTTTTTCACCAACCCTAATACATGCATCAGTGTAACTTATCCTTGTTTATTTATTCGACCGGCGGTTTCTTATTCTTTTACGTGGGTAACGTAGGTCAGTTAGATTTTCTTGTTTTTTTTTTGTAAAGAAAGTATTTCAAGTATCTCTTATAAAAAAATAATCTTAAGGATTTAAATCGGAACGTGCTGGCCACTCAATCGAGTCAGACCGACCAATCCATCTATTAGGGTACTTATTCTTTAAATATGTATTCTCTGATCGGTCGAGCATGTTGGGCTAGACATCCATTTGAAGCTGAGCTGAAACCACGTCCTTAGTAAAATATTTAGTAGTAGTTAGTAGATAGTTCTAACAAACTTGGTACCTCATTTTGTTGAAGAGTGGGGCAGTACGTATTTAATATAATTTTATTGCAGTACTAGTTACCTACTACGCGGCGTGGGATCGTTATTCTAGAGGATTAAAAAAACAGTTTTCATAGCTACTTGTCATTGAAATGTTAACGTTTTAATCGCCAGTAGATATGTACTGCTTTATGGTATTTTCTAAGCATGAAAACTATGCAAAATAGTTTTCTTATAACCTCATACCGGCTACAGACTCACGGCGAGAACTCTCGGCGTGAAGGCTCGGCGAGACTTGAACAGAAATAGGGGCACTGTTCACACTCACGGTGAGTTCTCAGTCACGTTTTCGTCGTCTTCCGGTATGGATGACTTTGCCAGTATAGGCGCTTTGGTATTGTGTGCACTAGCACACTATAATCTGTTTGCATACTTAATTGTATATAGTTGTATAAATTGTATAATCTTGGTTAATAATGAAAATTTTCTATAAACTTTAATTCCAAGTTGTTATTCTTTTTCTTTTTTTTATTGCCTTTGTAGGCAGACGAGCATACGGTCCACCTGATGGTAAGTGGTCACCGTCACTCACGGACGTCAGCAATGTAGGGGCAGAGCCAAGCCGCTGCCTACCTTCCATATTTTTATTTATTTATACATAGAGGAGTTCAACTGTACGCGTTACACACACACCGGAAATACGTATGGCGTCATTCAAAGCTCGGGTGGGACACACTGAACTCGCACGCGAATGTGATGACGTTCTCTTTCTCGCCCGTGAAATGACTTTGAAGGGGCCTAAAAACCGACAAAAAACGGTGAACACCCGAACGCGAGAACGCGAAGGCGAGAAGCATATCACATTCATATGTCTCGAGTGTTCTCGGATCTTCTCGGCGTGAGTCTGTACGGCCTTTAACGCATGCAGGCCAATTCAGGCCATACATCAACCCGCTGAGTTTCTCGCCGGGAGTTTCTCGCTCTTCTCAGCGGGTCGCGATTCCGATCCGGTAGTAGATTCATTCGCGAAGCAGCTACTGTTGAGTTGTTACGTCTCCTTCGGAGGCGCTTGGGCAGGTGCTCACTAATCCCACCCCTCCTGGCTAAGCCTTTGTTCGCCTACCTATCATGGTGAAACTGGAAAGTCCTCCGGGCCACCAGTACTCCTTCAATTATAAAAAAGTATATATATTTCGCAATAATAAAAACATAAAAAAGATAATTGTACAGACAACTGCAGAAAATTATTCAATATATGAAAATTTTAACAATCGTCTACAAACATAAATAATTATTGATTCAAATACTACTGTGGTTAAGTGTATCATACTTAACGAAATATGACGCGATCAGGAGATACTTCATAATTATTATAACCAAGCGGTCTGTCAATAGATGCTAGACAAGTATTACTTAGAGTTCATTAAACTACTTGAGTAATATACGCTATGCATAAAGTAGAATACCAAAAAAAAAAACTCATCTCATTTCATTTCATTTCATCCCAGTTGATTACCGTCTCAAGTTAATCATCTTCATTTCATTTCATATTATCATTTTTCATAACAATAAGAATATTGATTAAAATAAGACATGACTTAAAGGTCTTAGTTACCAGGTCATAAAATCCTTTAAAAAAAAACAAAAAAAAAGGATTTTTGGCGGGAACGCGAGGAGTGTAGTTGTGTGATTTGTTTTATTTTGTCTATTTAGTGTTTCTTCAGGTTTAAATGTGTAATAACAGTGGTTTATTAACTATTTAATATCTGTAAAAGTGCAAAAATGTGGGAAATTGAAACAAAGTCGCTGGACGTAGCTTCTCGGGATCCTCCAAAAAGTCCACTGAATTTTTTTCAGTAAATCACCACCATTTTACTGAGATATATTACTGATATATTTCATTCCATATCGTCTCATTTCATTTAATTTCATCCCAGTTGATTAATGTCTCAAATTAATCATCTTCATTTCATTTTATTTCACTTCATATTAACATTTTTCATAAAAATAAGAATATACATTAAAATAAGACATGATCTAAAAATTGTAGTTACCAGGTCATAAAATCCCTTAAAAAAAATTGTGGACATAGATTATACCCTTAAGGCAGATTTATAATGAGTCAGTAAGTAACGTCAGTGCACTACCGAGTCAGTGCTGACCTGGCATTGCCATCGTGTAAATTGATTTCAAGCCAGTACTGACTTCAATATTCCCGCTTCATATTTTTCGGCGTCAGCGCACTCCCCTCGCCATCCACGCCACCGCTACAGACACCGTGTAATAAATGCCGAAGGCAGTCGCTGCCGCTTTATTGTACGGTGAGCACGCTGCGTTGCACCACATCACAAAATGACCCGAAAAGTAAACGACACGGCGAACTTAAAGATTATTTCAACTATACCGCAATAAATCACAAAATTATAGAAATAAATAAATGCGCGCAACAGCATTACAGAATATTGACTGGCAAGGCGTCTCATAAATGTGTCTTGATGCTAAATAGAGCTTGATAACTTCATAAGCAAACCACCAGTCTTTTGGCGTCATTGTCACAGCCAGTTTGTATTCCCCAGGATCTTCAATTCTCAACTGGGTTAACAACAGAGCTGAGCCTCCAGTATGATCGCTGTCACCTATTAGATACATTCTCTTACCCAAATTCGCTTCTTTTTAGATATTTCTTTTAACATACCAGTTAGTTCTTGCATCATTACAAAGGTACATTTTCGCAACAAATTATTAACTCTGATTTTTCACTGTTTTCGAGAATTCATTTTTCCACACTGACTTTACGAACGTGTGTACACCATAAGAAATATCCTCGACTACTGACGAAATACTGACTGCGATAAATCGAATGGGTCAGTTTTCAGTGCCAGCACTGACGTTAGTTACTGACTTATTATAAATCTGCTTTTAAGTTGTGGATAGGTAATAAGTGCCTGCCAGTAGTATGTACAATATACATATTATTTAAATAATTTGTAAATTAACTAAAAAAAATGTGAAATATGTGTATAAGTATAATAAATAACAAAAGCTATCTCGTGTTGGAGAAAAATTGCAGGTGTTCATATAGCTTTACATAGTTTATCAAAGAAGTACAACACACTGCAGTGGTGGACTTTAGAATCAATAACTCTTTTATTGAACCTTATTTTTTGGCAACATGCAAGTGAGCTATTATCCATATAACTCGAAGAACTAATAAATATTTGTTGGATTCGGGTTGTCTATCATAATGCTCTTCACGCCAATTTATATTGCTATGACTTTTATAAAAACTTGGAGAATTCGCTCATTCAGAGCTCGTCTACTGGAATTCTTGAGTGGAAACACTAGCGTTGCATTTTGTAAAGTGCCTGAAAATGCGGCAGGTAAACATTAACGAATTTATTCTTAAATATGTTATTATTTAATTCACTTACAATAGGTTACATAAATATTCAAAATACATTTATATTATGTACACTTAAAATTTAATATTTAATTACTATTGAATTTATCCACCAATTCAATTTACTTAATCAACATAAATATTATTTTACATTACAGAAACTCCAACACTCAGTTCAAAACTCTGCACCAATCCTAAAAATGCATATCTTTGTGACCTTCTTGATTACACAAATAAAACACGAATATGCAGTATGAAACCAACACAGTGCATTGAAATCAGTGATTGGGTAACTTGTTCTGGAGGTATGCCACTTGGATCCAGTGATCAGTCTCCAGTGACTGATTTAGATGTTGACATCCTTTTTGAATGTGAAATGGATCCTCATGAAGATAGCAGTCCAAATGTTACAACTGTAAGATTAAAATAATATTATTTCAGTTTAGTTATAAAATATTATTATGTATAAATTACATTATAATTTATACTTTATATTGAATACTTTAGAATTTTAAATCAAATACCCCGTCATGACCTATGCAAGTGTAGTGTTCGTTCACACGGCCTGCACTCACTTAAAATCCTTCCAAATTATTCAATCCCGTTTTTGCAGGATAGCCGTCGGAGCCCCGTGATTCGTCAGGAACGTCGACCTCCATGACGACCTGGACTTAGAGTCCATCAGTAAGTATCTTCAGTCGGCGTCGATGCGCCACTTCGACACGCGGCACGACACGAGAACCCTCTCATCGTGGCCGCCGGTAACTACATTCCCGATCCTGCGGACAGAATGGAAAGCAGTCGACGTCGCCCAAAACACGTCATCTCGGATCCTCCCGATCCACTAACGGTGTTTTTAGGTACTTCAAGCACCGGTCACCGTTCTCGTCGAACCCGTCGCTTGCGACGAAGGGCTCGACGAGTAAATTAACTCTTAGCACAGCCCACTGAGTTTCTCGCCGGATCTTCTCAGTGGGTCGCGTTTCCGATCCGGTGGTAGATTCTGCGAAGCACGGCTCTTGCTAGGGTTCGTGTTGGCATCGTCATCAGGTTTGAGCCCCGTGAGCTCACCTACTAGCCACGATTACGCTGAAATAGCCTCTAAAGGCTCATCAGCTTAGGTAGGAAAAAAATAATCAAATATGCACCTATTAATTATAATATAAACTGAAATATTAATTCCTCCTCATTCAATTTTCCAGTTAGAGTCAATGGGACAACCTATTGCTTGGAAGGCAGGATCTCATCTGGCCATAGTCCTTAAAACTAACATTGAGCATCTCTCTGTGATTGGATTTCAATTTGTTGGTGGAGAATTTGTGATAGATCATAACTTGCCAGTTGTTAGGATACAAAGTAAGTTAATTATATGTCCATAAAAAATTTAAACCCATTTAAAAAAAAAACCCAAAATACAAACTAATGCAACCATTTTTTGTGATACCTAAAATGTATCCAAATTTATTTTTTAGCCGTGCAAATATCTGGAGACCCTAACAAAGCTGTAGATACATCAATGAGAAGCTTAAGAACTGACATTCAGAACAATCTTAAGAATCCCTTAGAGTTTCAGTGGTCGGTCCATGCAGCATTACTAAGGAAACTATCAAAAGTTGTTGACATAAAGTCTGAAGTTAGATCCACCACAGCTCAAATGAATGGGAGTTATGATTCACTGCAAGAAACCACATCACTCAGTAGAAGAAGTGTCACTTTGGCCGATGTCAGTGTCAACACTGGCAGGTCACTTTCCGCTGAAGATGAAACTGACGGAGATATAGTAGGAAAAAGTTCTCATGTCATTCAAAGTGAAGAAAAACCTTTAGAGCAAATAGAGACTATACAAGTAGACACAAAAACAGATGACAAAGATGTGGTTCTGGAGAATGTAACTGTTGAGATTCAACATAATATTACTCCAAAGAAGTCCAGCTTAAAACTAGACCTCAAGAAAGGAACAAGCCAACTATCCACATCGTTACTAAACATATCAAGTCAAATCAAATCAGTGACAACTCATAAAAGGATAGTCAGTACTACTGGACCAAGAAAAGTAATTCCTTTAGAATCTACTTCAAAAGTTAAAGATGAACATAAACCTAGCTCATCACAGCAGAGTACTCCGAAGTCTGCAAAAACTTCCCGTCCATTAGTAAATACTAAGTCACCAAATGTATTGGTTTATTCTGATAGTTTAGTTGCTAGAGATAATTTAGAAGCGTCATTGAAAAAAGTTTTGGACTGCGATAGGTGAGTGTGAGTGTCTTCATCTTTATTATAATAGAAGAGCTTTGTAAGTAGCAGCAACTGACATGCTTTGCTGCTTGCTCAGGTATCAAAATTAAGTTCTACCTGCTTATGTCCATGAGCATAAACCTGTTTTAAACTTAACCTTTGCTATGGGTTAAATAGTCTCTAAAGATTTTAGAATTATCTCTAAATAGTAGTTATTATTCTTAATCAATAATATTTTTTTCTTGCAATAAAACTAACAATCGCTCACTATCATATAATCCTATAAATCAAACTAACAATAAAATAAACAAACCAATATATTTATACACCATGTAGACAAATGGGTGCTAATTTGAAGCAACAAATACTATAGTTTACCAGGTTTGTGATAAACTCAAAATTTCAAAATACAATGTTCATATATTATAAATTAATAAACTTTCATTTTTCTTTCATATTTAGGTGAATACATCAACCTAGAAAACTAATAAATAATGGACATGCCTTACTCCTTTAGCTTGGTCGATTTTAAGCGTTCATATTTCATTATAGTCATTGTTACACCTTTTCATGCTTGGTTACTTTACCTTTGTAAAAAAGAGAGCAGAGTTGATACTTACACAAGAAAAACATATAATTTATACATTTAACATAAATATAAATAACTTATTTAATGCTTAAAAACAAATATATTTAATAAATACTAGATCTTGAGTAGTCACTGAAAATTGTTTGAGATGGAGATGTAATACTGCTCCGGATACACCATTTAGGGGAGTTCATTATTACACAATACATATAAGAAGCAATTAAATATATTTAACTGAAAAAGATTATTGAAATTATCCGATTTACAAGACATAGTGCTAGTTGCATAAATTTGTTATTAAAACACCCCTTTTGGTTCTATCGGATTTTATTTTTGATATTACTTTAGCAGACAGGCTTATTACCGATCAGTTCGGTCATCGTTCTTGTCGATCCCTTCGCTTGCGACGAAGGGCTCGGCGAGTAAATTAACCCACAGACACAGCCCACTGAGTTTCTCGCCGGATTTTCTCAATGGGTCGCATTTCCGATACGGTGGTAGATTCTGTGAAGCACTGCTCTTGCTAGGGCTAGTGTTAGCAACGTCCTCAGGTTAGAACCCCGTGAGCTCGCCTTCTCGTTCTGTGAAATACTGTGAATCTAGTATAACTAATGTGACCATACGTCCCGCTTTGGGCGGGATTGTCCCGTTTTCAGGCTGTCCGCCCCGCTGTCCCGAACGAGAACAAAAATGTCTCGTTTCCATTTATCTGTTGTGCATGTCTTTATTAGAAACTTACCGAATACTTAACCCAAATCCATATTGTATTAGAAAATACATACTAAAGTAACTCTAATTTTGCTGTAGTAAACGTAGTTTTTTGTTGCGAAATTATTTATAAATATTATTTTAAGGGCAATTTGGCGTAAGAACTTAAATGTCAGTGAGGGTAAGATACCATAATAATTTATTTCAAGTCTTTTTTAAACCCTTTTTTTTTAATTTTGCACTTAAATATTACATCTTACCCCGACGTACCCTACATATGTATTTATTTATATATGAAATTTCGTAGACGTCCCGCTTTGACACGAAAAAAAAAAGATCACGTTAAGTATAACCCCTCGAGGTTNGCGTAAGAACTTAAATGTCAGTGAGGGTAAGATACCATAATAATTTATTTCAAGTCTTTTTTAAACCCTTTTTTTTTAATTTTGCACTTAAATATTACATCTTACCCCGACGTACCCTACATATGTATTTATTTATATATGAAATTTCGTAGACGTCCCGCTTTGACACGAAAAAAAAAAGATCACGTTAAGTATAACCCCTCGAGGTTACAAGAACAGGCAGGGAAAAAACCGATAAGTAGAAATAACCCATATTCAATTAATTATAGTTATATTTTGGGTGCTTATCTATATATTAATACGTGAAGCAAAAACTTTGTACCCCTTTTTACGAAAATTGCGCGGACGGAGAAAAATTAAATTTCCCACACTTATAGAGAATATAGAGAAGGAGTGCAGAATACTAATATGTTTTTTTAATTATGTATTAATAATACATTAAATAAATAAATAAAATATTACACACACTACCATGTATTTGACACACACACACATTTATACATACTCTTTGTTTACTGTCAACCTTTTAATAATGAGTCTGTGGTCAAATTGAGAATAGGTTAATATTGTTTATCTTTAATATTATTTATCTATAGTGTAGTCTTGGCGAAATCTGTGACTATAGAAGTCTAATAGTCTTTGACAATAGAACCATCATAATGTTCTCAAACTTATAATTTCAATTAATTATAGTCGAATTTTGACTACTGCGGGACCACTAGTAGTTTTAAATGTGTCGAATTAGTAGGGTTGAAGGTCGGGTGTGTTCACAGGTACACGGTGCAGAGCGTGTCCCGGGCGGCGCTGGAGGCGGGCGCGTGGCGGGGGCGCGCGGCGCTGGTGGCGGTGGCGGGGTGCGCGGGGCGGGGCGCGGCGCTGCTGCTGGCGCACCTGCTCGACGGCGGCAGACTGCTCGCGCTCTGCTCAGACCTGCTGCACTCAGTACTTCCCTACTACAAGACTGCCGAGGTCTGAAACACTTGTGTTTATTTAAAAAAAAAAAAATATTGCCCATGTTGGCAGACGAGCACACGGCCCACCTGATGGTAAGTGGTTACCGTCGCCCATGGACTTCAGCAATGCCAGGAGCAGAGTCAAGCCGCTGCCTACCTAATTCGTCGTGGCCTAAAGGATAAGACGTCCGGTGCAATCGTATCAAGCGATGCATCGGTGTTCGAATCCCGCAGGCGGGTACCAATTTTTCTAATGAAATACGTACTTAACAAATGTTCACGATTGACTTCCACGGTGAAGGAATAACATCGTGTAATAAAAAATGAAACACGCAAAATTTTAATTTGCGTAATTACCGGTGGTAGGACGTCTTGTGAGCCCGCACGGGTAGGTACCACCACCCTGCCTATTTCTGCCGTGAAGCAGTAATGAATTTCGGTTTGAACGGTGGGGTAGCCGTTGTACTGTAAAGACCTTAGGTGGGTGGCGGCATTTACGTTGTAGATGTCTATGGGCTCCACCTTAACACCAGGCTTAACACCAGGTGGGCCGCGAGCTCGTCAGCCCATCAAAGCTATAAAAAAATACATGTATGTAAGGTTAACCAACACCAAAATCTAATTACATATGCAAATGTTATCATTTATTGAGAGCTTATTCAGGTTTAGTTAGTATAGATAAACTAGGTGGGCTATGAGTTTCATCTTTTTTGAACTGCTGTAAATTCAGAGACCAGTTCATAGTGCGTCTCTTACGAACTCTTTGCTTGTGTCTCTATACTGGACTATTGTCAATTATATAGTAACTAATTATTATCAATAAACTAATAATTATTAATCAATAAACTAATAAAACTAATAATTATTAACAACTTGGCGTCGCTCGGTGGAGCAGGAGCTAGGGGTCTTGGGCATGACGTGGGAGGAGCTAGAACAGACTGCCCAAGACCGATATAAATGGAAAAATTTGATTCGAGCCCTACACCCCAGCAGAGGGTAATAGGAAAGCATGATGATGATGATGATGATGAATTATTATCAAACTGGGATAAATGAATGCTTCACTGCAGAAATATTTCGTTAAGACGACAGTAATTTATACTAATAAACCACTTTATAGGTACGAGAAAACGAAATAGTTCAGTTCACATACGACAAATGGAAGTCCGTCAAAATGAAACATCATATATTCTGTTACCAAGCCTCGCCTGCAAAGAAACAGTTCTCCACAGAAAGTGATAGACAGTAAGTATTTTTTTTTATCTTTATTTCCCTTTCTTTTATACACTGTCCTCTTCTCTTGCTGATCATGATCTTGCTGTTCACAGAGCAAGTCAGGAAAATAATATGACTCGGTATGCAAATCTTTTAACTATTTCTGCAATTTTCTGTTCTTCATTTCATAGGTGTTCTTTTTTTGTGAAATTTTGAACTACATACTTCCATTGTCAAAACAAAACATTGTTTTTTTGGTAAAAATAATATAGATATTCTAATTTCATGCAGTGCTGTAGAAACTTAAGAATCTTAACATATTATGTTCAAATTGTATTTAAAACAAAAAATCATAGCATGCTCATTAGTAGCTAGAGAATCGAATATTTTACTACCAAAACTAGATCTAACTAGTCTAATATTAAAACATATTTCTTAAACATATAACACTAATTCAGTTAATCTTTTCACATTTCACATCACAATTTTATTAAAAATACATATTTGATTTGTAATCGTAGTGAAATAGAATTAATCAGATTAAACATTAAAAGTACCCAATATAAATGTCGGAGAGTTCATTTTGGATTGCTAAGCTGCTGTAGTAAGTAAGTGAAATGTATGGAATTACATAATTTATTATAATTAGTTTTCTTCTCACATACTAATTATGTAGTGAGGTGTAAAGTGACCATTCCTAGACCCGATAAGGGGATTTACTTATTTAGCCAGAGATCAATATTAATTTGTTAAAACATTTTCGCTTTGTTTTTTTATTACTGCTAATGGTATAAATAAACTGTAACATTGCTAATTTAAAATAGTAATGTGCTATTTTGATTAATAATAGTACTATTATAATATATTATGTATGTATTTATTGATATCTAAGAACGACAAAGTTTTGCTTTAGTAAGCTACAAAAGATAAAATTTAGCTCATTGCTAGTTTCCTATGATCAATGTAAAGGCACGTTTACAAAAAACGAGACAGCTAATCCTTAATCTTATTTGTATGGTGTGTAGTTCAAAAATGTGAGTCAAGTTTCCTTGCACCATGTATATAGAGAAATATACAGAGATAAATATTAATGAAGCATGCTTCCCATTAATCGTAATAACATCATCGGAAGGCCTTTAGGAGACTTTAAAAAAAAAGGTCCGCGTGCAACTTGGTGCACGTGAATGAAGTGAAACTTCTTTTTCGATGTTTGTAGTATTATGGTTTTCTTCATTTTTCATCCTTAAATCAGATTGCTCTTTGTAATAGGGAATGCTGTGTATAAGAGATGCGACATCTTCAATATTTAATATATATTTTAAACTATAGATAGAAAAATAAATATATATATTTTTTAAATACTTCATTAAAATATTGGACGCTATTTGTTGCTAACGCTCGCGCTGGCCTGTAACAGCTACGTACATGCGTTCGAGTGCCACGCCTTCACTCTCGGTTTGTCTCTTTCTATTCCATGGTAGCGTTAAACGTTTAACGCAACCTTGTTGGAAGTCGCATTAGAAGTTTCACTTCAAAAATATCCCAAGTATTTGTTAATAAACAGGCCTTCTAAATATACCGGCCACCCTGGACACGAGTTGGACATACAAGTGTTAGCGTCGGAAGAGACTTGGCGCACACCGTCATTGCTACAGGCCACCGATTTGACTAACAGTGGAATTGCTATATTTTCACAGGTATGCTATTAACTAGCCGGATCACTGTTTCAAAATCCCTTAAGTACCTATTTCGATCAACCTGCAAAAATATTCGTAGATGTCATTTGCTGCCTGTATGTATAACTTATATAACAACAAAATGTACATATAATTAAGCAAGGCACTTGAAAAAATCGTGCTTTTTTTTTCGAATAATTCAGGACCCGGTAACAACACCTTTAAGCCCAGTCTTATATTTTCGTCTTATGTTATACTAATATGAAAAATTATATGAACCCAAAGGCTTTGTTTCATTCTCCCACATATGTTGTAGCTCGAAACTTGTATATATGCAAGCTTATCTTGAAAATGTCGTAAGCGAGATTCAGGCATTTGTCAAATATCTTGTGTTGTATAAGTAGTAGGTACCTATAGTAAATATGTAGTTAATAATACTAGTATGTACGGTTTAATCTTGCCTTTATCGACGTTTTGACACTATTATTTTTGACGTTTCTGCATAAGTATGTAGGTAGGTAGGTACTTTAAAATCGTGACCTTCGTATTTGTAATTATGTATATCAATAATTCAAAATTTGACGAAAACATTACGTCGTTGTCAAACCAAAATCTGCTATGTGCAATTTTTGAGATTTTGACTTTTTGACCTTTTCGTATAGCTCACAGCCCTAACTACCGTATAAAAAAAAAACTGTTATATGTCTATAGCTTTAATATTAGTCTATAGCTTTCATTTCATATAGTTCTTAAAAATTCACTTTCAAATAAAATTTTATACGAAAATATTTTTACTCGTTAATTCAAAATAGAGTTTTTCCACATAGCATAGATTTTGGTTTGTCAGCGACTATTAACGAGATAAACATTATTTTGAATAATTTCAAATATCTAATATGTTTCAAATATGGATCTATAAATTTCAAATGTTCTTGTTTAAATTTCAAGATTCATTTAGAAGCGGATCCAAGCGACTATTTGGGCGAAGAAGCAGCCGAAAGTAACGTAGCTCGTTTGGGGATATTGCACAAGATATGCGGAGAGATTCTAGGTTTGCACGTAAGAGATCCGGCGGAATTCAAACAAGTCGAATACACCAGAGGATTTTTCCTCGGGAATCATGTTGTGAGTACCTATATTATGATCTCGTAACATTTGTGCATCACCATTTTTTTAGAAATTGCTAGAATTCTCAACTATAGACTTGTTTTGAGCGTAAACTTTTGAATGAAATATATAAGCAGAATGATGGATATGTCTAGAAGAGTTTGGGTCGAGCAATGTATTTTGAATTAATTAGTCCTTTTGTCGTATTATAGATCATGTAACAGACTAAACGAAAAGGCAATTCACGAGGCTTCATAGAAACACCGTCATTTGGATTAGTGCTAACAAATCATCTAATTTGACTGAATTCACTCCCTTTGCCGATTTCACGACACTTTGTTTATCTTTGAGTAAACAAACGAAACGCAAATATGTATACATACAACTACCGTCTATATTCCGTAATTGAAAACTAAATAAAATATGGAAAAAATAGTTGTTTCTGCACACACGTGCATATCGAGGGTGAAAGGGCTATTTATTTGGTTTAAGCAAACTTTTTTGCGACTTTACAACAGTCATTTAAAGTTCAAAATTCGGAAAAAAATCATAACAAAAAAAATTCTTCAGATATTTGAATAGCGTTAAAATGATTGAAGGTCAATTAAAAATATCGGACTGTTGATGCTGATACCAAATGAAACGGACCTTTAATTACAAATATAAATGTTGCGTATTAAGCAAAATGTCGGTTAAACCAAATAATATTTCACCCCCCGATATAATTAATATACATACATATAATCAGTTAATAAAAAATTACAACTTTAATTGAAATTCATATTTGCTAAGTAACTATTTTTAGAAGTAATGTGCAATTGCTTTTGTCCATCACTTCTAAAGTCTTAATTTATAAACTGCAAATTTCGAGTATCAATACACCTTACCGATCGTTTATTGTCCTATAACAACAGAACATTCAAATTCAGCAATAAATTTTAACGTAAATATTAATGAACAAATGACAAAGTGCCTTGAACGGTACGAGTTTAACCACAAATGACGTAGCGGGTGTTGTTGTGTAGGGGGCGTGGCCGTCGTCGGGCGCCGGCCACTTGACGGTGTGATGGGTGAGAACACCGCTCGCACGTCGCTCTTTTAACGCTATAAGTGTCGCTTGCTTCTCACTGGAGATTCCAACATTAAATTCATCTACATGTCAGTCTGAGTTGATAATAAACAAATTGTAAAACTGCACATCGGGGTAATACAACCATACTGACCGGATAATTGTTATTTTTTATTTTTTTATTGCACAGATGGGTGGACGCGGATGGGTGGAAGTGGTTACTGGAGCCCATAGACATCTATAACTTAAATGCGCCAACCACCTTGAAATATAAGTTCTAAGGTCTCAAGTATAGTTACAACGGCTGCCCCACCCTTCAAACCGAAACGCATTACTGCTTCACGGCAGAAATAGGCAGAGTGGTGATACCTACCCGTGCGGACTCATAACACGCCCTATCACCAGTAATAAAGCAAATTATAATTGTTTGCGGGTTCGATTTTTATTACACGACTAGCTGACCCAGCAGACTTCGTAGTGCCTCAATCGGTAAATAAAAGACCTAAACTTTTGTATAAAATAAACATAAAACAAACAAAAGGAATCCGTCCGACGGGGGACACATCAAAGGAAAAACAAAATTGTTATTTTTATATAATTCCGAGCATTTTCATATTCATTTGGCTTTTAAACCTTCTCTGGACTTCCACAAATCATTTAAGACCAAAATTAGCCAAATCGGTCCAGCCGCTCTCGAGTTTTAGCGAGACTAACGAACAGCAATTCATTTTTATATATATATATAGATGTTATTCCTTCACCGTGGAAGTCTTTTGGGAATATTTGTCTTATCCTTTAGGCCACATTTAAGACATTTATAATATAAAAATATATCATACATACATAGGTTTTGAATATACGTAAATTTCATTAATTTCGTTGGAATCTTCACATGAGTGAATCATTTTTGGGCTATTATTATTAATCGTTACACTTTAACAAATAAAAGGTAGAAAACTGCACATTAATTGGGTTTACGGCTAATGATGTGGAGAAAGCTTTGCATTTAAATTATTGCACAAATAGTCTATCGTTGTTTTGTGATTAGTGAGTTATTATGAAATCAGTAAAACGTTATGAAAATTATATTTTTGACATTGGCTTTGCAATCTTTTGGAGGACAGTATGTTAGTCGATCGACGGTAGATGAAATTTTTGATACGAATACACTTTGTAACGAGATCGACACGAAATTATAATAAAAGTTGACTATCATAAAAGGTTTTAGTTTTAATTAATTTAATAAATAAATTTATTATTTTCAACTGATATAATCTGTAAACTGTTATTGGAATTTATGATTTTTTTTTCGAAATATTACTATTTTAACTGAAACTGAATTTGGCTGTTACTAAAATGAAATAAAGTTCGTGTTGCATGTAAACTAAAATCAGAATATATTTTGTTTTAATTTGTTTTTTTTTTGTGACAATAAACACCCTATCTAATCTTATTAAATTGTGATGCTCTGTTTTTATCTTCGAATATGTTGAACGGTTGGTGATGACAGCTGACGATTATTGACATGTGGCATTGACAGCACAAGTTGTCGCAAGTGGAGCGCTGGTGTCCGGCGGTGGACGGCGGCGCCCGCGTTCAGCAGTTGGGGGATCTCGAGGTGCAGTGGTGCTTGAGAGGGGAAGCGCCCAGGGAGCCCCCCTCGGAAAATTTCTTGCCAGTCCACGTCTACGAATGTCCCGACAACTTCTCCACCGTCGAGTACTTTGATGTAAGCTAATAATGTTATTATATTATATGTATAGTATGATTCTTGTAACCTTAATAGAACTACCCTAGTGACTGTTTTCGGACTTCGTTCCGGCCACATCCCACTCCATAAATTTGCTGATTTTAATGGGGAAGGCTCCTCATCAGTGTTCAGTGTATGATGTAGTGGAAGATGCTTTTCACATTATAAAAGAGTGTGCGCGGAACGAGTTGTTGTCGGTGTAAATTACCTATTAGCCTTTCCGGAATCCGAAATGGCTAAGACATTTTATAAAATAGTTTTGGTGGCCCTTCAGAGACGACAACAGTTTCCTTTATTTTTTTATATAATTATTTTGTTACTCTCTTTTGTTGCACAATGGTGTGGCAAATTCACTAGGTGAATAATCTCCTTAAATAAAGATTTAAAAAAAACTCTGTAGTATTCTTAACACTAATCATACGAATACTTACTGGTACTTATTTCTACTATAGCGGGTAGATAACGGTATACGACAGAAAGAAAACAAAAAAAAAAAACAAAAAAAGTGTAATAACTGTAGATTAATTGGTAAGAAAAAGTCATGAAGTCAAATGTGCAAAAGCAATAAAATGGTACGTGCGTTTTCGATGCAAAAGTTCAAAATGGGTCATTTGACCCGTTATGCTTAGTGTTAAAATTATTAAGATACAATCACCCGTCGCATAATCAGAAATGTCAGAATCATCAATGAAGCGTAACATGTACCCAAAAGGACGCTTGTTGAAATAAAGCGACCTTTATATCGTCTATAGTATTTGCGATATGTTACAGTCAAACTAAAACAAAAATATTTCAAAATACTACCGTTTTCATAAGGGATGACTTCAGCCCACCAATAGTAACTACTTAATCCACTAATAATAGTAGTAATATAATGGTAGTGTAGTAGTATAATAGTAGTAAACCCAATAGTAACCACAATAGTAACAATGATTCAATAAATAATTGTTCTATGTTTGTACCGGTTAGTTCTTAATCCGTTGTCTGTCGTGTAGGTCACCGGTGCCCTACGCGGCGCACTGAAGTAATTCTGTCGGTTACTGTTACTAAGGGGCCTGGATTACCTAACTTTGCCTTAATTTGATTTTAATGTATGTTTTAGCCTTTTGGATCTCTTAGGAATGAATTCATTCTCAGTAGCGTTCGGATTCGTCTTTCCCAGAGTCAACTGGATATTCAAGCGCCTTAGTAAGAAAATCGAAGAGAGAAATCGACATAATTACTTTGGTGCGTCACGTAGGGCACCGGTGACCTACACGGCAGTTAGAGACTTTTTGGCGGGAACGTGAGGAGTGAAGTTGTGTGATTTGTTTTATTTTGTCTATTTAGTGTTTCTTCAGGTTTAAATGTGTAATAATTGTGATTTATTAACTGTTTAATATCTGTGAAAGCGCACAAATGTGGGAAAATAAAACAAAGCCGCTGGACGTAACTTTTCGGGATCCTCCAAAAAGTCCACTGAAAAAATCTTAGTAAATGACCACCATTTGACTGAGATTATTCATCCCAAATCGTCTCATCTCATTTCATTTCACTCCACAATATGATTTTTCATAAAAATATAAATTAAAATAAGACATGACTTAAAGGTCTCAGTTACCAGGTCATAAAATCCCTTAAAAAAACACGGCAGTTTTTTTTTTTTTTTTTTTTTTTTTTTTTTTTTTTTTTTTTTTTTTTTTTTTTTTTTTTTC